CACTCTCACACACACACACAGTCACTCACACACACTCTCACACACTCACACACACTCGCTCTCACACTCACACACTCTCACACTCACACACTCTCACACACTCACACACTCACACTGTCACACACTCACACTCACACACACTGTCACACACACACAGTCACTCACACACTCTCACACACTCACTCACACACACGCTCACACTCACCCCCCAGCGGGCCCGGCCGCGGCGCACAGCGCGTGACTCACCGCGGCGGCCACCTCTCCGGGGCGGGATTCCCACGGCCACCCAGCACCTCACTCGGGTGAAGTTGGGCTATTTCCGCGTGTGTGAGACCGGGCGGGAGGGGCTGTCCGTTTTATTTCGCTGAATCACAATTCCACTGCACAAAACCACATCTCCACTGCAGACGCGCACAATGCAAGCCCCGGAGGCCGCGGCGGCGGACGGGGACCGAGAGAAACAACGAGGCGGCCGGGCCGGCGCGGGTGGGCCCGGCCCCGGGCCGCCCGGCTCCCCATCCGTGTTCACTTCCCGCTGGGGGGCCGCCCCTCCGCGGGGCGCCCGGCGGCGGGCCTCGGCCCCGGGGGGGGACCCTGCCGCGCTCGCCCGCCAGCTCCGGGGAAGCCAGGGAGGGGAGGACCGGCGCGCGGGCGCGCTGCCCTCCCCGGGCCCCGCACAAGGACCCAGGTGCCGGAAGGAGCGCGCCGGGCACGACCCACGTGACCGCGGCCCGCCGGCCCCGCCGGCCCCGCCGGCCCCGGCCACCACCCAGGCCCCGGGACTTACCCGGGCCCGGCGCACACGGGACCCGCGGCGACCGCTTCCTCCTCTCTCCTCCTCCTCCCTCTCCTCCTCCCCCTCCTCCTCCTCCTCCTCCTCCTCACTTGACAAAATGGCGGCGGCAGGAAGTGCCGGGCGCCTCGGCCCGCCCCCCGCCCGCCCCCGGCCGCCCGCCCCGCCGCGGCTCCCGCGCCCCCCCCCGGCCCCGCACTCCCCCCCGGCCCGGCCGAGCCCAGGCTTGGGGCGGGGAGCAGGGGCGCCGGCGCCCCGCGGCGGGGCGCCCCGCGAGCACCCCCCGGAGGCCAACGGCGCCCGCGGCCCCGGCCCCGGCGCGAGCGGCGCGGCCCTCGGGCCCCAGCCCGCGTCGCCCCGGCCTCCCCGCCCCCGCGCCGCGCCGATGGCGTAGGTGGTGGCGCACCGGCCCCGTTACGCAATGCAGGTTACGCGGGCCGCGTCGCGGGGCTCCCGGCCGCCCGCCGCGGGTCGCGCCCCGCCGCCCCGAAGGGCACCGGGCGCTTACCTGAGATGCTAGGCCGCACGCCGCCCCCGCCGGCCTCCCGCGGCCGCGGCCGCCGCCGCCGCCGCCGCCGCCGCCGCCGGCGCCGCCGCCCCCCTCTGTGGGCTGCCTGCGCGCGGCGCCGGGGCCCGCCCGCCCGCTCGCCGCGCCCGCCGCTCCGCCGCACTCCCGGGCCCCGCGCGCCCGCCGACACCGCCGGCAGCCGCCGCCGCCGCCGCCGCCGCCACCGCTTCGGCTCCTCGGCTGCGGGAGAGCTAGAACAAACAGCCCTGCCGCCGCCGCCGCCGCCGCCGCCGCCGCCGCCGCCGCCGCCGCCGCTGCTACCGCCGCCGCCGCCGCCGCCGCCGCCAGCGCACTGACGTCACCGCGCACGCAGCGGGCGCGGCCCCGCGCCGCCGCCCGGCGTGCGCGCTCCACCGCCGCCCGCGGCTCCACAGACAGCGGCGGAGACCGGCGGCGGCGGCGGCGCCTGGTGGGAGCCGGGTGAGTGCCCGAGCCCGCCCGCGTCCGGGCGGCGGGGAGGCCGGCGCCGCGCCGAGCGGAGGGGGCCCTGGAAGCGCGGGAGGCGGCGGGCCGCGCGCGGACGCAGCGGGGGCTGAGCGGGAGGCCGCGAGGGGCCGGTGGGCCGCGGGAGACCCCGAGCGCCCGGGAACCCGGACTGACCGTGTCGGTGGCCGTGCGGCGGGGCGGGGCTGAGGAGACCCTCGGGCGCACGGACGGCCCGGGAGGAGAGGCCCGAAGGCTGCGGCCCACGCGGGGAATGGCGGGGCAGGACGGGGAGGAGAGGCCCCAGGCTCCGGTGGAGTCTCGGCCCCGCGGGGGACGGCCGTGGGCGGGAAGTCAGGTGATGGCGGCCAAGGTGAACCGCAGCGCGGGGAATCGGAAGCTGTCACCTGGCGGAGGGGGGGGGTGCTGCGGGGCTCGGGCCGCAGGGGGCGCTGGCGCTCCCCGCCCCTCCCCGCCCCCTCCCCCGCCCCGCCCCGCCCCCCGCTCCTCCCCTCCTCGCCCCCCTCCCCGCGCCCCCTCCCCTCCCCTCCTCCTCCTCGCTCCCTCTTTACCCTCCCATCCTGCCTCCCTTCCCCTCTCTCCCTGCCCTGGATTAACCTCGTCTGGTAAGATTCTGTAAGCCTGTCTACTCGGGAGACTGCCAGTCGAGGCAGAAAGTCCATGAGACCATGATGGTCCAGTTGACCATCAAAAGGCTGGAAATGGAGCTGTGACTGAAGTGGTAGAGCACTAACCAGCCTTGAGCAAGAGGAAGTTCAACCCCCCCCCCCCCCCACTCCCTCCCCACAACCTGTCTGGCTCCTGGCTGACCCCTTCCTTCCGAGTAAAGTTTGCTACAATAGTTGATACAAGTTGACAGCAGAAAAGGAATTTGTTTTTGCTGTTTTTTTTCTGTTTTTGTTTGTGCTTAACCAACCACTAAAGGGTCCTAAGCAAAGTGAAATTAAATTTCTTGTTGTACAAAGTACGAAATAAATGATTAATTGTAAGGAATCAACTGGCTTCTTAAAACTTTTCTAATTTAATTTATATATTGATGGTGTTAATTGCAGTCATATTCTTCTGTAGCGTTTATCACATTGTAACAATAATTATTGTTATCCTTTCAGATGTGTGCAGTCTTCTGGACCAAATACCTTTTTCAGCCAATCTAAGGCTATAAGCTGCTGAAATTGAGCTTCTAAGAAATATGTCAAGCTGGGTGCTGCTGGCTCACATCTGAAATCCCCAACCACTCAGGAGGCTGAGATCTGAGGATCAAGGTTCGAAGCCAGCCAGGGCAGAGAAGTCAGTGAGACTCTTATCTCCAGTTAACTGCCTGAGAATGCCAGAAGTGGAGCTGTGGGAACATGGCAAAGTGCCAACCTTGAGTGAAAACACTAGGGGACAGCATCGAGGCAGAGTTCAAGTGCCAGGCAGAATGTGTGGCAGAGGGGTCCAGTGAGCCTGCTTTGGCTTAAAAAAAACTTGTCTGTGGCATTTGCTCAGCAGGGAAAGACATATTACCTTGACACTTCATCACTGCTGTTGAAACCAGCCTGTTTTGGAGGGTGACTGGCAACTAACTCCAGCAAGGAGCCCATTAGCAGCCCAGGTCTGGGGACTGGTTTCAAACCTGCATCCTCAGACTTTGGCCTCCTGAGTAGCTAGGATGGGTAAGTGTGAGCCATAGACGCCTCCTCCCCCCCCCCCCCCCCCGCCCCGCAGCCCCCCTTCGTGTGGTACAGTACTAAGGATTGAACTCATACTTGAGATGCTGAGACAGCCTGGGCTACAAGGCAAGACTCTATAAATGTTCTCATTTTAGTCTTCCATAGGGCCAAGCCTGATTGGGATGTGGCTCCTTGGTAGGTGGCTTGTCCTACGGGAAGCGCTAGGTTCCAGCCCCAACACAATGAAACCAGCCCACTTCCAAGACTGCGATGACAGAACGTGGAGAGAAATGACTGGGGAGGCAAGCAAAGGTGGCTCATTTCTGTAATCCTAGCTACACAGGAAGTGTTCTGAGGATCAAGGTTCAAGGCCAGACTGGGAGACTCTGACCTCCAAAAAAGCAGTGATGGCCGGAAGTGGAGCTGTGGCTTAAGAGCACCACCAGCCTTGAGCAAAAAAGCTCAGGGACAGTGTTCAGGCTGAGTTCTTACCCCAGTACCAACACACACACACACAAATTGAGGTAGCACTTATTTTTCCCCAGTCTCCTGGGGCTTGAACGCGGTCTGGGCGCTGTCCCTCTGCTCTTCCATTCAAGGCAAGTTCTCTTAGGCTACAGCGCCACTTCCGGTTTTCTGGTGGTTTAGTGGAGATGTCTCAGGACTTTGCTGCCCAGGCTGGCTTTGAACCATGATCCTCAGCTCTCAGCCTCCTGAGTAGCTAGGATGGCAGGCATGAGCCCAGCTGTACTTATTATTGAAGCATTTATTTCCACAGTTGGCTCTAGGATTGACTTTCTCCTGCTCACCCCCCACCTTCACTAGAGCTTTGAGCACATGCCCACCATCTTGGGACTCTGGTCGCGAATGAGCTCCTGGAACAGGACAGTGTAGTGATTGCAGCATGGGGCTGTGGGCCCCTGCGCTGCTTGTCAGCTTCCCGAAAACACTTGCCTAGAACGCAACATGGTTGCTCTTGTGTGCACAAACTGTTTAGTGAGTTCCTATCTACTGTATACCTTGTATTGCTTGTCCATCTATGGGATGTTTTCTTCTTGAGTGTTTAAATGAATTTAACTCAAATTGAAAAATCATGAATTAACAGGTAGAATGCAAATGAGGTGAGGGGAAATAACCCTGCCTGAGGTCAGGTGGGTGTGACCTTTCCCTACAAAACAAAAGCCATGCCAGTACCACCACTCCACAGGCTACGAGAGACCCAATCTCCAAACAAAAAAAAAACTAAAGGGCTGGGTGGTAAAGAACAAGTCCCGATGGTACAAGGCCTTGGGTTCAGTCTGCTGCACTGTACAAGGAAAACCCCAAAGACAATGCTGTTAAAAAGCAAAGACCAGGCTGGTGGTGGCTCACGCCGGTAATCCTAGCTATTAGACTCATCTCCAATAAACCACTCAGAAGACTTGGAAGACAGTAAGTGGCTCAAGTGGAGGAGCGCTCACTTTCAGGATAGCACCCGGGTCAAGTGTTCAAGCCCCACAACCAACAAAAAGTTAGCTACTCGCTGAATTCAACAGGCAAAGAATCATGATCTAATTACCAAAATTTTATTATTCTAAGTGCAGTGTTAAAAGTCCACTCAAGGCTGGGGAAATGTCAAAGGCCACCTCAGAGGCCGGCAGCCCCGCGCGGGTGGGGAGGTACTGTCCAGAAGGGAAATAGCTGGATCACCACCAAAACCAGTACAGCATGTTCCAGTAATACACGCCCCACTGCCTAAGAACAAGGAAAGGGGACCGCCTGCTCCACCAGCTCCCTGGCAGCACCCGGAGGTCATGCTGTGGCATCTGTGGACTCGGGGGCATCAGTTTGCCCCTCTCCGGCTTCTGCGGCAGCGGACACAGGAGCAACAACAGTTGTGGCGCTTTGTGTCTCAGCCACTGCTGCCGCCTCCTCACTTGCAGCCTCAGGTGGCTCGCATCCAGCCTGGTCTTCAGCGTTCCCCTTCTCAGAGGCTGTTCCACAGGAGTCGTGTTCTTCCAGTGGCTGCTCAGCGTGGGGCTGGCTGGTGGCCTCAGGCGTGTCCGTGGGGTCTTCCCCCTGGGCCAGAACCTCTGTGGCCTCTGGCGCTGGCTCTTCTTCACCATCCACAGCCCTCACCGCTGCCGTGATCACCTCCGCCAGCACGGCCGCAGCCACCCCTTCAGGGGTCTCTTCCTTCTGCTCCCCTCCTGTGTTGTCTTCTTCCATTTCGGGATCAGTGGTTTCGCTGGTGAAAGGGTCTTCTCCCTGGACAGAGACACAGATCAGCACCAGAAAGGAGCCTAGGGAGTTAATCCCTCCCCGCTTCTTGTAGCCTATGGATTTAAGTACATCCTCAATCCCAATTTTGTACTTGCTTTTCCTTCAGATTTTTTGCCAGTCCGGGCTGGGGCCTGTCTCTCAGCTTTTTTTGGTCAAGGCTAATACTCTACTATTTTGAGCCACAGTGCCACTTCTGGGCCGGCTTCAAACCTCGATCCTCAGCTCTCAGCCTCCTCAGTAGCTAGAATTGTAAGCGTGAGCTACTAGCACCAGGCTCTTAGATTTTCGCCATGAGACCAGTCTCCCCTTGCTGAATGCCCTCCCTAGGCTCTTGCAACCCCGCCTCAGCCTCCAGGGCAGCTGAGGGTAGAGGCATGCACCACCACGGCTGGCATGGAGGGTTTTGTTTTTTTTTTTTTTGGGTCCGGTCGTGGGGCCTGAACTCTGGGCCTGGGCGCTGTCCCTCAGCTCTTCAGCTCAAGGCCAGCGCTCTACCACTTGAGCCACAGCGCCACTTCCGGCTTTTTTCTTTTTGCTTCTGTGGTGCTGAGGAATCGAACCCAGGGTCTCTGGCATGCAAGGCAAGCGCTCTACCACTGAGCCACCTTCCCGGCCCACATGGATGATTTTTTAAAAAGCACTTCACCCTTATTCACTTCTTTACAGCTAGACAAGTGGAGCTTCTTTCTTATGATGATAACCAGCGGCATGGCACTGCAGTTCGCCACGAACTATGGGAATCCACTGCCTCAGATCCACGCCCAATGCACTCTTGACTCCGTAAATTCTCCCCAAAGACTTAGAAATCCTAAGTGCTGCAGTCCAAATACAAAGCTCCTTGTTCCTGTCTATGGCTTTCCCAGCTCTGGACCCACAGGCACAAACCTTGAGGTATTTCTCCAGCATCTTCACAATATGTCTGTTGTTCAAAACACTCTTGGCCACGTGGAGACTTGTTTTCTTGAACTGCTCAGCAGCCATCTGCAATGACAACCAAGGTGGGTTTTTTTAAAAGGCCAAGGGCAACAAGAGAAAGACTGGTCACACTACCCCAAGTAGTCCTCGCAGACTACCCATTCTTCACGAGGCCATCTCCAGGCTCTAAGAACCAGAGACATGGGTACCTGAGAGAGCCTCTGGAACAAACACAAAGAAGCCAAGTGAAAGTTAGATCATAAGGTAATAAGGTAAAAGTTAGGGCGTGACACTGATACCATGCATCAGACAACGCCAAGCAACGTTCACACAGAGCCACATATGGACCCAGAGGAAGCAGACAAAGCCGCTCAGTTTTCCTGACAGGATTAGGGTTTCAGGCATTCGTAGTGCACATAGCAGTACCATGCTCCTGGGCTTGCTTTTCTGCTGATCTTTTGTAGGGTGGGAAGAGGGAGCTGGGCGGAGAGGTGGGTGGGCAGCTAATGACAAACTCCCCTTAGTAGCTGGGTAAATGAGGTAGAGATGCTGAAACAGAGCTACATGCAGCCACACCCTCCAGCACCATACACTCTATCAAAGGCCTTAGGGCCTGCTAGGATAGGTACCCAGCTGTACTTGGTGTGGGTTTTTTGTCTATTGTGTTTTGAACTCAGGACCTGGGTGCTGTCTCTGAGTCCTTTTGCTTAAGACTAGTGCTCTACCACTTCAAGCCACAGCACCATTTCCAGTTTTGACTTTCCTGTTAGTGCTGGCTTTGAACCCTGATCCTCAGATCTCAGCTTCCTGAGTAGCTAGGATGACAAGCAGGAGCCACCAGCACCAGGCAGCTTTGGTGTTTTGGAGACAGGGTCTTGCTCTGCATCCCAGGCTTGCCTTGAACTCCTGAGAGCTGGAATGCAGGTGTGTGCGTGAGCCAGGACACCCCGCCCCACTGCTTGGTGCGGAGGGCTTACCCTGCGGTTGTGGTTGTGGTCGGCAGAGTGCAGGTGCCGCTGGAGAAGCTGGTGCTGTGCGGGAATGAGCATGTCACAGGCCAGGCAGTGTGCGGCTTCGATCTTCTTGAAGAAGTGTTCCTGGCCAATCCCTGCGGCAGAAGCAGCCAAGTGATGCTCTCCATGCCCACACCCGCCCTGGCGCCCTGCCCCCGAGACCCATGCTTTCTCCCTGGTTAGGACTGAGAGACAGACAGGGCCAGGCTATCCTGGAGGAGCATGGCCTAAGGAACATTTTTTTGTGTGCCAGGACTGGGGCTTGAACTCAAGGGCCTAGAATCTGTCCCTGAACCCCTCTGTGCTCAAAGCTAGTGGTCTACCACTTGAGCCATAGCGCCATTTCCAGCCTTTTCTGTTTACATGGTACTAAGGAATGGAACCTAGAGCTTTATGCAGGCTAGACAAGCACTCTACCACTGAGCCACATTCCCAGCCCTTAGGACCCTTTTTTTCTTGGTGGTGGTGGTCATGGGGCTTGAACTCTGGGCCTGGGTGCTGTCCATAAGCTCTTCAGCTCAAGGTGAGTGCTCTACCACTTGAGCCACAGCCCCACTTCCAAATTTTCTGAGTGATTTATTGGAGATAAGAGTCTCATAGACTTTCCTGCCCAGCTGGCTTTGAACTGTGATCCTCAGATCTCAGCTCCTGAGTAGCTAGGATTATAGGCATGAGGCACCAGTGCCCAGCTCCTTAGGGACCACATCTAAGGCTGAAGTGTACACATGTTCTACCGCCATCCTCTCCGCTTCACACTGTGGGGAGACAACCACCGTCATAAGCTGCCCTGTGGTGTCTCCACCTTCGTTAGAAACAGCTTGCAGCAGCCTGTGCTAGCTCTGCAGTGTTAACAAAGGAACCCGGTCTCAGGCATGCCCAGCGAGCACGCCAGCCCTGACCCACACCAGCCTGGACAGTTTCGCCTCAAGTGTTCCCCACAGTGCACACACAGGGTCGCCCCTCACCTCGGAATGGATCTGGTTTGGGCTTGGGACTTTCCTTCTCCATTAGCTCCTGGCGCCGCTTTTCAATCTTCTTGTTCCTGTTTATGATGTATTCCTGGAGGGGTGGGAGATGGCACTGAAGGGAAATCGCAGCTAACCAGGTCAGGTCCGCACACTCCATCCCCAGCCAGTGACCAACACTGAAGGGGTCTTAGGTCTTGCCCTAATCAGGCTAGCCAACCTGCAAGCTGCCATGCTGTGGCTACCGCCCAGGGGAGGAATTTGCTTGTTTCAGACAAACCAATCACAGTCCGACAAATTGCCCAAAGGGAGGGAGGGAGAGGAGGGACAAAAAAAGCCTGGCCCAAGACAGTGTGATGGACTACCAGCTTCCAGGCCCCACTGTTCATCCTACACTCTTCATTTTTTTTACTTCCTCTGTTAAGGCAACTCTTCACTACCATCTTACGCTAACGGTGCCCACTGCGCCTGTTTTCCTTCCCATACTGCCAGCAAATAGGACCCCAGCAGGCTCCTGCCTCGGCACCATATGAAAAGCAGCAGGCAGGGGCACGACTCCTCCCCCCCACTGCACAGACGGCAGGAAGATGCCATGGAGACAGAAGGCTGTGTGGGCAGAACCTATGGCGGCTGGAACTCTCAGTTTCCCCTGAGACAGACTTGGCACTTGCTCAACTAATTACATCTGGGAAATGAACCCTGCCCACATACATTTAGACTCTTACCCCCGCCCCCCCCCAACCACACGCACGCACGCACGCACGCACGCGTAGGGGTTGTAGGAAACACCTCACCTGGAGAAACTCTACGGTCTTGTCAGGCAGTTTGGTGCTTATAAACCGCAATGTGTCTTTATGAAATCTGCTCTGCAGATGGCTCTGGATTTCTTCATTTTCAAAGCTACGGAACTTGCACACAGAACAGGCAAACTGAATCCTGGAAAAGAAAAATGAAATGAGAAAGAGCAATGAAGCGGGGGCTAGTAGCTCACGCCTGTAACCCTAGCCGCTCAGGAGGTGAGATCTGAGGATCAGTTTGTGGTCAGGCCAAGCAGCAAAGTATGTGAATTCCTTATCTCCAACTAAGCAACCAAAAAAGCAGGAAGCGCACTGTGACTCAAGTAAAAGAGCAATAGCCTGAAGCCAAAAAGTCAGGTGCAGCACCTAAGCCACGAGTTCAAACCTCAAGACTGGAACGTGAATGCGAGCACTCAAAGAAGAGTGGGAAAGAAAATTATCTGTGGGCAGACGCAAATGGGAAAAGAATCGCTATCTCTGAGCCAAGCAGAGGAGCAGTTATGGAACTAAAGAACAAGGCAGGGCTGGGAAGGTGGTAGAGCGCTTGCCTTGCATGCTGAAGCCCTGGGTTCGATTCCTCAGCACCACATAAGCAAAAAGAAAAAAGCCGGAAGTGGCGCTGTGGCTCAAGTGGTAGAGCGCTAGCCTTGAGCTGAAGAGCTGAGGGACAGCGCCCAGGCCCCAAGTTCAGGCCCCACGACCAGACCAAAAAAAAAGAAAAAAAAAAAAGAACAAGGCAGATCCTTGTGAATACCTCAAAGAAAACGATCGCACAGTACAGCGACACTCCAGAATTCTCTGGGCCCAAAGCTGCAGCGACATCCCCTCCCTTCCCCCCCAGGTCAGAACTTCCTGTACAGTGACTTCCCCCAGATCTGGTGACTGCTGCAATACTGAACATACTCTGTATCTCAGATAATTTTCTCTCTGCAGCCACAAAGATGGCTTCGGGCAACCTTTCCTTATGTGGGGGAAATCCCTGAAGCTCTCACACCCAAGAGTAGGGCTCCCTCAGACTTGATATAAAGAAAAGGCGATGACACGAAAGCCATATTGGGTGCTGGAATGGAACCCAGAGCCCCAAGGGCGGCCCTCTACCAGTAAACTACATTCCCAGCCATCTCAGGCCTGGCAAACTGTAAGGCTAAAAGCAAAGGTTCTATGTGCTGGTGGTTTCAGGGGTCTGAACTGAGGATATTGCCTCTGTATGGGCTAGTCTGGCTCTCTACCATTTGAATCACACCTCCAGCCTGGCCTTTGGTGGATATTTTGGAAATGAAGCGTATAGAGAACTATTTTGCCTGGTCCAGCCTTGAACCATGAGCCTCAGATCTCAGCTTCCTGAGTAGCGAGGATTACAAATGGCAGCACCGTGTGGTAAGGGTGGGTTGCATGGAGGGGGGCGCTGCTGCCCTGGACGCCTGGCTCTGCTCTTCTGATAAACGCCTTGACACACCCAGGAAAGAGGGCAGAGGATCTCTTTCACGGGCCTGGGCACAGGCCTAGTCCAGAAGTTCCTGCAGAGGTGCGGGATGCAGTTCTTTGCCACCCTAGGACAGCCAATTCCTCTGCACTTCTTGCTCATTAGTGCAAAATCCCACAGCACACCACCATAAATAATCCTATTCCTCAGGAGGCTGCGGATGGAAATGCTGTGAATGAGGCCAATCTGGCCTGTAAACAGGATTCCAACGAACTGTGTTTCAATAAAACTAGCTAGAAGCTGGATGCCAGCGGCTCATACCTATAATCCTAGCTACTCGACAGACCGAAGATCTGAGGGTGGAAGTTTGGAGCTAGCCTGGCAGGAAAGTCATTATGACTTGCTGTCTAGTTAACCAGCAAAAAGAAGTGGAGCAGTAGCTCAAATGATAGAGGGCAAGCTTTGAGCCCCAACTCCCCCCCGCCCCCCGCAAAAAAAGCTAAAAGACGTATGTCCAGGCCCTGAGTTCAAGGCCCAGCCCTGGAAAACAAAACAAACACATAACTAGAGGTCACTAGACAGGGTGGTAAAGCAATTATCAAGCATGGGCAAAGCCCCTGGGTTCCAGTTCCATACCTACACTGCAAAGCAACCTGCTTCCATGTGGCATGAAAACAGATGTGGGGGGCTGGGAAGGCGGCTCAGTGGTGGAGCGCTTGCCTTGCATGCATGAGGCCCTTAGTTCGATTCCTCAGCACCACATAAGCAGGAAAAGCCAGAAGTGGTGCTGTGGCTCAAGCGCTCAGCTCAAGTGCTCGCCTTGAGCTGAAGGCCAGCGCCCAGGCCCCACGACTGACAAAAACAAAAAAACAGATGTGGGCAACTTGTGGAGGACAATTTGGTCATTTGTAGCACAGAAGGTCCCTGATGTCATTCCTGATCTCTGATTTCTGGCAGGAAAAGCAGGGTCTTCTACGTTACAGGACAGCCTCGCACAGACACACAGCACGTGTGCCTAAGACTACCAGGCTGTTCCGTGGTTGTTGGTCATTTTGTCTTTCCACCTCACCATGAGAGGCAGACCCGTGGCGTGGCCCCAGCAGCGCCCTTGGGTCCCCCAAACACCTGCAAGGATCGTGTGCACACGCGTGCATTCTCCCTGTATGAATCTCTACTGGGCCCTGGGGGCACTGATGGGCTGGAGATCCTTTTCTGAAATGCCTAACACCATTGCCATAGTGGGACAGGCCGGGCCGCCCCTCAGCCTACGCGCAGCAAGGGAGGCCCCTGCTAGGCACACAGGGGCCACACGGACCCCTCACCAAGGCTCCAGTTTCGGAGGGAGGAGAAAGTATGGCGGCAGACTCATTGTCTACACAAACACAGACGCCTCACGCCACCCTTTCTCCACGTCCTCCAACTTACCGCTCACGCCTCCCCTGCCAGACCCAGCCCAGATTCCCAGCACATGGAGCCAGACTCGAACCAATGTGAGCTGGGAGAGCCAGGAGTGCACCCCAGTCTGGCTGCCCTCGGGGGAGGGGGAGGGGGGGCGCGCGGGCCCTGTCCTGCAGCTCCTGACCTGTCCACCGCTCGGTCCCGTGTCCTGTCTCTTCTCCGTTGCTTTTCCCGCCTCTTCTTCCCATCGTCCTCGTCGTCGTCCTTGTCTCCTGTAACAGAGAAGTCCCTTGGAGATGCTCTGAGGGCCACGCGCGGGAGCCGAGCTCCGGGGCCATCCTGGGGGCGGGGGCTGCAGCGGAGCCAGCGCACCCCATGCCCAGCCTCAGCCGCCACAGGTGGCATGGCCAGGCCACCTTGAGGCACTGCGGGGCGGCCAAAGGCTCCTGTGGGACCCAGAGGAGTCACCTCTGTCCCTCGTGGCCAGACAGGGCTGGGACAGGCCTGGCCTGCCCACTCCCACGCCAGCCTGCCAGCCTGCCCGCCTGCCCGTCCAACGCGGCGCCCCATGGACTCGCCGCAGGCAGGGGTAGCAGCTGCGAGGCCCCGGAAATAAACTCCCCTCGGTCCCACCTCTAGGTGGGCCGTGCTGACCGTCTGGGTGGCCTCCTCTGAACCAAGGCCTCAGCAGGTCTCACGGTCCGTGCTGGCCCGGCCTCTATCTTCCATTCACAAAAACCGCCAACCTAGCTAGGGCTTTCCCAGAGCTGCGTGGGAAGCGATCCTAGAAACAGATGAGAAGAGACCAATTGGTCCTCCCGTCCATTCCCTGAGGCCGGGGCAGGAGCTCCGAGAGCTGTGCCATGTCCCCAGCGTGCTGGCAGGAGGCCAGGTGGGCCCCCAGGCTCAGGGCAAAGGCCGGATGCTGAAAACAGGTCGGATAAGCATCTGAACTGTAACCCCTACCCCTGATGCCAGTCCCGAGACTGTCCCACGAAGATGGCGACCGGCGTGCGCTGCTCAGAAGCCTCTCAAAAGGACGTGTGGGACTTTTGGCAAGAGGTCACTGCCTGAAACTATGACTGCTGTTTAATAGCAAAGTCATCCGGGAAGGTAGCAGGACCTGCGCGTAACAAACACGTCACCTTTGCTTTAGCATGTACCGGGCTGCACGAGCTTGCTGAGTGCTTGGAAGAGACTCGACTGCTTGCTATGGGGGCGGGGACCTTGCAGGGTCAGCTAGGCCTGAGAGCCTCGGATAGGAGCCCAGCCAGGGGCCAGCCTGCGATCCTTGGGGTAACACAGCTTGGACAGATCACGGAGGAGCCGGGTGGCTTCGGGCAGGCCCGAGGCCCTCCGGAGCAGGCTGCTTCTCCAGCCCCTCCCAGGGGCGTTACCTTGCACTTCCGCCCGGGAGCTGATGAGACCTGCTGGCCACCGACTGCCTCTCCAGATCCGGGTCTGGCTGCTTGGGGTGCAGGCCGCCCCCTCACTTCCTGGCTCCCAACCCCAAAACGTAATCTGCTTCCTGTCCCCCATATAGACGCTGCAGCCATCCGTATCCCCAGCAGAGGCCAAGCATTCTGACAAGGCTGGAAACTGAGGAAGAACTAGACATTACAAAGCCCAGGTGAGAATTCGGGGACCTGCGCTGGCTACAGAGGGACAGAAGCGGGGCCAAAGGGGCCTCTTTTATTTCAAGCTCCCTTCTCTACCGTGGGGGTCACTCAAGACACCCAGAGATGGGCTCCCTGCCCGCAGTGCCACAGCGAAGCTTCAGGGTGACTCCGCCGGGAAGCCGCACCCCCTCCATGCAGGCCTCCAGCTTGCTTAGGAGCCCAGCCTGGCTGGGAGCTGGATAAGGGACAGCACAGGAGAGCTGCAAGAAACGAGGTGACACCTACCTCTCTGCTTCGCGGGGTCACAGAGCTCGTCCTCCTGAAAAGGAAGAGACACACATGGCTCTGCGACCCCCGCCCGGCCTCGGGTGGCCGCCTCACCCCAGGCCCCGGCTGTGAGCCAAGGAGCCGGGACACAAGGCGAGCCTGCACAGGGCAGGTTCTCTCTTCTATGGCCCTCCGAGACTCTGAGGACAGCTGTGTTGGCACACAGAGCCTTGCACTTCCCTCGCAAGCCACAGATGCACACTCCCAGCTCTGTACCCCCAAATGCCAACAGCAGGTCCGCCGGAGGAACCCCAACTCCAGTATTCTTGATGGAGAGCGGACGTTGGTAAATTAGCTCATTATTTCCTCAGCGTTTTAACACACCAGGAGTGTGTACGAATAGGACCCCAGAATGCCTGAACCAGCTCATGCCTGAAACGGGGAATCTAAGATTGTTAGCAACACAGAGCACTGTGGATTCCCAGTCTCAAGACCTAAGCCAGCTGAACGAGACGGTGAGTAAGTGTCAGGACCGAGGACGTGGTTCAGTGGTAGGAGCCCCTGCCTCCATCCACTCCCAGCACTCTTGGGGAAAAAACAAAAAGCTGAAAAATGGGCTGACCACCTGGCTGGCCTACATAACAGCCGGAGGAAATGCTCACACACTCTTCAGGCCCAGATCCCCAAGGATCAAAACCCACAGGACGAGAGCAACGTGCCTGCCTTCGGCAGCTGGAGCCTCGGAGGCCTCTCCTAGGAATGAGGGCCGCGGCCCCGCCAGCCAGCCTGAGCCTGCACCACCTCCGCCCTGACAAGAGCACGGGGGTGATGGCGGGCAGAGAACGGAGATGACAACACTACTGTAGCCAGAAAACTATCAGCTACCTATTTACCAATCGGGGCACAAATCTATTCAGGACGTAGCCTGTGCCAGGCACTGCCTTACTCCTGCAATCCTAGCTACTCAGGAGACTGAGACGTGAGGATCACAGTTCAAAGCCAGCTTGGGCAGGAAACCCTGCAAGACATTTCTCTCTAATTAAAGAGCAAAAAAATAAAAAAGCCAGAAGTGGAGCTGAGGCTCAAGTGTTCTCAGAGCACTAAGCCCTGAGTTCAAGCCCCAGTACTGGCACAGAAAGAACAAACAACCCCAGAGGTTTTCTAGCAGAGCTTATCCCCTCCTTTGTGAAGAATGAAGAAGAAACATCCCACCGAGACAAAGAGGCTGACTCATAACACACTTACACCCCTGAAGTCTTCATCTCCTGACCGGAAGTCACCAGCTCCATCATCTACCACACACAAAGAAATGGGAAATGTCAGCCCCTGGCTGTGGCCCCAGTTCCCACTGGCAGTTGAGGGGTCGAAGCCTGAGAAAAACAGACCAACTCTCCCGGTCTTGGTGAACCACTGAGTCACAGCACACCCACCCTACACCCTGACCCACACAAAGTACCATTTTCAGAAAAATCTCCTTCGCTGTCAGCACGGGACAGTTTGGCATCTGGCTCCTCATACATGAAAAATGGCTTCCGCTTCCTGCCCATGCTTTCTGGTCCAAAGCGCTCGAACCCTCTCCTCCTGGGCTAGAGATACAAGCACATCCGGTGTACTGCAGACCCGGGCCCAGCAATGCCCCACAAAAAAACGCCACCAGATAGATGACAGACTGGAAACCCAAGGCAGAAAAAGGTCTCTGAGAAGAGATCGAGCAAGCTGAAATTCACAGCAAACATCATGTTCCCAGAAAGAATTCAAACACAAAAGACCATGTGGTGCATGGCTGGTTGCACAGTAAAGGTAGAGAGAGGGTCCGGGGACAGCAAATGGGCAAGCAGGAGGACAAGCCGCGGGAGGAGACAGCAATGGCTGCCAACTCGACTCCAGAGGCTGGAATTAACGGGAAATGTCTAAAACTGGTTTGTGCAGACAACTGCACAACTCTGTACAGTGCACTAAGAGTGAAATTGTACACTTAAAATCAAGAGGAGGCTGGGAAGGTGGCTCAGTAGTAGAGTGCTCACCTTGCATGCATGAGGCCCTGGGTTCGATTCCTCAGAATCACATACCCAGAAAAGCCAGTTCAGTGGCGCTGTGGCTCAAGGGGTAGAGCGCTAAGCCTTGAGCTGAGGGACAGCGCCCAGGCCCAGAGTTCAAGCCCCATGACTGACCCCCCCCCAAAAAAAAGGCAGAGGATCTTACAGTAAACCAACTGTACCTCAGCAAAGCAGTTCAGAAAAGCCAGCACCCAGGGTCTGTGAGAACTTACCCGATCCTGCATCCGAGCCCGAGGCCGGCCACACCCATAAGGCAGGGTGTTGTCATAACCGCCCACCCCCTGCATGCCCATCATGTTGTAATTGGGGGTCATGGACTGGGAGAAGAGGGAAGAAGGGGGCCTGCTGGGAGAAGGGCCTCCCAGGCCGCGTCCACCCGAGTAGTTCAGTTCACTCCAGGATGGAGGGAGGGGCTCGGAGGAGGCCGAGGGCGGCATGAAGGGGTCACTGCGCAGGAAGCTGCTGCTGCTGGAGCTGCTCCGGTCTTGGAAGCGATCCTGGAAGCGGCCCTGGCCCTGGCCCTGGCCCTGACCCTGACCCTGGCCCTGGCCCTGGCCCTGGCCCCGGCCGCGCACGAAGCCATCGAGGGAGCCCTGCTCTCGGCCTGCATCCCGGCAGTCACCATACTGCCCAGCAAAACCGCCATTGCGGTCAGTCCCCAGCTCATAGTCGTAGCTGTAGTTGGGACGGTAGCGGCTGTGCTCCGGCAGGCAGGGCCTGGAGTCGTAGGACTCAAAGGTCTGGAATCGGAAGGAGCTAGGAAGGAAGCAGACGCCATCAGGGGTAGCTGGACACCTAGTCGTCCACATGTCTTTCTTCAACACAAAACTGATCTCCCTAGCACTGTCAACAGCCAAAGCACCCCACATTCCCCCTAAAATGCTCAGAGGAAACTTACCAGCTCCCGCCCCCACCACAAATGCTGCTCAACAAGAGACAATCTGAGCCAAGACCCATGCCCTGCAGCCTACAAAGGTCCACGATGCAGTCACCTCCCCCCATCTCTAGCACGCCAGGAAGGTGAAGAATAAGGGAGGGAGCCCTCTAAGGGTGGGTGCTGAGCGGGCACTGATGCCCTGGGAAGAACTCAAGGCCCATAATCACCTCTCTCGGTCCTGCATGCCCTCCCCACCGATGGAGCTCCCGCCCCTTCCTCCTTCCTTGGACATCATGTCCAGCCGCTGGTTGATCTTGGCAATGAGCGAGTCGGAATTGTCCGAGCACGGCTCTGGGCCGTAGGATGGCAGGGGCATGGCAGGGCCCCCTGCCGCCAGGCCACCGTCACTGGCTTTGGTGGCCTCCCAGGAGGCTGGGCTGTAGCTGTAGGTCGCTCCCGCGGGGACTGTGGCATTTTGGCCACTGTAATAGTTGTAGTTGTCATAGCCTATGGGAGCAAAGAGGAGTCCGTGAGACCTCAGCCCCCAAGGCGGGTCTGCAGGGGCAGCCGCTGCCCCAGGGAGGAAAGGGTTGCCCCAGGCACCAGGGTAACGCCATCCCGAGCACAGGCCCAGGAAGGAAGGCAGCGGGAGGCCAGAGAGAGACTCGCCTCAGCTCTGATACAGGGTCTCTGGGCCCGACCCTAGGACCTAACTATTCAAGGTCCTAGGGAACCATAGGAAGACTGGGGATCCCATTACACACCCACAACCCCGCCCCAACAAGCTCCTTTGAAGGCCAGCCAGGCCTTAGACCCCAGGCAGACCCTCGGAAGAACTTACCCTGCCAGCCGGCCACACCACTTCCATAAGTACCTTAGGGAAAACAGAAGCACATGAGAGGTTTACTAGCCGAGCAATGGCGTCCAACAGTCCCCGAAGGACAGGAGTCTCCCACGCCACCACAGCAGGCCTGTCCACCAAGACGCCCCGGGCACGCTCCTTGCCCACAAATCAATGCAAGCCAGCAGCATCAGGGCCTCGGTCCCAGGCCAGCCCACCTCGGCACACAAGGCAGGGAAAGGAGGTGCTCTGGCCCCCACGAAGCTGATCTGAGGAGGAGCTAGCCGAGTGACCAGTCTGGCTCGGACCCTGGGGAAAGCCCTTAAAAGGCTCCAGTTCTCACAGAAGCAAGAGCCCAACAGTGCCAGTCACAACAACAGGACACAAGAAAACAATCATGTCCTCCAACTTAACGGCACATGGGCATGGGTGGGCTGGAGGCCTCCAGGGACACAGGGCGATGGGCAGAAAAGTGACCCTGGACCCTGTGGTGCTAGGGACAGGCTTCAGACTGAAAACAAAGGAAGCCCCTTGTCCCTTGCACAGGGGCTAGTAGAAAGCAAAATATCAATCAATAAATGTGGAAAAGGAAAAAAAAAAAAAAAAACTCATTACCCTAGAACAAATTCTGATCCTCTAACAAGCTGAACTCATGATCCAGCCTCTAGAGTAAAGGAGAAGTAAAGGCCCTGGGCCACCTCTAACCCATTATTTTTTGTACATCCCTCAGGCTAAAAATGTGTTTTCTATATGGACACAGGAAAAAAAAGTCCCAAGAGAGTATCTCAACATATTCAAATCTGACAAGACATTTGTCACTGAAACTGACATACCAAGCCAGACACCAATGGCTCACACCTGTCATCCTAACTACTCAGGAGGCTGAGATCTGAGGATCGAGGTTCAAAGCCAGCTGGGGCAGGAAAGTCCGTGAGACTCTGATCTCCAATAAACCACCAGAAACCCTGAAGTGGCCCTGATGGCCCTGTGGCTCAGGTGGTAGAGCACTAGGGTTGAACTGAAGGGCTGAAGGGCAGTGCCCAAGCTCAGAGTTCAAGCCCCACGACTGACCAAAAAACAAAAATAAAAAAAATAAAAAAAAAATAAAAAACAAAAGCAAAAACAAAAAAACTGACAAACACCCAAATGACTATAGTTCAGATCCTGGTGCCCAGCCAGGCGCCAGTGACTCACAACTTTTAATCCTAGCTACTCAGGAGGCTGAGATCTATGGATCTTGGTTAAAGCCAGCCCAAGGAAGGAAAGTCCATGAGACTCTTATCTCCAATAAACCACTCAGAAAACCAGAACTGGCACGGTGGCTCAAGTGGTAGAGTGCTTGCCTTGAGCTGAAGACCTGAGGGACAGCGCCCAAGTCCCACGACTGACCAAAAAAAAAAAAAAAGATCCTGGTGCCTGTCATTCTATCAACTTAGGAGTCAGATCTGGAGGATTCAAATTCAAAGCCAGCCCAGGCAGAAAAGTCCACAGAACTCCACTAGAGGAAAGAAAAGGGGAAGAAGGGAGGGACCGAAGTGGGAGAGAGGAAGGAAGGATGGAAGGGAGGAGTGGGAGAGGAGGGCAGGGAGTTGGACAACAAGGAGCTAGGGAGAAGCATAGCTCAGTAGTAGTAAAGTTCTAGCAGAGCAAACAAAGCTGGTGAGGGCTAGTTTTGGAGTTCGAACCCTGGCACTAGCAAGAAACAGTTTAAAAAAAAAAAAAAAAAAGCCAGGCTCCGGTGGTTCACACCTGTAATCCTAGTTACCCAGAAAGCTGAGGTCTGAGGATCATGGTTCAAAGCCAGCCCAGGCAGGAAACTCCATGAGACTCATATCCAATAAACCACTAGAAAAACCGGAAGTGGTGCTGCAGCTCAGGTGGTAAGAGTGCTTGCCTTGAGCTGAAGAGCACAGGGACAGCGCCCAAGCCCAGAGTTCAAGCCCCATAACTGATTGGGGGGGGGAGGGGAGCAGTAATTGAGTAATGTATCAGCTTATTAACTGTAACAAATTGTCACAGCAATGCCAGCTGTCTCTGCACTGCACTGGAGTTGAAGGTGCTGTCCCCTCTACCCCAAGGCCCTGCTGCATGTCTAAGCACACATTTTTCCACTGCTTTGTTTTGTGGTACTGGGGGGTTTGACCTCCAGGGTGAGAACTTGTTAGCCCAGTGCTCTGAGTCATACCCCACAGCCCTACACAATACTACTCAGCTATGCCCAAGCCTTTCACCAGTTCTTACTAACGGAAGAAATGACCAGAAACTCAGTGCACTCCCTGCTGACTTCTGAAAAGCCAAAGCCGTGCTGAAGAGCACAGTATGTCAATTACAGAAAAGCATAAACCATAATTATGCCCTCAGCTGCCAAGAATACTAAAGGACACACAAAAATTACGACATTCAAATTCGAGTGTCCATATTGAAATCGGGGCATAGCTGTGCCTACTTCTCCATATTATTTATGGCTGCTTTTGTACAATGGAGACTGGATGGCCTGCAACATAAAGGGCATTTATTATCTGACCCTTTATAACAAGGACCGCTTGGCAGAGGCCGGCACTGGGGCTGGATGTGCCATGCTGGGGCCTCACCCCCCACATAGGATCCACTTACCCTGGGTGTTGGCAGGTGCTGCGCTCCACGCCCCATAGCCTGTGAAAAGAAGACCCTCTCATCACACTCCACCACGGTCGAGTCCAAGGCACTGTGGAGCCTAACGGGGCCTCTGCACAGTGCCCGCTTTATGAGAAAGCAGTAAAGTACACACGGCCCCCAAAATCTACCTCCCCAGCTCACCGCTTCCTCACACTCCACCCGCCGTGGACCAAAGCAAAACAAAACCAAAACCAAAGATGGTGGGGTGTGGGTGGGCGGGCGCACAGGCTCGGATGATACTGGACAGTTCCCCTCTCACGTCCGCTGAGAAACCAGCGCAGACTGCTGCTAGAGGTACCCCGTAACTGGTCATCAATTTGGGAACCCAGCGACAAAAACTGTACCCCTCTGCGCCCTGGGGCCATGGCTTCAGAATGCTTTGCCCCTCCACATGGGGAATGTACACTTCACGCTCTTCATGAAGCCTAGCACAGCTTTAAGCCTGTAATCCTAGCTAACCGACCCGGAGGAGGAGAGCTGAGGATCCCGGGGCTCAGCCAGCCGGGCAGAAAAACAACTGAGCCACCAAAACAGCCGGAAGTGGAGCTGCGTGACTCAAGCGGGTAAATCGACCGCCTCGAGTTCAAACCCCAGGACGGCCACAAAAGAAGGGGAAAAAACCAAACACAGTAACAAAAACAGGCCCTGCTGCGCAAACCCAAGCCAGCCGGGGAAGCGCTTTCCTTACCCGGCCTCTGTCCCTGCGGGCCACTCTCGGGGGCCCCCCGGGGGAAGGAAGGCCCATCTGGCGTCGGGGTCCAAGTTCATCGAGCCTCCAGGTTTGCCCAGAGCCTCGTCCGAGAGCAGAACCGGCACACCCCGCGGGGTCGGCCAAGTGACCCGGGGCCGGCGGGCCGCGGGGGAGCCAGCAGGCCCCGTGGCGACGGCGGCCGGCCGGCCGGCGCCCCAGGCCACGTGCGCCCCGCGGAGCCCCGCGGAGCCCGGGCCCGACCCAGGGCGGCGGCCCGGAGACGGTGCGCAGGCTCGTCCCGCGGCCGAGGGCCGACCCCGCGTCCCGGACCGGACCCCGGGACCCCGCGCCGAAGCCCCGCCCCCGACGCCATTTTGTGGCGTCTTCCGAAGAGGAAGGCGGGACTGCGAACGCCCGGAACGTTGGGGTCGCCAGGGCCCGGGCTCGCCGGACTCCACGCGCGTTTCGGGACTGAAACGGCCCCAGGCGCCCCCAGAAGCCCACCAGCGTCTGCTCGCCGAGCCTCGCCCGCCCCCGCCGGGGCCAGCGGCCAATCCGCACGCAGCGCTCCGGGAGCGACGGCGCCGAAGCCCAATGGGCGGCCCGCGCGTCCCCGCCACCTCTCCGCGGAGCCAGGCTGCGGGAACTGCGAACCAGCAGTAGGCCCCGACCCACGGGCCCCCACGCGGCTGCGGCTCCCGGCCGGCCGAACCCTCCCGCTCCGCGCCCCGGAGACTACACTAACCTCCGTAACCTTGCTCCATGTCTCCGACGCGGCCCGCCAGCAGACCCTTTTTCTAGCTTTCCTCAGGACGCATGCGCCCCGCGCACCTCCCGCGGCCCGCTACTGGAAGACCAGTTGCTCCCGTCAACCCTCTCGCGCACCGCCATTGGCTGGTCTTGGCGAAGGACCCGCCCCTGCCACCCCACCCAGCCTTCCAGGTCGCTAGGCCGGGCGCCCACGGCATCTCGGGAGTTGTGGTCGAGCCGTGGTGCCGCCGAGCGGGCTCGCGGGCCCGCCCGGGCCTGCCCAGTGCGCAGGCGCAGCGCTGCGCTCTACGCGCTCCCCGCCCGGCCTCGCCGCGCCGCGCCGCCCACGGACCACACAAGGCGGAGCTGGGGCGGGAGAACTTTATTAGGCTCGGCTTCCGGCCTCGGCCGCCCGGGGTCCGGGTTACGGGGCGCCCCCGCCACCCTCCTCGTCGTCTTCCACGTCGAGACCCGGGATGCCGCGGATCTGGCGCTGCAGCGCCCCGCCCAGCAGGGGCACAGCGCCCTCCTCCTCCTCCTCGGGGGGCGGCGGCGGCGGCGGCGGCGGGGACGCGGCGCCCGGGGCCGGCTCCGGGGGCACCGGGGGCGGCGCCGGCAGGCCCTCCGCCCCCGCCGCGGCCGCGCAGGCGTCGCCGGGAGCCCCCTCGTCCAGGGCGCCGCCCTCGGCCTCGTCCTGCTCCTTCTCCTCCTCCGGGCTGTCGGTGAAGGGGTTCTCGCCCTGCGGGGGGGGCGGGGGGCAGCGCTGAGGGGCGGCCAGGGGCCGGACCCGGAGGCTGAGGTCCGAGGACCCCGGCGCGAGGCCCGAAGGTCCGGTTAAACAGAGCTGTGGCTCACGTAGAGACCAGCCCTTCGGCCCAAGCCGGGGTCCGCGCGTGCGCGCACGCGCACAGTCACACACGCACACACGTGTCTCGGCCTCACCTTGAGATAGCGCTCCAGCTTCTTGCTGATGAGCTTGTTGTTGAGGATGCTGCGCGCCACCATGAGCGAGGACTTCTTGGACTGCTCCATCATGAGCTGCGGGGGGGCGGCGGGCGGGCGGGCTGGAGAGGCCGGGGCAGCGGGGCAGCCCCCGCCAGCCCGGCCGCCCTCACCCGCCCCCAGCCCCGCTGCAGAGCCCGGTCTCAGCCCCCTCCTCTGGCAGTCTGCAAGCATGGACTCCTGACTGGGACGAGCTTCTCTCCATGCACTGTCCTCCCCACCATACTCACTAATGTCACTGCTTCTAGACGCCTGCGTCTCTACTCCCGAATCGCAGGAAGCCCACTGACTTACACAGAACTCACCGGTGAGCCCGGCATGGGTGGCTCCTGCCTGTCAGCCTAGCTACTCACAAGACTGAGATCTGAGAATGGAGCCCTGGCAGGCAGACTCTTACCTCCAGTGAACCAACAAAAACCCAGAAGTGGAGCTGTGGCTCAAGTGGAGAGCACTGGCCTTGAGTGAAAAGCTCAAGGACAGCGCCCAAGCCCTTGAGTTCAAGCCCCAGGACCAGCGCACACACAAAAGGAAGAGGATTTGACAGTCTGCACTCCCCGCTGAGTCTTGGGGGGAGGGGGGGCCTCCCTCACTACACAGCCTCGGCTGGCCTGGAACTCTGACTGCCCCACCTCAGCCAGCGTTTTGCGTGCTGGGGTTTTAGAAGTACACCGCCACATCTGGGTTGTCTTGTTGGTAAAGATTTACCCCAGCATAGCATAGCATTTCTTCAGTGTTGTAATCACTTCCCGTTGATGAAAAGGAAGGTGAGGACGAAGCTGTTTTTGCTGGACCCTGAGCTCCCAAGAAATGGCTTTCCATGTCGCAAAGGCCATGCACTAGCCTCTGCTTTTCCCAGAGAGACTGTATTATTCACACAGTAAAGTCACAGTGTAGAAAACAGCCAGCATGGCACGCAAGCTGCTGACAAGCTGAAGACACAGTCGGAAGACACCCTGATCCTTGGAGAAAGCTCAGCTGGTCTACCTATTATCCTCCTTTCTAGGGGCCGAGGTGTACCCAGACAATTGCCTCCAGACTTGCCACACACCAAAAATAAAAACTTTCACAGGTTGGTGCTTTTGAACTCTAACCAAATAGCTTTTCCAGTTACTCTGAAATAAAAACAACAACAACAAAAAAAAACACCAATGCAGAAAAGCAACTCATGCTTCCTCTATCTGCACAGACACAAAGAGCTCTGCAAGCTGGTAGAGTAACCGCACAGCAAGACCAAGGCCCTGAGTTCAAACCCCAAAAAGCAAAGCCAGTGATCTTTCTAGCACCCTGGAGGCGAAGGCAGGAGGATGGCAAGAGTTCCAGCCAGCTGAGGCCACAGTGACCCCATCGCAAAAACAAGGCAGCCAGGCGCCAATGGCTCCTGCGGATAGTTCTAGCTACTCCAGAAGCTGAGACCTAAAGGATCAAGGTTCAAAGCCAGCCCAGGAAGATTGAATCAGCAAAATGCCAGGATGAAGGCATAGCTCAAGGGGTAGAGTGCCAGCCTAGCAAGGAGAAGGTCCTGAGTTCAAACTACAGCACTGCAGAACAGATCAGCAGCAAGAACAAAATTAAAATCTTTGGAAATGTCCCAAAGAAAACATAGCAAACAGAAAAGTTACTATAAAAGCCAGTAAGAACAGAAATATTTGTATTTGAAACACAATCCTGCCTTCCAGTTCAGTGGGATAAAACTTCCCATGAGGAATAGGCCCAAGAACACAACCCACCCCCACTCCCAGGCCCCCACGCCCACCCTGGAGCTGAAGCTTCCTCCCAGGAGGAAGAGGATGTGCTATTTCTCATCCAGCTACCAGCTGCTGAAGCTAACCTCTGGGCAAGTACAACTGAGAGATGACAAATCTTTCCTTTTGTCCATACAAAGTCCCCACCACCACCGTTCCTCCCCCCTCCCCCCCCCCCTCCAGGCATAGCATTCTGGGAATAAGAGAGCCCAGACAGCCCACAAAGGGAGACTATATACAGCCCACACATCTTCCCCTATCTGTCTTCTTTCAGAGAAGAGCATCTCCAGAGCCTGGGTGCAGAGATCCTGTGGGCTTATGACAGTGAGCTAGCAACTATCCAAAGGGATTGCCTTCACCCCCAAGAAAGGCCAGTGACTCTCAGAACAATGGAGGAGCCAACAGCAGTGGCTCACGCCTATAATCCAAGCTACATAGGAGGCTGAGACCTGAAGGATCATGATTAAAAGCCAGCTGGGGCAGGAGAGTCTATGAGACTCCAACTCCAATTAACCAGCGAAATGCTAGACTGGTGGCATGGCTCAAGTGGTAGAGTACCGGAAAGCTGCAGGAGGCCTAGAATTCAAATCGCAATACTGGTGGGTGGGTGGGTGGGTGGGTGCGCGCGCGCATACATACACACACACACACACACACACACACACAAAATGGTGGGTATAGAAGGAGCCCAACATTTGTGTGATTCCCGTTACACAAAATTACAAATGTAGCTTCCATTACGAAAGAAACAGGAGAGAAGTATTTGAAGAAGCTTAGAGTGGTGCTACATGCCTGCTAATCTTGCCTGGCTACTTGGGAGTGGCGACAGGTGGATCACAGTTCAAGGTAAAGAGTTAGCAAGATGGCTCAGTGGTAGAGCGCTTGCCTTGCATGCACGAGGCCCTGGGTTCATTCCTCAGCAACACATAAGCAGAAAAAGCCAGAAATGGTGCTGTGGTTCAAATGGTAGAGCACTAGCTAGCCTTGAGCTGAAGAGCTGATGGACAGCACCCAGGCCCAGAGTTCAGGCCCCAAAATCAACAAAAAATAAAAATAAATAAATAAGCTAGAAGCCCTGTGTTCGAGTTCCAGTTCTTTAAAAAAGAAAAGGTAGCTGGGTGCAGGTGGCTCATGCCTGTCATCCTAGCTACTCAGGAGGCTAAGATCTCAGGACTGAGGCTCAAAGTCAGCCCAGGCAGGAAAGACCGTGAGACTCCTATCTCCAATTAACCGCTAGAAAACCGGAAGTGGCGCTGTGGCTCAAGTGGTAGAGCGCTCACCTTGAGCTGAAGAGCTGAGGGACAGCACCCAGGCCCAGATTTCAAGCCCCATGACTGACAAAAAAAAAAACAAAAAAGAAGGTAGTTGAGGGGGTTGGGGGGCAGGTAGTTCATACCAGTAAATCCTAGCTACTCAGGAAGCTGAGATCTGAGGATCCTGTTTCAAAGCTAGCCTGTTAAGAAAGTCCATGAAACTCTTACCTCCAATTAAATCACAGAAAAAGCCAGAAGTGGCACTAAAGTTCAAGTGAGAGAGTGCTGCCCTTGAGCAAAAGGAGCTCAAGGACAGTGCCCAGGCCCTGAGTTCAAGCGTCAGGACTGGCAAAAAGGAAAAAAAAAACCAAAGGTGTGGGCATGGTAGTTCACACCTGCAGTCCCAGCCACACAAGAGATTTAGGAAGGATTGTGGACTGAGGCCAACTTGGAGAAAGTTGGTGTAAGACCCTATCTGAAAAATAAACCAAAAGCAAAAGGATTGGGGACATGGCCCAAGTAGCATAAACAAGGCTCTGAGTTCAATCCCAAGAACCAAGAAAAATGAGAGAAGGAGGGAAGGAGGGAGGGAGTGGATGGCGGATTGGAGGCTGGGGCCGCAGGTGGGTGACAGCTAAACAGGGTACAGATTTCTTTCTAAGGTCATTCTTAGGACTCAGAAGATGGCTGCAAAACTCTGTTATCAACTAAAAAACACGAGAGTGTGTCCATCTTGAAATGGGACAATTATAGAGTACTATTATATCTCAGTAAAGCTGTTGCTAATACAGCGACTAGAAGCTTTATTCATTTTTAGACTCTGATAGTTTTTAAACTGTAGTTTAAGAAAAAAAACCCTCTGTAAAGCAACTACTGCAGACGTTCCTGGGTATTTTCCATCACGGTAGTTCTAACTCCGTGTGAGCTCCTCCTTGCTCCTTCCCTCTCAGATGGGTTTCTTTGGCTGATGGCCAAGCCGCTCTTTGCCCCAGGCCTGAGCCGGGCTGTCTCCCATCCCCGTCCAGTCCTTCGCCCCCTCCTCACAGTGACCTCCAGGCCAGCACTGGCCTCACCCCCATGTTCCTCTTGCTCACTCCATTTTGTTAGCATGAGACAGGGCCTCACTATGTGGCTCAGGCAGGCCTCAAACTCCAGCTCCTCCTGCCTCAGCTTCCCAAGTGCTGGGATTTCAGGAACGCTGCACCATGCCTGGCTCTCCTCCACAATGTTAGCGCCAATTCCACTCCGATACCAGAGCCAGACCCCAGCGCCAGGCCACATCCACAGTTCCTGGCCCACGCCAGCACTCCTCCTCTCCATTCCCAGCAGTGGCCTACCTCCCTCCGCAGGCGCCGGAGGCCCTAGTGTGACATCGACACCCGCCAACAGCATCTGCACTGCAAACCTCTCAGTGGCAAACCCATCTAGCCACTGGCTTCTAAGCACACGGCACACTGATCTGATCTTTAAGTCAGTCCAGCTCCCCGTCTCTTTAGCCCTCTCTCTGAAGTTACCCTGGCTGCACTGGCTCCCACAGGAGGGGAGGGAAGGGGGAGGACCCTGCAGCCACTCACCCTGCGGTTCCGGTTGTGATCCATGGTCTTGAGGTGCTTCTGGATGATCCCGAACTGCATGGGGATGAAGAGATCGCAGGCCGCACAGTGGGCGGCCTCCACTTTCCTCACAAAGTGCTCCATGGCGATCTCTGGAGGGAGGAGCAGGAGGAGAGGGAGTCAGCCCTCCTCCCAGGTGCTACACACACCCAAGTTTAGGAAAAAGAAACCAATCAGACCAAAGCTGGGCACCAGTGGCTCAAAATTATCATCTTAGCTACTCAGGAGGCTGAGAGGATTGAGGATCAAAGCCAGTCTGGGCAGGAAAAATCCATGAGTCTCTTATCTTCAATTAACCTCCAAAGAGCCCAAAGTAGAGCTGTGGCCCAAGTGGTAGAACACTAGCCTTGAGTCAAAAAACTAAGGGGCTGAAGGCTGGTGGCTCACACCTGTAATCCTAGCTATTCAGGAGGCTCAGATTTGAGGATAGCACATGGTTTGAAGCCAGCCCAGGCAGGAAAGTCCACGAGACCCTTATCTCCAATAAGCCAACAAAAAAACAGAACTGAAGCTATGGCTGAAGTGGTGGAGCACTAACCCTGAGCAAGAAAGTTCAGGGACAGTGCCCAGGCCCTAAGTTCAAGCCCTAGGATCAGGCCCTGCGTTCAAGTCCTGGGATCTGCATAGATCTGCACAGGTGCATTAGACCAATCCTTCAGCTCACCCTGACCCTTCTACTCCGGCCTGTGGCCAGGAACAGGAGGCGTGCCAGAGCCCTCCACAGAGCAGCAGAGCAGCAGAGCAGGGTGGGCAGCGGCGGCCCTGCCTGGCGCCAGCCGGGAACCGCCTCACCTTGGGTCAGGTCCTGGTCCCGATAGATCTGTTGGATCAGACCATCAAGATCCTCCACGGTTTTTCGGAGCTCCTCTGTCTTCTTGGTTTTGTTGGTGACGTACTCCTGCAGGGGACACACAAGGTCACGCGCTGCCCTGCGTCCCCAGGGCCCTGGAGCGACGGACGGACCGACCACAGCCACGACTCACCTGCAGGAAGTCGGCCGTCTGCTTGGGCAGCTTGGTGCCCACATACTTAAAGTGCTCCTTGTGGAACTTGCTGTCCAGGTGGCTGGCCATCTCATCCTCGTAGAAGGTCCGGTATTTGCAAAGAGAGCACACGAACTGGATCCTGCCACGGGAGGGAGACGGGAGGCTGAGGCAACACAGGGTCTCAGGGGACGGCGCCGTCGCTTCACCCAACCCAACTGCAGGCCTGAAACACAGGCCTGCTCCTGGACCTCTGGGTGACAGTAGTCCCAGCTGGGACCTGGAGGGTGGGGAGCAGAAAGGGCCGGAGGCTGCGGTTACGGCAATGGAGGGGGCAGGGGAGGAGCTCTTGCTCTTGCTTCCCACGGGCAGGAGGCCGAAGCCCCAGGCAGCAGCAGCTGCAACAGGCCAAGGAGTCGCTGGAAGGTTGCTGGAGGGTCTCTACTGAGGCCGAGCTTGCGCACTTGGCCCAGCTCAGGGGGGGGCCAGAAGGAAGGAAGGAAGGAAGGAAGGATGGAGGCCCTGGCGTGCAGAGTGAAGAACGCAGTCCCGAGGCAGGGCCCGAATAGGTGCTGCCATCTTCCTTTCTCGGGTCTGTGGGACTCAAAGGCCCAGCCCATCCTCTGCTCGGAACGCTTGGGGGGTGGTGTCGGGAGGGACGGGAGACGAGCAGGCCTGGGCACCTGCCGCCTCATCTTCCTCTTCCAAGAAGAGACCAGTCTGAGCTGGCAGGAGGGCGCCGGCCCGGCCTGCCAGGGGGCAGCCTGGAGTGAGCGGGCGAGGTGCTCTCGTCTGGGCCTGGTGTCCACAGCAGAAGCCCGGGGTCTAGGGCCTGGGCTGGAGCAGGCCGCCATGACAAGGGGCGGAGGAGGCCAGCTGCCACCGCCACCGAGGCCTCGGGACGGGTCCCTACCTCTGCCGGACGTCCTTATCTGGGCCACGGGGTCAGCTTTGTCTGAAGAGCCCAGGGGCCGGGCGCCGGCGAGGCTGAGGAAGGTCCAACAAGAGCAAGAGTCTGAGGCGGAGGAGGAGGAGGAGGAAGAGGAAGAGGAGGCAATCGCCAGTGCGGGAGCCCTGAGGGCAGACAGACCCGACACCAAGGCGCACGGAGGGCTCGCTCGGCCGCAGACGGCCCGGCTGGCAGCGCGCGCGCGGCAGGCCCAAGGCGCCGCAGCCCACAGCTGCTGCTGCCATCTCTCCTGGGCACGGCGGCGGCCTCCCGGCAGCTAAAGTTGGGGTGACACAGGCGCCTTGGACCTTGAGTCTCTGACGAGCTGGCCCCCTCCCTCGGGGGCATCAGGCCCCCCGTGAGTGACCGAGCGCCGTAGCTTCTGGGCAAGGGTGCCGAGCCGTGTCGGGTTTCGGGCCACAGATACCAGCAGTCGCAAGGCGGCCAGAGGGGCAGGGGACGAGGTAGGCCTGGGGAGCAGGGCCTGGTGGGAAGCAGGGTCCATGCAGCCCCCAGCGGGGCTGAGCAGCTAAGAGAGGCTGGCCGAGAGAGGCTGGCCAAGAGAGGCTGGCCAAGAGAGGCCAGAGGGCGGCGCGATGGCAGAGAGATGGCCCTGCTGTGCTGAGCGCAGCCCGGGAGCGACACAGAGCCACAGGGACGGGGCGCTGGTTACCTTTCCACCATGCGGTCACGCTGCCGCTTCTTCTGCTTGTCCTGGCTCTTCTTGGCAGCCTGTAGCTTGCGCTTGGCCTGGCTGCTCTCATCCTGGCTGGTCAGGGCTCCTGTGGGAACAGAAGGGCTCCGTCACCAGCGCGGCTCTGCCAGCTCAGGATGGGCCCTGCGGCCTCTGGCTGCTTCACCCGCCGCCGTCCACTCCAAGGGTCCATCTGAGAGCAGCTGTCCACGCGAGGCCGCAGGCCACGAGCACGGTTGGGTGCCCTGCACTGGGCAAGAAATGGGTTTGGCCTAGGCCCCCAGAGACGGGGGGGGGGGTTACACACTGAGCCCTCCGCTCTCCAGGACACCCTCACTCTCTGCAGAGTGGGCTCTGGGGGAGGGGGGGCCTGGAAGGCAAAGACGAGGCCACCTTGCTAGGGACACTGGCGCGTGTGGCGGGATGCAGGGAGGCCGCACACGTGGCCCTGCCCACCCCCCACCGGGCACCGCGGCAACAGTGGGCTGAGGCTGGATTTACTGTTAGGTACCTGCTGGCGCTCATCACTCAGGTGGGGGGACACGGACTCCCAACAGGGGCTGGAGAGGCGCTAAGGGAGAGGACACGCAAACCAGAGCCGTAAAAACTGCACCAAGGGTCCCAGCTCGGACACCAGCCACTGAGGACTCGGAAGTGGGTGTTACTGAGGGACCAAGGGGCGGGGGGGGGGGGGGGGGCGTGCCTGGGGTCCCCCACGCTTTTGCCTGCAGCCCCCACCTGAAGGTACACAAAGGTGCTGGGCAGGACTGCCACCATCCACACGCTCTGCCTGAGATGTGGGGAGCAGAGTGGGGGGAGAAGCAGGGAAGGAAGAGCCCCTGCCAGCACACACCCCGTCCCACAGGGATGTCCCCAGCAGGCCACACAGCGCTTCAACCCGGCCCTTGGCTGGCTCCCGCCCACCCAGTACTCAGGCCCAGCACCCAGGAAGCCCCGCAAGACTCACCCTTCTCTGAATCATCCTTGCCATCTTCTCTCCCATCCTCTTTTCCCTCCTCGTCCTCTCCTTCCTAACACACAATGTGATAGTCCCACTTTAAAAGGCGGACAGTTGACGAGGTCTCTAAAGACAGCCCAGGACAGCAGCCTCCCTCCTCCCAGGACCCGGCGTGCAGGGGCTCACGGTCCCGTTTCCCCCAAGGGACGCAGGCCCCTGGTGAGTGGTCTGCCCCCCTCCTGGCACTGCCCCCTACCCCTACCCCCCCACCCACTCCGCTACCCAAGCCAAGGCACCCCAAGCCCCGGGCGAGGGCACCGCCCTCCTGGGCCCCACCGCAGGGAGCAGGGAGGGAGGCCAGGGGCCACTTACTCGAGAGCTTTTCTCCATGGGTTCAGTGCCTTCCGTGCCCTCAGCGGCCTCCCCCTCGGTGCCCTCGTCTGTAAAGGCAGAGGAGCCGACTCAGGGCGGAGTCCCGCAGGGTGGGGGGAGAGCAGGGGGCAGGCCGGGGGGGCGGGGGTGGGGGGCGGGGGGGGGTGAGGGGCAGGGGAGGGTGAGGGGCAGGCGGGGGGTGAGGGGCAGGGGGGGGGGGTGAGGGGCAGGCGGGGAGGGGGGCAGGCCGGGGGAACAGGCGGGGCAGGCGGGGCCCTCCGCTCACCGTTCTCCGAATCGCTGTTGTCGGAGCAGTCCGTCCTGGTGGCCTTGCTGTCCGGCTCCTCAGGACTGCCACCCTGCTTTCGCTTCTTCTTTTTCGTCTGGGCCACAAGGAGGACGGGCGGTCAGGAGGGGTGGCCATGCGCTCGCCCGTGGGGCCACAGGGGCCTGCGCCCCGCCCACCGGGAGGCTCCGCCCGCCGGGAGGCTCCGCCCGCCGGGAGGCTCCGCCCACCGGGAGGCTCCGCCCACCGGGAGTCAGCCCTGGCCCGCCGCCTAACGCACCCGGAAGTCGGCCGTGGTCCAGGTCTTCCAGGTCCGCCTCATCTGCTTCATGCCATTGCCAAAGCCAAAGCCAAAGCGGGCGCCGCCCGGGAAGGCGCCCCCGCCGCGCATGCCCTGGAACATGCCGTACTCGGGGATGATGTTCTGGGAGAAGAGGGAGGGCAGCCGGGAGGCACCTGGCATGCACTGGCCCCGGGCCCCCATGGGGTCTTCCCACATGCGCCCATAGCCCGAGGCCATCGGCCGGCCGCTCCGGGCATCCCGGGCCCAGCCCTGAGCCCTCGGACCGAAGGAGTCGCCGCCACGCATGCGGAACTGGTCGCGGTAGGCGTCATACTGGCCCTCATAGGCCATTTCCATCTCAGGGTCGAGGTCGCCATAGTCATAGCCCGACCGGTAGAGGTCGCGCTCACCCAGGACGGCCCTCGTGTCACAGGCCTCATAGGAGTCATATCTGCAGAGGGAGGGGTCCGTCAGCCAGAGGCCAGCCAGAGGCCAGCCGACCGCTTCTGCCCTCTGCTCCCCCCAGACCTGGGGCAGTAAGCCCGGCTCCAGCACCCACCCCGGCCCTGCTGCAGAGGTTCAATGATCAGCAGTGCCAAAGTGCAGCGTCCAGAATCAAGGAGGACCTCTCATAGGCGACCCACTGCCCCAAGCTTGAACGTAGCCTTGCACCAGCCAGGGCCTGACCAAGGACCCAGCTTGGCAGGGAGACACTACTCCTGCCAGTTTCTGGGAGAAACAAGGCCATCCCACAGCCAGTCACAGTGCCCAGAGCTGCTCTTCAAGTAGAGACAAGTACCCAGCACAAGGAACGCTTAGCCATGGTGGTGGATAAAACCCACAGGAGGCCCGGCACCGGTGGCTCAAGCCTGTAATCCACAGAGGCTGAGATCTGAGGATCTGAGGATCACAGTTCAAAGCCAGCCTGGGCAGGAAAGTCCATCAGACCCTTATCTCCAAATAACCATTAGAAAACCGGAAGTGGTGCTATGGCTCAAGTGATAGAAAACGTGCCTTGAGCTGAAGAGCTGAGGGACAGCACCCAGGAACAATGCTAGCCTCATCCCCTATGACTACAGGAACCCTCAAAAAAGCACTGTGAGAACAAAGTTTATAAACCCTATATTCAGCTGCAGTGTAGGCCCACACCAGGGCTCTCAGCTAATCTCAAACAGGAGAGCTGCCTGAGCAACAGAGCTAGGCCCTGTCTTAAAAAACTGGACCAGGATCTGGGGGTTCATGTCTACAATCTGAGGATTGAGGTTAGAAGCTAGTGCAGGCTAGTCCATGGGAGTCTCATCTCTAATTAACTACCAAAAAGCCAGAAGAGGAGCTGCAGTTCAAATGGTAGAGCACCAGCCTTGAGGTAAAAAAGCTCAGAGACAGTGCTCAGGCCCTAAGTTCACCCTGGCATCAAAAAAAAAAAAGCAAAAAAGACAGTACCCAAGCCCCAAATTTAATACATACACACACACACACACACACACACACACACACACACACACACAGATACACAGAACCATGATCCTCCCTATTCCTGCCTCCTAAGTAGCTGGGATTATAGCTGTGAGCCACCCACTCCCATTAATAAGGCCCTTGAATGTGGCTAGGAGATGCCACATCGGTGCCACCCTTTGTGTGGAACGGCCCAACCTGCCAAGGTTGGTTCCACCCCTACACCAGTGCCAATCTGTCCTGCCCTCTCTGGGAAGCGAGGGGTATCTGGACACATTGCTTTTGGGGAGCCATGCTGTGTGTGCTGAGAAGCCAGCCATGGGGCATGGATAACAGGCCTGAGGACCTCAGTGCGAGCACGGGGTGCTGAGAGGCCCAGAAGCAGACACAGTGCTCAGGGCTGTGAGCACCACCAGGCCAGACCCACCCTGGCGCCAGCCGCCCCCGCCCCGCCCCCGCCGCCCCGAGGCGGCCTCCACTCACTCACCTTTCCCCACCAGAGCCGTACATGCTTCCTTGCATCACGTCAGTCTCCAAGTGCGGCACCACATCTAAGCGCTGGTTAATTCTGGATAAAACGGAATCGGCACTGGCGCCACCCGAGGCACCGGGGTTGGCATTTGTGTCAGAGCCGGACACTTCCCAGGAGTGGGACGTGGCCATACCATACCCATAGTTGGTGGCGCTATCCTGGCCATAGCCGTAGCCATAGCCATAGCTCTCGTAGCCTGCGAGAGGAAAGGCACACGGCGTTACACCGACAAAGAAATACGTGTCTTTTGTCACTAGACAAACTGGGGGACTCTAGCTACCCAAAAAGGAGTAAGCATCTCCCCAACAGGGACACCCAGAGCCCCCAGCGATGCCAGGCAGTGGCAGACCAGAGGAGAGCAGGCGCGGGGATACTTGCCTCTGTCTGTCCCAGAGTTCCAAGTTCCATATCCTACAAAAAGCAGAAAGGCAGCCGCTCGACCCACAATTCCTCTCAGTACCACGGCGTTTCACTGAGCTTCTCTCAGTACCTAATCCATGGCCTATGGCCTCCTGACCTTCCCATAACTAAGATGTCACTCACAGTCGGCAGCAGTGGCTCATGCCTGTAATCCCAGCTACACAAGAGGCTGAGCTCTCAGGATCAGTGTTCAAAGCCAGCCACCAACAGGAAAGTCCATGAGAGTCTGATCTCCAATTAACCACAACAAAAGCCAAAAGTGGTTCTGTGACTCAAGTGCTAGAGCACTAGTGTTGAGCAAAAACAGCTCAGGGACAGCACCTAGGCCCTGAGTTCAAGCCCCAGAATTGACCCATAAAAAAAGCAGAAATGGAGCTGTGGCTCCAAGTGGTAGAGTGCCAATCTCCAGTGAAAAAGTGAAGCCAGAGCGTAACGGTCTAAGTTCAAACCCCAGGACTGGCACACACTCACAAAAAAAGATGCCCCCACATGGAATGCCACCACACAGTCACAGCAGGCCACCGATCTGGTGACCAGCTCTGAGCAGCTGGTATTTGAGTTTCTACATTCCCCCTTTGAGGAGATTCAGTTATAAGATGACCTGCCCACCCCTGGCTAAACAGTAGTAGAAAGAAGAGGAAAATGGCTAACAGTATGTATTAGCGCACACACACACACACACACACGCACACACACCAGCCTTTATACAAGAACCCTGGCAGAGTCTATGTACACACTGAAATCATGGCATCAATTCTCTCTCCTGAACCAGCTGAAGCAGAGAAAGGACCATGGGGTCCTCCAAATGTCTGCCTCCACAGAGAAAGCCAACGTGGCTTTGAAGTGCCCGCTATGCTGTGCAGGGCGATGTCATAGAAGGATCTGGAGCAGAAAGTAAACACAGGCTGGCTTTGATCACCACATACTGGAAGAGCTCCTTGCTTCCGGATAATAAGGCTGCTGAGAACCAACAAGGTGCTGCCCAAGTGGAAACTGCACCGCAGACATGACACAGGTCCTCCCCAGAGGACCACGTGGGGATAAAGGACCCCTTTCTCCCAGGATTTCTGGTGAGACTCCTGGTTGCTTCCAGTGCCACACCATGTCTGCTCTGCAGACACATGCACGATGCGCTCGCCTCCAGGCATGGGACCAAAGTCAGTAAGAACCAGAGGAGAAAAGCAGTGCAACACGGGCTTTGAAGCACACACCTGCAATCCCAGCTACTCAGCAGGCTGAGAGCTGAGATCAGGGTTTGAATCCAGCCTGGGCTGAGAATCCCATGAGACTATTTCCAATTAACTACCAAAAAGCTGACAATAGAAGTGTGGTTTAGGTGGTAGAACACCAAGTCTCATTACTGACTCACACACACACACACACACACACACACACAAAGCGCACACGCACACACACACAATCAGAACCCCCCCCCCCACAGGAACAACTATCTAGACCCCAGGCTCACAGCCTCACAGCCTTGTGCACACCAGGAGTGGTGCACACTGGGATCCAGAAGGGAGACAGGACTGGACAGGACAGTGCAGGCAGACTCTTCAGGTGCTGCTTGTGGGGCCGGTTCCTCGTCACCCCAGCTTCCACAGCAGGCTGGGCAAGCACGGGAAGGAAGGGTGGGCATGGACTCTCAACAGCACTTGATGCTTCAAGATCAGGCATGCGGCTCCTGTGCCAGGGCTGCCCCCAGCAGTCAGGACTCCCTGGCTGGCAAGCCCTAAGTCCCTGAGACACTCTCTAGCTGAGAGCACTGCCTCCCCCCCCCCCCCCCCACCAGGAAGGCCTTTCTAGGCTGGCATTTTGGACTCCAAGAAACCTGCCTCTTCTGAAAGAACATCAAGTCACTTCTGTCTCCTAGAGGAAATGAAGTCATGGTTGGCAAGAGGAATTTTAAGAACAGAGTTGTTTAAAGGAAAGGAAAAAGCCAGGTGCCAGAGGTCATGCCTGTAATCCCAGCTACTCAGGAGGCTAAGAAATGAAGATCACAGTTCAAAGATAGAAGAAGCCAGAAATAAAGCTGTGGCTCCAAGGGGGCAGAGTGCTAGCCTTGAGCAAAAAGCTCAGGGACAGTGCCATGGTGCCCAGGCTCTGTGCTCTAGCTCCAGAACGGCATCAAAAAAATAAAAAAAGCCGGGCGCTGGTGGCTCACGCCTGTAATCCTAGCTACTCAGGAGGCTGAGATCTGAGGATCGTGGTTCAAAGCCAGCCCGGGCAGGAAAGACCGTGAGACTCCTATCTCCAATAAACCACCAGAAAACCGGAAGTGGCGCTGTAGCTCAAGTGGTAGAGCGCTCGCCTTGAGCTGAAGAGCTGAGGGACAGCGCCCAGGCCCAGAGTTCAAGCCCCACGACCGGCAAAAAAATAAATAAATAAATAAATAAAAAGAGGGCTGGGAAGGTGGCTCCACAGTAGAGCGCTTGTCTTGCATGCATGAGGACCTGGGTTCAATTCCTCAGCACCACATAAACAGAAAAGGCCGGAAGTGGTGCTGTGGTTCAAGTAGTAGAATGCTCGTCCTGAGCTGAAGAGCTGAAGGACAGTGCCCAGGCCCAGAGTTCAAGCCTCACAACCAACAATAAGTTAATTAATTAATTGATAGAAAGAAAGACAATGGCAGATCATCACAATAAGCAATAATTATAGGCCAAAAATATAATTTAAGGACAAAATTTAAGGATAATGGCCTACCTGCTGAGAAAGACAGCACGTGGGCATTAATTTATTAGGCCTTGTGCAGCAGGAGGAAATGCTTAAACCAGCAAAATAAAGCAGGGCACACAATCCTATCCACCTATAAATTAGTCAACAGCATAAAACAGGTAGGCCAACAGATTAAATATTAAAATGGTCAGATCTAGGCTGGCCCATTTTTTTTTAATGTATATAAATACTGTTACCTTGTACTGTCAGCCAGAAGGGAAAGCGAAACATTAAAACAATGGTCTACATTAATATATATATAATATATATATATATATATGGGGCTGGGAAGGTGGCTCAGTAGTAGAGCACTTGCCTTGCATGCCTGAGGCCCTGGGTTCGATTCCTCAGCAAAAAGAAAAAAGCCGGAAGTGGTGCTGTGGCTCAAGTGGTAGAACGCTAGCCTTGAGCTGAAGAGCTGAGGGACAGCGCCCAGGCCCAGAGTTCAGGCCCCATGACCAGACCCCCCCAAAAAAATATGTGTATATATATATATATACACACACACATATATGTGTGTGTGTACATATGTATCACCAGGTGCCAGTGGCTCACACCTGTAATCCTAACTTCTCAGGAGGCTGAGATCTGAAGATCATGGTTTGAACCCATCCTGAACAGGAAAACTGAAGATTCTTATCTCTAACCACCAAAAGGCCAGAAGTGGAGCTATGGCTCATGTGCTCAGGACACCACCCAGCCCCTGAGTTCAAGCCCCAGGACTGGCACTCAAAGAAAAAAGGGCCGAAGGAGCTAGTCTTGAGGGATAGAAAGCATTATTGTGGCTGGCCCAGGGGAAGCCCTAGCTATTCAAACGAGCCACCACATTCAAGCCCCACAACCGACCAAAAAAAAAAAAATCTCAAATGAGCCACCAGACCATTTTATGAACATTCATGGTTAGTAAAAGCAAGACAAAATGATAGGAGTACTGCAGGAGATCTAGAAGGCAGAGCTCCCTCCCCCGCCAGGGCCCCCACTTACCATAATCACAGGTGGGCTGAGCACTGGTGTCTGAGTATGTTGACTGCAAAGTAGTTTCAGATCCCTGGACAAAGCCTAAACATAGGCACAAGTGGTTAATCTCCCCAAGCAAGCCACCGGAAAATGACTAAGACTCCCTTTGTATGTACTGGCCAGCAGGCCCTCCCTCAGCTGGCAAACTACCCAGGTCTTCTAGATCAATCCAACATTTGAATTAGATCTCTACTACATACTTAACAATGGACAGATGGGCAACATTTACCTTGTTACACCAGAAGGGCTCAATTTGTGTGGGTATGGGTGTGTGTGTGCACATGTACGTGTGTGTGTGTGTGTGTATGTGTGTGTGTGTTGGTTTTGTGGGTCATACTCCAGGGTTTGAACTCAGGCCCTGGGCACTGTCCCTGAGCTTTTCTGCTCAAGACTGGCACTCTACCACTTGAGCCACAGCTTTACCTTCAGCTTTATGCTAGTTAACTGGGGATAAAAAGTTTCACAGACTTTTCTGCCTGAGTTGGCTTGGAACTGTGATCCTCAGATCTCAGCCTCCTGAGTAGCTGAGTTTACCGGCTGAGCCACAGACACTCAGTTTGATTCCATTCTATTTCCATCTTCACAACACATTTACATTGACAAGGAAGGCTATGATTTAAGTTGTTACACTGGAGTGGCTAAATGATTTTGTGGAGGGGATGGGGTAAGTGAATATACAAATCACTGTCAGCAGACACTGGTGGCTCACGCCTGTCATCCTAGCTACTCAGGAGACTGAGATCTGAGAATTGAGGTTCAAAGCCAGGCCCGGCAGGGAAGTCTGTGAGATTCGTATCTCCAATAAACCACCAGAAAACTGTAAGTAGAGCTGTGGTGCATAGTGATAGAGCGCTCACCTTGAGCTCACCCAGTACCAGTGGTCCAGACCCAGTACAAATGAGCCCCACAATAACTGAAAAACAGCCAGAGAAGTTACTTTCAATTGAAACAAAGATGAAGGTGCATTTTGAAACAATGTTAACACAGATAATACTCTACATCCCCTTGTATCAACCCAAAGAGAAACTCTATCATATAGTTTCCCATTAAAAGGTAGGGTTGTTCTGTTGTGTTTTGTTTTGTTTGGGGGGGGAGGTTGCTCTTGTTTTTTGTTCTAGGGATTGAACCCAGGACCTTGCACAAGCAAGGCAAGCGTGCCACCACTGAGCTACATTCAGTTATTTCTTAAACGTAATTATTTGGGCTGGGATGTTAATATGGAGATAAGAAGTAGTATACCATATGGCTTCAATCTGAAATGTAAAATGCTCCTTCAAGCTATGAAAGCTACGTGTGCAAGGTAACCAGGCACCGGTGGCTCATACCTGTAATCCTAGCTGCTCAGCAGGCTGAGAACTGAGGATCTCTGTTCAAAGCCAGCCCAGGCAGAAAAGTCCCAGTGAGACTCATGTCTCCAATTAACCACTCAAAACCCTAAGTGGTGCTGTGGCTCAAGTGGTAGAGTCTAGCCTTGAGCAAAAAGAGGCTCAGGGACAGCCCCCAGATCCTGAGTGCAAGCCCCGCAATCAACAAAAAAGAAACGAATTTGGATTTCATGCATAAAGATGGGTCTCACTCCCAGAGCCATCCCATTTAGTTATATATAAATACTGAAGAAAAAAAACTAACTTGGAAATCTGAGTCCTAAGCATTGGGATGAGGGATCACAATCTGCAGATAGCTAAGATGCTGTCTCTCTTCTGTCAACCTGCTTTTCCACTTAGATAAACCTCTTTCAACTATGGAAAATTTGGACCTCTAAGACTGCTTATAGGCTGTGTACCAACCAGTGGCTCACATCTGTAATCATAGCTACTAAGGAGGCTGAGATAGGAGGATCACATTTGGAAAGCCAGCCCTGGCAGGAAAGTCTGTGAGACTCTCATCTCCAATTAATCACCAAGAAAAGCCAGAAGTGGAGCTGTGGCTCAAATGGTAGAGTACTAACCTAGAACACAAAAACTCAAGGACAACACATAGGCCCTGAGTTCAAGACTCAGGACCAGCTCAAAAACTAAAATAAAATAAAAAAAGAAAGTCTGCTTAAAATAGACTAACACCAAAGTCTAAGATCTAATTTAGGGGTGTGGGGGGAGGGGTGTGGGGTGTGGCTTAGAGCTTGAACTCAATTACTTGCTGTCTTTGAGCTTATTGTGCTCGAGGATGGTGCTCTACCACTTGACTGCAGCTCCATTTCTGGCTTTTGGCTGGTTAATTGGAGATGAGTCTTGTGGACTTTTCTGCCCAGGCTGGCTTCAAACAATGATCCTCACATCCCAGTCTCCTGAGTAGCTAGGATGACAGGTGTAAACCATCCACACCCAGTAGAAGCCCAAGATTTTATTGTTGGTGGTGGTCATGGGGTTTGAACTCTGGCCTGGGTGCTGTCCCTTAGCTCTTCAGCTCAAGGCTAGCGCTCTATCTCTTGAGCCACAGCACCACTTCTGGCTTTTTCTGTTTATGTGATGCTGAGGAATTGAACCCAGGGCCTCATGCATGCAAGGCAAGCGCTCCACCACTGAGCCACCTTCCCGGCCCAACCCTGAGATTTTAAAATACTTTTTTAAATGATTTTGCCTTTGGCGCTGAATTCCGACAGAGAGGCAAAATCTGCCACTTTCCATTAGTAGTACCTTGACCTGAAAATTAAGCTTACCCTGAAAATTAAAGCCCAGACTCTCCAATAGGTTCTTTACAACAAAAACAATTAGCACCCATTCAGGTGGGCATTCTCATATTTGCTGGCCAGCTAACTTCATCTCATAAGATATAGCAAAAGCCAGCACCATAGGCCTGCCCGCAATCCTCGCCATTCAGGAGGCTGTACAGCAGCTTCACAGGGAGCCTCCCATACCTGGGGGAAGGGGAGAACAGAGGAGAGAACACCCAGCAAATCTACTGAAGCTCAGAATCCAATGGCTCTCTCTATTCGGTCCTTCCTGTATTAATATCCAGTTCCACAACAACTCCTGGGCCAGGTCTTTCTTCTCCCCTTTGCAGCTATTTTGAATAAATTCTTATCTGATTCATAAAGCGTCTTCTGCTTGGTTCTATTTTCCAGCCTGATCTGCTCTAGGTGAAAAAAACAAACCCTGGTTGGTTCAATAAAGGGTCAAGACCATGGATCGATTCTGCAGTGCAGCCCCCCTCCCCTCGAGGGAGCCTCCGTCCATTTGGGTTTTTGTGGGTTTTTGCCAGTACTGGGACTTGAACTCAGGATCTAGGCAATTGTTGCTTAGCTCTTTCTCCCAAGACTGGTGTTCCACTTCTGGCTTTTTGGTGATTAACTGGCAATATGAGTCTCATGGACTTTCCTGCCTGGGCTGGCTTTGAACCATGGTCCTCAGATCTCAGCCTCCTGAGTAGCTAGGATGACAGGCATGAACTGCCAGTCCCAGGCTTTTATCATTGTTTTTGCTCAAAAATGCAAAACAGCAAAACACACCTGTCATCCTAGCTACTCAGGAGGCTGAGATCTGATGATCGCAGTTCAAAGCCAGCCCAGGCAGGAAAGTCCGTGAGACTCTTATCTCCAATAAATGACCAGAAAACCTGGAAGTGGTGCTGTGTCTCAAGTGGTAGAGTGCTCACCTTGAGCTGAAGAGCTCAAGGAAAGCACCCAGGCCCAGAGTTCAAGCCTCATGACCCACCTACACACACCAAAAAAAAAAAGTAAAACCATCTCTAGTTTTCTTCTTTCTTTCCTTTTTCTTTGAAGGAACAATAGGATCATTGGAAATGGGTCAGGTGGCCTCCAACCCTGACCACCTGAGCCAGGACAAAGGTGCTGGTCAGCCTGAGATGGCTTGGGAAGACACTTCTCTCCTGAGTACTACAGCAACCAGGGTAGCCACTGAGCTGGGGGGGGGGGGGTGGCATGCGATGTTTAGCATTAGTCTGAGGGAAACCAGCCATGTTGCCACCCCACAGGGAGACTCCTGTGGTAAAGAACCAGAGCCAGCATCAAATCTGCCAGGCACAGATGTTTGAGTCACCCCAGGGTGGGGCTGCCAGCACCGGGCCAGCTTTCTACTGACATCCTAAAGGCAACCCGAGCCAGAGACGCGCAGCTACAGTAATGTGCATTCCCTACACGGAGACGGACACTGGGCGAGAGCAAAACGGCTTCCATAAATAGACTGGCAACATTTCAGAACCTTTGTTTGAAGGCCAGATTCTAGATTTTTATCTGCTGTTTTCCTTTTACCCCTTGATGCTAGAGATAGTCTCTTTTCCCAAGTATAAATAAAGCAACTGGGTTCAAAAGCTAGACCAATTAACAATGAGATACATTATCTTTATCATCATTTATGTGAAAGAATAATAGCAATGTTCGCCTCAAAACTTATCCTTAAAGCAGTTACCTGAAAGATTATTTTAAATGCCTTAGAACTTAGCAGTCTTGTGTGTTGTTTCTTCCCCCCGCCCCCTTGCAGTGCTGTGATTTGAACCCAGGTTCTCACAAGTAACAAGCAAATACTCCCTGCAATAAACCCTCAGCTCCAGTCTGCTTCATTTTTTGTTTTAGATTTAACAGAGGGTTGACCATTCCATAAGTCACGTAGTGAATACTTTTCTCTTGGGACAATGTCATCCCTCCCCTTGCTTGCTCCCAGTTTTTCCCTCCCATCCCCACCCACAAATTGTATACTTCATTTTCAACATGGTGTCTACTGCGTACCATGAGTGCATTTGTTTGTTCTTTTGTGTATGTGGGGGGGTGGGGTCACAGGTCTTGAACTCTGGGCCTGGGCGCTGTCCCTCAGCTCTTCAGCTTAAGGCGAGCTCTCTATCACTTGAGCCACAGCGCCACTTCCCATTTTCTGGTGATTCAATGGAGATCAGAGTCTCACAGACTTTCCTGCCTGGGCTGGCTTTGAACTGTGATCCTCAGAGCTCAGCTTCCTGAGTAGCTGGGATTACAAGTGTGAGCCGCAGGCCCCCCGCTGTTTTTGATTTTTAAGACAGGTTCTTGCTATTTAATCCAAGCTGGCCTCAAATAGGATTTCCCCTGGCCTCTTCCTCCTGAGTGATGGGATTATAAGAGTACACCCCATTCCTGGCTTCCTGGTTGGAAAGAACCATATTATAAAGCTATTGTGGTTTTCAGTTTATTAACATCAAGGAAAAACTAATCATTATACCTCATTAGCTTGACCCAGCAAATCCAGAATTACAGCCCACAAGATCTGGAGCTGAAATATAAGCTTGGCCATTAGCAATCCCTCTAATTCAGTTTCCTCATCTATAAAAATAAATATTCCATTATTAAGATACCCCAAAGAGGACTGGGAAGGTGGCTCAGTGGTAGAGCACTTGCCTTGCATGCATGAGGCCCTGGGTTCGATTCCTCAGCACCACATAAGAAGAAAAAAAAAGCTGGAAGTGGCGCTGTGGCTCAAGTGGTAGAGCACTGGCCTTGAGCTGAAGAGCTCAGTGCCCAGGCCCAGAGTTCAGGCCCCACGCCCAGACCAAAAAAAAAAGATACCCCGCAGAGGGGCTGGGAAGGTGGCTCAGTGGGAGAGCGTTTGCCTCACATGCATGAGGCCCTGGGTTCGATTCCTCAACACCACATAAACGGAAGTGGTGCTGTGACTCAAGTGGTAGAGCGCTAGCCTTGAGCTGAAGAGCTCAGGGACAGCGCCCAGGGCCAGAATTCAGGCCCCATGACCACCACCACCAACAACAACAAAAAGATATCCCAGAGTGGGGAGCTCGTGGCTCACGCCTGTAATCTTAGCTAATCAAGAGGCTTAGATCTGAGGATCATGTTCAAAGCCAGCCCAGGCAAGAATGTCCACGACTCCTAGATCCAATTAACTTCCAAAAAGCCAGAAGTAGAACTGAGCTCAAATAGTAGAGCACTAGCTTTGAGCAAAGGAAGCTCAATGACAGTGCCCAAGCCCTGAGTTCAAGCCCCAGGACCAGCACAGAAAAAAAAGAAGAAGCCAGGCACCAGTGGCTCATGCCTGTCATCCTAGCTACTCAGGAGGCTGAGATCTGAGGTTGTGGTTCAAAACCAGTGGGCAGGAAAGTTCATGAGACTCTTACCTCCCATGAACATGGCACTGTGGCTCAAGTGGTAGAGTGCTTGAGCTGAAGAGCTGAAGGAAGCACCCAGGCCCTGAGTTGAAGCCCCACGACCGACCCAAAAAACAAAAAACAAAAAACATATCCACAGCATCCAGCCTTGGGTTCACTCAGCAGTATTGTCTCTAAATACTATGAAATTGCTGGGCTCTGGATGCCTAAGCCTATCATCCTAGCTACTCAGGAAGCGCATAATTGAGGATAGCAGTCAGAAGCGAACCAGCCTGGGCAGAAAACTGTGAGATTCTTAACTCTACAAATAACCACCAAAAAGCCAGAAGTGAAGCTGTGGCTCAAGTGGTAAGAGTGCTAGCCTTGAGTGAAAAGGTAGGAACAGCATCTAGGCCCAGACGTCAAGACCCAGTACCAAAATAAGTTCACAAATACTTCAGTTCCTGGTGAGGACTTGGAATTACATCTTCATTTCAGAAGACATTAACAGTAGTCCTACCAATTTTCGTCTAGAACCCAGGCATGCTACAGCAGGACTCAACACAGATGTCCAAGCTCAGCACTGAAGCTTGGGGCCAGTGAGTTCTTTGGTGGGGCTTGGTGGGCCCAGAAGGATGCTAAGCAGCATCCCAGGCCTGTATCCACTAGACCCCTACCCCCACTCCCAGAAGAGACACTAAAGCGAGACTCCTGCCACTATTATATATCCTGAGGAGGGAGCTGAGAAGCAGGTCAATTTGCCCTGGATTGAGAACCACCAGGATAAGGAAAAGCTGCTAGAAAAACTGGAGTTTTTGACCAGGGGGGCTGGAGCAGGGAAGGTTGGCACATAAAGGGATCAATGGAGGAGCCCAGAGCTTGAGCTCTGAAGTCTTTTTTTTTTTTTTTTTTTTGGGGGGGGGGGAGGCAGTACTGGGACTCGAACCTTGAACTCCAGGCTTGGGTACTGTCCCTCAATTTTTTTTTTTTTTAAACTCAAGGCTGGTGCTCTTCCAATTTAGCAATACCTCATCTTCCAGCTTTTTTTTTTTTTTCTGGGTGGTTAACTGGAAATAAGTGTCCCACAGACTTCCCTTCCCTGGGCTGGCTTCAAACTGCAATCCTCAAATCTCAGCCTCCCTGAGTAGCTAGGATTACAGGCGTGAGCCACCAGTGTGGGGCTCCATTGTCAGTCTTGAACATTCTGAAATAGAATGCAGGTTACCCGGCAACAGCATCTATGCAAGCTTGAATACCTCCAGCCAAGGGGGGAGGCCCAGTGGGCTGAGCTGGTGGAGGAGCTTCATTGGTTACAGCCAAAGCAAATCCAATCGGCCTTGGCAATTCACCCAGGGATGATTCACAATCACACTAGCGTACCTTCCCCCTCCCCTCTCTCCTCACCCACCTTCCTCCCTCTCTCTCAGCCCAGATCCCTCAACAGTCAATTCGTGCCTCAGGGGTTTTGTTTTTGTTTTTTTCCTCCAAAAGCTGCTGCAGAGCGGGCTATCTTTATTCTCTCCAAATTCTATTTGGATCTCTTGCTTTAAACCTCACCACTTCCCAGAGGCCTCCACGACTTCTCTCTAATGGATCAACCCCCACAGAACACTGATCCCCCCCCCCCCCCCCCCGCCCCAGGCCCTCAGAATACAGCCGCACTGGTCTGCTCGCCCCGGTCTGCCCAGCCCCTGACACGGATGAGTGTGGAAATCCAAGTCCCTCCTCGCCCCGCCTCGCTCGAGCTGGGTCCTCAGGGGGCCGCAGGATCCCACCCGGAGGTCAGAGCCCTCCCCTCACCGCCGCTCCCTGCTCTGAGGTCAGGGGACGTCGGCGAGCCCTGCCCCGGCCCCACGCAGGGCCAGGCGGACACCCCACGAGCCGCGTCTGTTGACATGAGGCGGGGACCCCCCCGCACTTCCCCAGGTGCCCAAACCCGGGGCCCCGCGGCGACGGGAGCCCGAGCCCTCCCGCCAACCCCCAGGCGCCAGCGCGGCGGGCCGAGGGCGCCGCGGCCTACGGGGCGCGACCCCCGGGCCACCAGCCCGCGGCGCCATTTTGTCACCGCAGCCGGCAGTGACCCGGACGCCCAGGGACGGGTGGACAAGCCCCGGCCAGGCCCAGCCCGCACCCGCCCTGCCCTCCCCAACCAGCCACACTCAGAGCGCGACCCCTGCCCGGCCCGGCCCACCTGTGTAGCTCATGGCGGCGGCGGCGGGGACGGCCGGACGCTACACCGAGAACGACAGCGGAGGCTCCGGCGTCTGACGCCTCGACAGCCGCAACAATCCCTGGGCTCCCCCGCCCCTACACACATTCCAGCCCCGCCTCCCGACCGCATTGGCCAGTGAGAGTCACGGACTTCACAGCTATTGGGTTACGTCGTTGTCTATCGAGCCCGCCTCGTCATACAAGTGGCTATGTGTGCTGCCAATCTCGTGAGGTTCCCGCCCTGTCCTCCCCGCCTTCCGTTATGCTACACCCGCGCTGATTGGGCGAGAAAAGTCAGCGGAGAGATAAAGGGGGTGGGGCTAGGCGCTACGGGGAGGCCCGAGGCCCAATCCCCAAACCCGGTGAGCCAGCAGGACTAACAATGCCTTGGGGACCCGCCAGAGGGAGCCGAGACGAGGACACAGGTCACCCCGAGTTCTGCGACCCGGCCAACCCGGTCCAGGTTTCTGCACTTTACCTCCAGCTGCAAAACGAGCAAATGCTGGAACGAGGAAGCCGAGACTGCTGGGCTCACTTGCAAACACTGCATGAACTAATGTACGCAGCCAGCCAGTCGGGGAGGGGGGAACCAGGGTTTGAACTCAGGGCCTCAGGCCTTCGCTTGGTGGCTTGCTTTGAGCCACCTCAAGCCCTGCTTTTTGCTGGTGGTTTTAGAAACGGAGCCTACCGGATTTTCCAGGCCCCAGCTGCTTTCTCAGACTGAGTAGCTAGGATTACAGGATGGCAGCTGGCATGTTTTCTTAATAAGAAATGATCAGTCAGTTGGATGTGAGCTCAGTGGGTACACGTGATGTTCTAGTAATATCCCCAGCATTGCCACACAAAAAGTAATTTGTATATGTATATGGTAAGTTTGTGTTGTAAGTCTATGTATATGGTAAGTTTGTTTTGTATTATATATTACCTAAAATGCTCTTGCAAACTTACAAGGGACTATTAAAAAAAAAAATCTGAGCATGGTGATACACTCTTCAGCTTTTCCAGAGGCTGTCAGGATAGCAAGTTTGAGCACCTGGGAAATTTATTTTAAATACAGGTTTCAGGGCTTGAAGGAGGGGGTGCTCCCTGGGCTTTCTCACTTATGGCTGGTACTCTACCACTGGAGCCACAAATCCAACCAGCATTCTGCTGCTTGAGAGTTGTGGCGTCTCAAGGACTTTTCTGTGCAGACTGCTTTGAATCATGCTCTTCCAGGCATCAGCCTCCAGCATAGCCAAAATTAGAGGCATGAGCCACTAGCACAAAGTATTTAATGAGCCTCCCCATCACAGAATAAGATTAGAAAGGTCTGGGCTTTCTAGCTCAGTATGGAACACTTGCCCTAGTATGTGGGAGGCCCCTACCCAGCATAAGGAAAAGATTAAACACTCAAGAGAACAAACTATTCATGTCTTGTTGACGGTCCTTGAAGTGTTCAAAGACGAACTTTTTTTTTTGTCCATCATGGGTCTTGAACTCTGGGCCTAGGTGCGGCCCCTCAGCTCTTCAGCTCAAAGCAAGCACTCTACCACTTGCGTCACAGCGCCACCTCCAGTTTTCTGATGGTTTATTGGAGATAAGAATCTTTTGGAGTTTCCCTCCCTGGGCTGCCTTTGAACCAAGATCCTCAGATCTCAGCCTCCTGAGTAGCTAGGATTACAGTTAGGAGCCACTGGTGCCCAACTTTGGAACTTCTAAAACCAGCTTGGGTCATGATGGACAGGAGATCCTGTGATGGTATGGGGGCAGGGCAACAGTATGATTGAGCACTCGCTTAGCATGCACATGAGTGTTCCTCCTCCACACCACGAAGAGGAGGCACTAGGGGTAGTCGATAAGTATCCTCCCTGCGTGTGTACAATAATTTTTTCTTTTATTCTTTTTTTTTTTTTTTGGGGGGGGGTCCGGTCATGGGGCCTGAACTCTGGGCCTGGGCGCTGTCCCTCAGCTCTTCAGCTCAAGGCTAGCGCTCTACCACTTGAGCCACAGTGCCACTTCCGGCTTTTTTCTTTTTGCTTATATGGTGCTGAGGAATCGAACCCAGGGCCTCATGCGTGCAAGGCAAGCACTCTACCACTGAGCCACCTTCCCAGCCCCTTTTCTTTTATTCTTTTGTCAGTCATAGGGCTTGAACTCTGGGCCTAGGCACTGTCCCTCAGCTCTTCAGCTCAAGGCCAACACCCTACCACTTGAGCCACAGCACCACTTCCGGCTTTTTGTTTGTGTGGTGCTGAGGAATCGAACCCAGGGCCTCATTCATGCATGCGAGGCAAGCACTCTACCGCTGAGCCACCTTCCCAGCCCCTGTAATTTTCTGTGTGCCAGCTGAGGGCCTATCCCTTAGCTTTTTTTGCTAAACTGGCCCTCTACCACCTAAGTCATACCTTCACCCCTGGCTCCCTCCACCGCCATGTGTTGGTAGTTAATTGGAGGTAAGAATCTGGGCTGGCCTCAAACCTCCCATCTTCAAATCTCAGCCTCATGAGTAGCTTAGCTAGCTTTATCTCCAATTAAGCATCAAGAGGCTAGAAGTGGAGCTGTGGCTCAAGCGGTAGAGCATTAACCCTGAGCAAAAAAGCCAGGTGAGAGAATGAAGCCCTGAGTTCCAGGCCCAGAACAGGCAGGCACACACACACACCCCATATACACAAGAAGCTGGGCACAGGTAGCTCATGCCTGTAATCCTAGCTATTCAGGAGGCTGAGATCTGAGGATCACAGTGAGGGGGAAGGTCATGTTACAGGTTGAGCCCCAGCTCTCTGAACCCCCTCTCCACATCCATGCTCCCAACAGCAGTGTCATCCCCCACCTCCAGGAGTCCCCAACATCCTCCCTGGACAGCTCCCACCATTACAAAGCCCTCCTGGCCGCACTTGCTTGGCTTGGCTGTCTTCCCCAGGCCAGCAGCGGAGCTCTGGCTGGAGGCCCTGGCTCACCAGCCTCGGCTCGAGGACCCACAGCCAGGAACCCGGGCTCACCCCCAGCCATGCTGGCTGATGTGGCGGCTGGCGGGGGAACCCGAGCCTCTGGGCCATGGCAGAGGCCCAGACCCCAGCCCCGGCGGCCAGCCAACACCAGCTTGTCCATGCGACAGAAAAACACACACTGGCTGTCTGCCCCAGGGTGTTTCCAGAAGAGAAATTTAATCTAATTTACATACTTCTAGGTACATCAATAACCAAAAGGTGGCCACTGAGAAAAGTTAAAAGGTCAATCAGCTCCCGGTATCTAGCTGGCCCAGGACTGCAAAATAAAAAGATCCACGTTCCTTATTCTCTACACAAAACGCGTCTTTAAAAAAGTGAGAGGTCTAGAGAGCTATACATAGAAAGCAACAGTGAAAGGGGTGGGGGGGGCGGGGCAGGAGGGGGGACTGTCCCGCCCCTCACCCCGCCCTCCCGGCCCGGAGCCCCTGAGGCTCGGGGCCTGGACAGGGCAGGAGGCAGCTGTCAGCTCAGAGCTCTTCCCAGCAGGAAGGACCCTTTGGGGGGGCGGCCAACGAGGATTTCCGTGGCATCGTGGGCTCAGTGGGGGCCCGCAGAGGGAGAGCTTCCCCTGAGCAAGCACCGTGGCGGGGTGTGGAGGCTCGACTCAGGACCTGGGGGGCTGGGGCAGATCCCGGGTCTCCCGAGGTGCCTGTGTGCATGATTGCATGGGGGGGGGGGGGGGGAGTGTCACAGAATCGTCATGATTGCCGGAGGGAAACACAACAGGGGTCTTTGGGGTCTTTGCAAATGGCCACGGGTGTAGCTCTAGCCCCAGCTGGCTGCTAGACATGGGAGCCCTGGCCTTTCCTGGGAACCGAGACGCTGCCCCCCAGGACCTGGCTACCCTCCCGGGCCCAGCCAGGTGGCCGTAGACTGAAGGAAGACACCCTGCGGCCCAGAGTCCAGGGGTGTGGGGAGGGTGGCTAGCTGGCTCCCGGCACCCCAGCTGTAGTGTGCCCAGCCCCTGAGGGGCACCGGTTTGAGGTTTTGGCTTGCTCCTTTGGAAACGGAAAAGAAAGGGGGAAGAGAAGGAAGGAGACACGGAGGAGGACAGGCAGAAGTAGACAGAGGGAATCTGGAATGCTTCTGTGTTAGGGTGCCTCTGCTGCTGCTGTCTGTGCCTGCGGGGCCTGGGGCTCCTCAGGCGGGGGGTCCACTTTGGAGAAATTCATCTCCAGGATGTGCCGCTGTAAGTGCCGTACCCACTCTTCCTGGATGGAGAGGGGTCCCTGGAACTCCACCTCACAGAACCTGCACAAAGAGACCAGGAGTGGCCAATGCTGCGTGCAGAGGCCAAAACCTAGCTTTGTCCACACTCCTGGGCATGCAGACAGAGCAAGGATCTGAGGGAGGAGGGGCCTCCCTGGGGACAGCCATCTCTGTCCACCACTGGGTGGAGCCATCTAAAGTGCACAGGATAGCAGTGGGACAATCAGCCACCCAACTCACCAGCCCCGCCTTGCCTCAGCCCCACCCTGAGCAGCACCAAGCAAGGCCTCATCTAGAGACCAGGGTTTGAATCCTAGTTCAGACTTGGATGGAATCGTTTGGAATGAGTCATCTCTTGTCTTGTATACATGTGGACTAACAAACTAATGAATGAACTAAGCTCTGTTTTTTGTACTCAGGAAAATACTTGTTGAGTACTGACCACGGACATGCTGGGTGTGCTTCTCAGTGCTACTAACTGTAAAGCTCAGTCCTTGTTACTAACCTAGCAGGGAAATTTGTCTTACAGATGGGGAACGGAGACCTGGGGGGGCGACGTTCCAGGATGAGATCATTACACTGGTGACCATTCCAATGCTAAGTGTCAGAGTGGGAATCTGAACTTGGGGCTGGCTGGCTGGTGTTGAGCTGCCCCTGTCCATGCTCCCTCCTGTCCTGTCGAGACTCTTTGTGTCCAGCACCCAGCTACATGTCCCCTTTCCCCCCCAGCCCCTGCCGTCCCCGGGGGGCAGCGTACCTGCACTTGAGGGTGTAGATGTTGCCCACAAACTTGACGAGTGATGTCTGGGGGGGCCGAGGCACCAGGGAGGGGACAGGCCGGACGCGGGGTGGGGGCTGCCGCACCTCTTCCAGCTTCTGCTGCAGGTCTCCGGGGTCCTCACCCCCTCGGGCCGCGGAGGCATCTGGGGGACGGGCTTGTCGACGCTCAAATTCTATGGTGGGGGGAGGCACAGGAGATGAGCAGGAGGGCCTCGGTGCAGGGCCACCCACCCAGGCAGGGTAAGTGGTGGGCGTGGTGGGGACAGCTGGTGACCGGCCCCGCCCCAGGCAGATGGGGGGGCCTGGGAGGTGGGAGGCCCAGCGGGAGGCGGCCCCCTCTCCCGGCACTCACTGTTGATGTTCTGCCGCTGGTGGTCCTCCGACTTCACCGTGCCCGGCGGGCTGGCCGCCAGGGGCCGCTCCCCGCTGTCGGCGGCCCGGCCGGCGTCCAGGCCCGGCTCAGCGCCGGCGCTGCGGCCCACGAAGGCCAGGCCCCCCGGGGCCAGCCCCAGGGGCGGCCGCTTCTCGCCGTCCCGGCCGTGGCCGGCGCTGCGGAACTTCTTGGTGAAGGGGCGGCCGCCCTGGATGTAGCTGCGGTAGGCGCCCACCTTCTGGGGCCGGTGCTTGATCCACTCGCTCAGCGTCTCGATGGGCGAGCCGTTGACGCACCACTCGGTCACGCCGAACTGCCGCAGGTGCGCCCGCGCATGGCTGGCCAGCGCTTTGCGGTTCTCGAAGTAGAGGCCACACAGCTCGCAGCAGGCCTCGGTGGCTGCGGCGGAGGGGACGCTGCTGAGCCACGTCCCCCAGGGGAGCAGCGCGACCCCCTCCCGCCCGGGGACCCCGCCTCAGGGACCCGCTTGGGGTCACCACACTGACCCGGGCCGGCCCCGCACGCCCCGACGGCCCACCGCTTACACGAGTGGGAAGCCTTCTCGTGGAGGGTCTTGGCCTTGAAGGGCAGCTCCGTCTGGATGTAGGTCTTGGCCTTGACCTCGGCCGGGAGGAGGCGGTCCTCCTGCAGGGGGCGCTTGGCGGCCACGGCGCCCAGGAAGCCGGCGGCCGAGGGCTTGGCGCCGGTGATGGGCGTCAGGCTGAGCTCCCGCGGGATCTGCGCGGGGCCGGCGCCCGGTTTGCCGGGCCGGCCAGCCAGGGGCGACAGGGGCAGTGGGGAGTGCAGGGGCCCCGGCAGGGCCAGGGGCCCGTCCTCGGCCAGGGCGGGGGCCAGGTCTCCCGCGGGGGGCTCTTTCTTGATGAGGCACAGCTTGGACTTCTTCTTCAGGATCTCCCGCAGCGTGTCGATGGGCGAGCCGTTGACCGACCACTCGGTGACGCCCATCTGCCGCAGGTGCGAGCGCGCGTGGCTGGACAGGCCCTTGCGGTTCTCGAAGAACTCGCCGCAGAACTCGCAGCGGATGTCCCGCACAGGCTCGGCTCGCGACGCTGCGGGAGGAAGGAGGGAGGGGCGCGTCAGGGCCCCGCGCTCCGCCCCAAGCCGGGCAGCCCGCCTGCACCGCTGCCTCCACTGCGCAGGGGACTTCCCCTCTGAGCCTCTGCTTCGGCCCCCGCCCCGGGACTACTGGGAGAACGTAAAACATGACAAGAGTGGCAGGAACCCGAGCAGGATGAACGCAGCCAGTGTGACCGGGGAAGCAAGTGGCAGCGACATGATGACAAGCACAGCTTGGGGAGAGCACGATAACCAAGGCCCGTGCCAAGAACTTCATCTCGCAACCCTGGGGAGAGCACAGCGAGGCTCCGCCCACAGCCGGGGGCTCCGCCCACAGCTAGCACGAGGCTCCACCTATAGCCAGGGAGTTCAACCCGCAGCTAACGCAAGGCTCCGCCCACAGCCAGGGGCTCCACCCACAGCTGGCGCGGGGCTCCGCCCACAGCCAGGGGGCTGGGTTCCTCCTCCCCGTCCAGTTGAGGATCCTGCCCCGACACTCCTACATTGTAGCCATGGCTTCGAACATGGAGCAGGCAAGGACCCAGGCTCAGACCTGACCTCCCCCACACTCCCGTCCACGGCAACCATCACTAATCGCTGCTTTCTCCATAGGGATCCGGTTGGCAGCCTACACTACTAGCCAACTGAAGACGGCTCGAGAGGAAGTCTCTGCCATCGCTGAGTGACACAATCTGGCCTGCCCTGGGCGAATAGCGGGTGAGGCAGAAGCTGGGCAGGGGGTCTGTGGGGTGCAGAGCTGTGTGCCCACGTGTACCCACCCACCTCCTGCGTACCCATGCCCCTCCCTTCTGCCTCGGCCTAGTGTAGTGGGTAGCCCCAAGGAGAGCAGAGGGGGCCTCTCAAGCCATTCCCCTGCCCTGCCTGCCACAGGGCCACACTTACACAGGTTCAAGGGTGCCATGTCTTCCCGTGGCACCCCCCAGGGGCCCTCGGAGGGGTGTGGCTCCCCATGAAGGGTCCCTGGCATCATCTCCCGCTTGATCTCCACCCGCATCTGTTCCGGCTTCAGCTTCTTGTGCAGGGAGGGTGCTGCCAGGCCTGGAAACATCTTCCGGGCCGTGGGAGGGGAGGCAGTTGGTGAGTGGCCCAAGGGGCTTCCCGGCGGCGGCGGCAGCTTCTTGGCCAGGGGCGAGATGTGAAGGTCCGAGGGACTGCGGGCGTCCAGCGAGCTGCCAGGGCCCCCGCTGCCCACCATCTTGGCCAGGGCTTTGGGGCTCGGCCCTGGCGGGTGGGGATGGCCGCCCGGCCGACACTGGGTCCGTCTCTTCAGGATCTCCCGCAGCGTGTCGATGGGTGAGCCATTGACGTACCACTCGGTGATGCCCATCTGCCGCAGGTGCGAGCGCGCGTGGCTGGACAGGCCCTTGCGGTTCTCGAAGAACTCACCGCAGAACTCGCATCGGATGTCCCGTGCAGGCTCCGGCCCGGACGCTGCGGCAGAGGAGAGGGGCAGTTAGGACCAAGGACACCGGCAGCCTGGCCACCTGCAGGAGCGTTCTGGTCGGCGGGGTGTGGGCGGCAGCGCGCCCACAGGCTAGGGTGGTGATGGAAGGCAGGTGGAAGCCAGGGAGGAGTGGGCAGGGGGCCAGGCCCCGGACAGGGGCAGCTCAAAGGGGCCTGGGTCCCTTCGGAGGCCGGAACCAAGCCTCCCGGTCTCCACAGGTCCAGACGGGAAGCGGCCGTCTAGGTGCCCTGTGCCTTTCCAGACTGGGGGCAGACGTGGGCACCTTCTCCACCAAAAGCCAGGCCCCGCCCCTTGGCCTTCATTCTCGGGGAAGTCATGGTGATGAAGAGCAAGGCCGAGGGAGGGCAGAACAGCCCCCTGACAACAAGATCTCTGGGCAGAGCTGGCCCGCTGCCAAGGGCCCCTGTCCACTCCCTGCCCCAACAGGGAGGGAGGAAGGAGGGGGCCAGGACCCCCCCCACCACGGGAGGGGCTCCAGGGCCCACAGGGAGGAGGAGGCGGCTGAAGCGAGGACCTACAGAGGTTGAGAGGAGATGGCTCCACATCAGAGGCCCAGAAAATGCCGGCGGCCGAGAGGTCCTGCTTCCCCCAGGGGTTGGCCATACCCGCGGCCTTCAGCTTGGCCTTCTTGGCCGGCGGTGGGGGGGGGAGCAAGGAGAGGGCCTCGGAGGTGGCAGGAGGCCGCCCCAGCGGGGCCAGGACTCCGCGCCCGGGTGGGAGGCGGATCTGGACGCCGTCCCTCCTGATGAGCCCGTAGAGCACGTCTATGGGGGATCCCTTGGCATCCGGGTCGCTGACGCCCAGGTGGCGCAGGTGGGCGCGCGCGTGGCTGGACAGGCCCTTTCGGGTCTCAAACCAGGCACCACACAGCTGGCAGTCCAGCTCTCTGCCCCCGTCACTATCTAAAGCTGCGGAGACAAAACACAGGGGCGTTCACGGCCGCCACCGTGGCTGGCCTGGGGGACGGAAGCAGGAGCCTGGCGTGAAGTCTCCGCTGCCCAGGCAGTTTGGGGTCCAAGAGTGACGCTGCAGGTTGATTCTGGGAGGTCGGGGGGGGGGGGGGGTGCGGCCGGGCACAGGACGGCCTATTCTCCCTGACTGGCCTCTGGCACCAGCTGCACATGGACAGCTGAAGGATGCAAGGTGTAAAGGCGATGGCGGAATTCCCGAGGCAGGTCGGGATGCTCCCAGGCCCTTTCTCCTGGAGCCCTGCTAAGGGAGCCCTGGAAGCAAATGGTGGGTCTAGAGTCGGGGGGTCCCACCAGGCTGCTGAGCACCACACAGCCAAGCGACGGCAGCCACGGCCCCTGCTCCAGCAACCCAGGTGCACTGAGCAAAAAATGGCTCTGGAGAGGCGTGGCCTGGGCTGCTCCCTAGGCCCAAGCCAGACCCTGCAGACACCCCCGCACTCTGCTGCCTGCAGGCTTAAGGGGGAGCCTGATCACTCGGGACCCACTCACAAACCCTGCTCCCTGCGTCTGGAAGATTTCTTCCCCCAGCAGCTCAGGTGGAGGGGCACCAGCTCTGGGCACACACAGGGAGGTGGGGGGGAGAGAGAGAGAGAGAAAGACAGAGAGACAAGAGAGACAGAAAGAGAGAGAGAGAGAGAGAGAGATACGCATCCAGACAGGATGGCCAGGAAGACACGAAGACAGGTCGGCTCCAGGGCCCTCCTGTCCACCTGGACGGCCAAGATGCCAGAATTCCCACTGGGGAGGCCAGGACCGCGGGGGCCTGGCAAGTCAAGCTACCCCACCCTGGGCCAAGGGGACAGGAGCTATGCGGCAGGGAGGACAGTGGTGGGGTCAGAGCGGAAGGAGGCCGCGATGGGGGGAGACGGAAGGGCACGGGCAGGGGAGCCCAGCAGAAGCTGGAGTGCACGCTCCGACCTGGACCACGCAGGACCCAGGAGCTGCTGCTTGCTGTCCCCGCCTGTCCAGGCCTGACACCCCTCCCCGCCATCCCTCCCAGCGCTGGCACCGCCCCCTGCTCCCAGGACCCACACTCACTGAGGTTCAGGGGCCCCTCATCCTCAGACTGGGGCCACTGGGCCTTGGGGGAGAGCGGCCGGGGACTCAGGGACAGCTGGGGACTCCTGTCCTCGGGATTCTTGGGGGCCGTGGAGCCCGGCAGGGCCAGGGGGGCCTTCTTGAGGAGTGGCGAGGTGGGAGGGTGGGCCAGGCCCTTAGCTGAGAACCCCGGAGGCGACTTGATGGCTTTGTTGATGGCTGGAGCGTCCAGGGGCTTGGCCAGGGAGAGCAGGCCGGGCCTCGAGGCTCCCGTGAGCAGATCCTTTGGGGAGTTGTTTTTCTTGGCCAGGCCGTGGGGCAGTCCGAGGGCGGCGTCCGGCAGGCCCTTCTGCTTCACCAGCTCATAGAGGAGGTCGATGGGGGCGCCGCTGCTCTCTGACTCTGCCACCCCCAGCTGCCGCAGGTGGGACCGCGCGTGGCTGGACAGACCCTTGCGGGTCTCGAAGCAGGCGCCGCAGACCTCGCAGGTGGTCAGGCTCTGGGCTGGAGGGTGAGACGGGAGGCCAGGAGAGCGGGCTGTGAGGCCTCGGGGCCCAGCTGGCCCGCGTCTCCTCCCCTCACCTGGGCTCCGGGGACGTGTTTTTGCTGCAGTCAACCCCACTCGATCCTCACAATGATTCTAAAGGAGGCAGGGTTTGCAAACAAGGAAACTGAGGCTCAGAGAAGGGAAAACTTGAATCCAAGAGCGAGCGCACCGCAGGAGGCACAGCCCTTCTTCTGTGGTGCGGCCAGCGCACCCGGCGCCCCGGCAACTGACTCACATCAACATGCCTTGCCAGCCACAACTTCACACCGAGCTCCTCTCCGTGGCTCGTGCCACACGCTGGGCAAGAGGCCCACGGAGCCATGCTCCCACGGGTGAGCCTCCGTTCCCCACCCTCTCAATCTAATGACCGGAGGGCTCGGGCCAGGTCGACTCACTCCTCACATCCCTGGGAACCAGCGTGGAGCCTGACACTATGCAGAACAATCTTATGCCAACGGCTGAGTCGGGGTTACACGGAAGCCCAAGCGGCTAGCAACAGGTCAGCAGCAGCAAGACGCCCTGAGCCAGGGCTGTGGACCCCACGCCCGCTGCTTCCCTGGATACCTGGGGGCCTGCGGAGGGGGGCGGGCCAGGCTGCTGGAGCTCTGGGAAGGGAGCCACTGCCAACCTGGGCACCTCGCTAACCCTCAGGCCCCAGAGCTCCCCTGCTGCGAGAATCACCAGCCTGGCCAGCACCCCTACCCTACCCTGCCCTGTCAGCTGGGCCACTCACTCACCCTTGAGGTCCGGCAGCTCCTGTTTGCTGCCCTGAGGAACCTCTGCGGCCACCTTGCTGCTCAGCCGATTGGCCACCTGCTCCAGGGCCCCAGGGACAGTTGGGCTCTTCTTGGGGAGGGGGGAGGACCCCAAGTCCATAGCCACCATTGTGCTTTCCTCAGGACCCAGGCCTGTGGGTGGAGGAGACAAGCTCAGCCCAGGTCAGGCCATCACCCCTACAGGACCGAGAGGGTGGCGCTCCTCCCTCATCGGGAGCATTCTGCTCTTGCTTGGAGAAGCTGATCACCCCTGGGAGAACTGAGGCTGCACCCCATGGCCCCCAAGACCAGACAAGAGCTAAGAACTGAAGGCACAAGCTGCAGACACGGAGCAAGTTTGAGCTGAGGCTCCCGTTCACAAGAGTCATACAAAACTCCGGGCAGTGTGGGGACAGGGTGGATGTGGGGAGTCAGCAGGGCTGGGTCCATGGATACCAGGGGTCAGGGGCCGCTGGGTACTGAGGGGGAAGGCCGAGGCGCTCAGGACGGGGGAGACCGTCACCAGACAAGACCGCTGGGGCTTCAGAGGCGGCGGGGTGGGGGGCCGCCGAGCCCCAACAGGGGAAAGGTGGGAGCCAGGACCCCCGGGACCTACGCGGGTTGGTGGGAAGTTCCGGGGCATCTGGGGGGTGGCGGGGGACACCGTCCCGAGGGGGACGGGAACCTGTCCGAGAATGGCGTGTGGCACGAAGGGGCCTGGGAGGCTGGAGGTGCGGCTCGCGGCCAGGCCTCGCGTGGGGGCCGCCGCTCTGCGGGTGGATGGCCCGGGGAGGGGCCCGGAGCGGGGCCAGGAGGCCGGGGGGGAACCGGGGGGCCGGGGGAGGGGCCCGGAGCGGGGCCGGGGGGGCCGGGGGGGAACCGGGGGCCCGGGCCCGGAGCGGGGCCGGGGGGCCGGGGGAGGGGCCCGGAGCGGGGCCGGGGGGCCGGGGGAGGGGCCCGGAGCGGGGCCGGGGGGCCGGGAGGGGCCCGGAGCGGGGCCGGGGGGCCGGGAGGGGGGGGAACCGGGGGGCCCGGACGGCCCGGCTCGACGTGCGGCGGGCGCCGCCGGGCCGGGGGCAGGCGGCCCCGAGGACCCTGACGCAGTCTGCGGGGGAAGCGGGCGCATCTGTCAGACGGGGCCGGGCCGGGGCGGCCGGGGCAGCCGGGCGCCGCCCCGCGGGGCCCGGGGCCGTGACAGGGGCCGCGCCGGGGCGCCCGGAGGGGCCGGGGCATCTGTCAGACGGGGCTCGGGCTCCCGCGGCGCGGCGGCGGGGCGATCCCGAGGCCCGGGCCCGCGGGGCGGCGGCGGCGGCGGCCCGGGCCCGCGGGCGGCGGGGGCGCGCGGGGCGGCGGCGGCGGGCGCGGGGGGGCTGCGGCGGCGGGCGCGGGCCGCCCTCCCGCCCTCCCCTCCCCGCAGGCGGCGCTTACCGGGCGGGGGCGCGGGCCCGGGCCCCGGCCCCGGCTCGGCCTTGGGCCCGTCCCGCGGCGGCGGCGGCGGCGGCGGCGGCGGCGGCGGCGGCGGCGGCGGCGCGGGGAGGGCCGCCGGGCCCGGGCTCGGGGGGCCGGGCGGGGGCGCCCCCGCGGGCGCGCGCTCCCGGGCGGCCCCCGCGCGCGGCCCCGCCGCCGCCTTGCTCTCCGCTTTTGTCACTCGGCACTGGGCGGTGGAGGCGGCCATCTTGGCTCCGGCGCACGCGGGGCGGCCGCCCCAGGCGTGAGCGGCCGAGCGCCGAGCGTCGCGGCCGGCAGCGCGCTCCGCCCCGCCCCCTCGGGGCGCGCCCAGGGCGGCCGGCCGAGCGCCGAGCGCGCCGAGCGCCAGGCTGCGCCGCGCCCCGCCCTCCGCCCTCCGCCGGGCCGCGCGCGGGTCCCCGGCGGCCTCCAGCTGCTCCCCGGCCCCCAGCCCGGGCTCCGGACTTCCCTACGGCGAGGATGCGAGTCCTCCAGCCACGCTCATCCACCTCAGTATCAGCACTGGGGCTTGAGCGCCCCGACGGGCGACCCCGAGCTGCTTCCCCGGCAGCGCACCTGGCCCGCGCTTGGGGATCCTCACGCCAGAGCTTCGCGCACCGTCCTGGAGGACACCCGACCCTGAAGCCCCCCCCGCGGCCGCAGCAGCCCTCGGCGGGACCGCACCTCGAGTCCCGCCACCTCGCTTTTCCCACCGCCACTCGGAGCACCACGTGCTCTCCCTCGGGTACTTGACAGGTGGGCGGGGCCGCCCCGGCTCGCCCCGCCCCACCCGGCGCTAGGCCCCGCCCCTGCCCGGCCAGGCCCCGCCTCCACAAGGGCCCGCTTTGGAAGGAGCTGCCCGCTGCCCGCAGGAGCTCCCTGCCCCTCCACCCCATCTGCTCCGCGGGTGTCCACGGGCAGGGGGCACAGCCAAACTGGCTTCCATTCACCGTGACCCCCTCACACCCCACATTCACCCACACCTGGGGACCCGCACATGGGTGGCTGACGGGGAAATCTGGAAGTCTGTCTGCCGCTCGGGGTGCCGGCCCAGGGGGCCGATAGTGAACGTGAGCGGGGCATCTGGACTTGGCCGCGGGGGTGTGGCTGAAGGCGGCAGACGGACCGGAACCAGCTCCACCCGGGCACCCAAACAAAACCAGGCAGGATCCGCCGCCCTCACTGCCTCTCCCTGTGACCCCCACCTGCCACTGCGCGCTGCCCGTGCCTCAGTGTCCCTCCTGTCCATGAAAGAGCCTGTGTGTGTGTGCACACTCATACATATCCGTGTACATGCTGGTAGTGGAGTTTGAACTCAAGCCTGGTTACTGTCTCTTAGCTTTTTCCACTCAAGGCTGGCACTCTACCACTTGAGCCACAACCTCACTTCCAGCTTTTGGGTGATTCATTGGAAATAGTCTTCCTGATTTTCCTGCCCAGGCTGTTTTGGAACTGCCATCCTCAGATCTCAGCCTCCTGAGCAACTGGGATTACAGGCCTGAGCCACTCCACACCCAGCCAGTTCACCACCTATTAAAAACGCCTGGCAAGTCAGCCTTTGCTGGATTGGAACCTTGGCTTTTGCACTAACCCCATGGTACCGGATCCGGGGGTCCTGCACCAAATATTGACTCCAGATTTCCAGGGCCATCCTCCCTCCGCTGGAGATGCCACCAAACGAGGCGCTCAGAAATCCAGCCCACGACTTCCCTAGCTATAGAACGGGTATGCAACAATGCAATGCCGGGGCTCAGCTTAGAGGCAGAAGGCTTGCCTGACAGGCCCGAGGCCCTGGGTTTCACCCCCAGCAACACCAAACCAAACTCAGCCCCAGACATACATACACACACAGGCGTTGTTTCTAGGCCTACCCAATAGGACACAGGTTGAAACCTTATGCCATGGTCAGGGATTGGGAGGGAGGGGAGAGGTGGGAGAGAGACATTATCCATGCTGGAATTCTAGATGTGCATCATCCAATACGATTCCCGCCTGCTCAGTATTCACTACATTTCAAGTGCTCAGCAAGCTGCCTGCAATCCAGGACAACACAGGGGCCGAGAGCATTCCCACTGTCCCAGACAGGGCCACTGCAGCCCTGCTCAGTGCAGAAGATTCTTGCAGATGGGGCTGGGAAGGTGGCTCAGTGGTAGAGCGCTTGCCTTGCATGCCTGAGGCCCTGGGTTCGATTCCTCAGCACCACATAAGCAAAAAAGAAAAAAAGCCGGAAGTGGCGCTGTGGCTCAAGTGGTAGAGCGCTCACCTTGAGCTGAAGAGCTGAGGGACAGCGCCCAGGCCCAGAGTTCAGGGCCCACAACCGACCAAAAAAAAAAAAAAAGAAGAAGATTCTTGCAGAACAAGGAAATCTCCAGTGCCACCGCCTAGGTTTCAAAGGCCAACTCCTGCAGGCTACGTAACCTTGGGCATATGAATTAAGTTCTCTGTGCCTCAGTTTTCCCACTGAAACATGGGAGGGGGTAAATACGGTGACAACGCCTGCCTATGTTCATAGAGTCATGGTGAGGATCTCAATGAGTCTGTGGCTGTAAAGTAGGCAGCACAGCGTGTCTGGCTCTTAGTAAGTGCTCAATGCGCCTTTGTTGGGCACAACTGCAGCAAGAGCCCATCCTGGCCCAGCCCCTTGAGGAAAACAGACTGGACCCCTAGGAGCCAGTGAGGGGGCAGGCAGGGAGGTCCTGGTGGACGTTGTAAAGTGACTTAAAACACTCCCCTCCATACCCCACCCTACCCCACCCCCGAGGAAGGGTCAGGCCATGCCCAGCCTCCCCTCTCCCCCTCTGCTTACCATCTCCATAGGCCGGCCCTGGGTCCTCGGCCCAGATGGGCGGGAAGGGCAAGGTAAGAGGTAAGCGAGGCCGGCGGGGCGTCAGGAAGCCGCCCGGTGGCCCCGTGGGCTCCCGGCCCAAGGGGCTGGGGGGCAGCTCAGCAGCCGAGGTGGCCAGCAGCTCCTGCAGGATGTTGATGGGTGACACGGTGAGCTCCCAGTTGGTGATGCCGAAGTCCCGCAAGTGGGCGCGGGCGTGGCTGGAGAGGCCCGCCCGCGTGTCGAAGCCAGCCCCGCAGAAATCACAGCGCATGAGGCTGAAAGTGCCGGGGTCGAAGTTGGCCACTGCAGGGAAAGGAACAGAAGATGGTGTGAGGGGCCGGACAGAGGGGTGACGCCTCCACCCCCCGCCCGTCGCCCTGGATCGCCTGGTTTCCCTACTTCACGACATCCATGCCACACCGATAGCTCTGAGCTCATGCACCCCTGTCCCCCACCCCCCCACACACACACACTAAGAATCCTGGCCTCCCGGGCCCCTCGGCATAGCTGGTACCATCTCCAGCTGGTAGATCTGAGGATTTGGATACCCGTTGCATCTGTTTAGGTTTTGGTTTTTCTGCCCATTGCTGCCTGCCCCAGAACTATAAGTTAAATAGGGGTTGCATGAAGAAACGAACAAATAGACCGGGTGCAGTACCTCACGCTTATGATCCCAGCTACCTGGGAGGTAAGATACAGGAAGACCCCTCCCCATGATTATAAAGCCAATCCAGGTGAAACATGAAGTGAGACCCCATCTCAACCAATAAAGCTGGGCATGGTGGCATACGCCTGTCATCCCAGCTACCAGGGGGATGTAAACGTAAACCAGAGAGAGGTGCATGGTCCAGGTTAGCCCAAATAAAAATGTGAGACCCTAACCGACAGGCAATTAAAGAAAAAGAAAAAGGGCTGGGAAGGTGGCTTCATGGTAGACTGCTTGGCTAGCATGCACGAAACCCTGGGTTCGATTCCTCAGTAACACATACACAGAAAAAGCCAAGTAGTAGAGTGCTACCTTAAGCAAAAGAAGCTCAGGGGGCCCAGCACCGGTGGCTCCCGCCTGTCATCCTAGCTACTCAGGAGGCTGAGATCTGAGGATCCCAGTTCAAAGCCAGTTGGGGGAGGAAAGCCCGTGAGACTCTTATCTCCAATGAACCACCAGAAAACTGGAAGTGGCGCTGTGGCTCAAGTGCTGAAGCACCAGCCTTGAGCTAAGGGACAGCGCCCAGGCCCTGTGTTCAAGCCCTAAGACTAGCAAAAAAAGAAAAAGAAAAAAAAAATAGGAGGAGGGGGTTCTAGGGCCATGGCTCAAGTGATAGAGGGCTTTCCTAGCAAGCTTGAGGCCAGGAGGTCAAGCCCAAGTACCCCCACCAAAGAAAAAAAAAAAAAAAGAAAACCCCACAGTGAATGGTGTGTGTGACTCCCAGCTCTGGGAGGGCTGGGGACCTTCTGGGCATTCCCCCACATCCTGGTTCCTTGCCGCCTAGCCTCGCACCCATGTCAACAACACCTCCCCAAGGAGGGCGGCCAGCCCGTAGAAGAGCCCCAAGGAGCTGCTGGCGCCGGGACCCTGTCCCACCAGGCTTGGGCCAGGAATTCCAAGAGAACAAGAGTTGCTTCCAGCCGCCCTGCCCCACTCTGAACAGACAGTCCCTTGCAGAAAGGACCTCATGGCTGGTTGTCTGGCGCAGACCGAAGCCCCCCACCCTTCCCCCCAGGCCCCTTTTCCTCCCCCGCCCCGGCAGCTGGCACCGCCACCCACCTTTGCCGTGACTCCCTGGTCCCTCGGGAGGGGAGACCCCCAGGCTTCCCTTGCATGGCGCTAAGGGAGGAATTAGAGACAGGTGGGTGGGTTTAGAACTCAGCAGCACGAGTGTGTGCGTGCGCGTGTGCGGGTGAGTGTGGCTCCCAGGCCATGGAGGGAGGTTAGTTGGGGGGTTTTTGGAGGGTTTGGATTGGGAGGGGGGCGGTGGGGAGGTGTTTTTTTTTTCCTTTTTGGAGGTGAAGCCGCCCTACCTTTTTTCTTTTTCTTCTGGAAGGAGAACCGCCGCTCGATGGCCTTCACCTCCTCGGCGGAGATGAAGTGGCGCACGTTGTAGCTGACGCCCAGGCGGTTCAGGTGGCCACGGACGTGATTGGCCAGCCCAATGCCGTTGTGGAAGCGGTCCGGACAGTACGGGCACTTGCGATCTTCGGGTTTCAGTCCACCAAGGGGGTCCCCCCCAAGAAGCCTATCCAGCCCCAGTGGGCTGCCGATGGGCGCATCCAGGAGCAGGAAATCCAAGGGGTGGGTGGCCTCCAGGTCCAGCGCCAGCTCCTCCGGCTGCAGCCTTGGGGACCCCCCGGCGGCCGCGGTCATGAGCTGCGGCCCGAGCTTTGCCAGCAGGACGAGGGGCACCATGCCTCGGAGCTGCTCCCGCTGTGCCCGGGACGCCTGTGCGCTCCGCAGGGCCTCTTGGAACGTTCGCTTCAGACGTAAGGCTGGCTCGGGGAGGAGGCCGCGGGCAGCCGGGGGTGGCAGGCCTCCACGTTCAGGGGCAACATCCATTTCAGAAGTCAATGCTACATCCTCTTCCTCTTCCTCCTCCTCTTCTTCCTCTTCCTCCTCCTCCTCCTCCTCCTCCTCCTCCTCCTCCTCCTCTTCGCTCCAAGGGTACCGCCGGCGTTTGTTTCCACCAAGCTGTATGGTATAGGGGGCCGAGGCCGGGGCAGTGGGAAAGGCCAGCCTTCTGAGAGGCCCCGGGCTGGAGTGGTGAAGCAGCGGCTCTGACACTGGAAAGTTCCTGGCGATGTCCATCTGCTGGCTGTCTGGACATCCAGCGGAGTTCTCCTCCCGCCACATGGGAGCCAGGAGCGGCTCGGCCCTGCCAAAGTAGTCCACCGTGGCCACGTCGGGGGAGCGGGCATACACACCCTGGCTAGTGCCCGGCTGGCTGGCCAGGTCCTCCGGGAAGGCCTCCCACTGGGGACCGCCGTGTGCCAAGCGCGCATGCTCCCTGAGCAGGCCCTCACTGGGTGCCAGGAAGCCACAGGAGAGGCAGGCTCTGAGATCGGAGGCGGCGGCCTCGGGGATGGGGCTCCCGGCTCTGCTGTGACCCCCAGCTGCCCCCTCGAGGGGCAGGCCCGGCGGTGGCACGAACGCCCCGGAGGGATTGGTCCCGAAGACGCAGGCGGGACGCTGCCAGCGTGCCGGGCGCCCCTGGCCCTCGCCCGGGCAGCGCTTTAGCTTCTGGATCTCCTCGATGATCTTCTCCCGGGAGGCCTGGTGCCGCTGGCGGTGCTGCTCCAGGGCGGCGGGGTCGGCGAACGGCCAGCCGCACTCCCCGCAGGCCAGCGGGGCCGGCCCGGCGCGGGGCTCGTGGCCCGGGGCCTGCCGGTGCTGATTCATGTGCTCCAAGAGATGGGCCTTGTGCCTGAAGTAGATGTTACACTCCACGCAGGGGAACACGGCGGGCTCGTCTTCCTCCTCCTCCTCCTCCTCGTCCTCCTCCTCGTCCTCGTCCTCCTCCCCATGGCCACCCGGGCTGGCCCCCGCCCCGGCCACCTCCTCCAGCAGCTCGCCCAGGTAGGTGCCCGTGGGCAGCGGGGACGGCGCTGGCTGCAGACGCTCCACGGACGCCTCGGCGTTCACCGTCCACGTCTGCGTGGCCACCTCGGAGGCTGAGGCGGGAAGGAACCACTCAGAGGGCCGGCTCAGGCCCTCCACGTCCTCCGGGTGGCCCCTGCGGCCGGCCACGTCCATGCCCGACACCTTGGGAAGGTCACCCAGCGGCATGATCACCCTCCTGAAGGCTGACAAGTCCCCGCGGGACCCCAGCTCTCTCTGGGGACCCTGATCGTCCGTCTCTTGGAACCAGGTGAATGAGGGGCGACCCCGGGGGGGTTTCTCCCAGACCTTCAGTTCACCCTGGTGAAGTAAGAACCTTCTAGAGCCCTGGGCGTGGTGGGGGTTCAGGGTTCTCACGATGACCGAGTCTTCGAACCTCCGCTCAGATGGGTCGCCCTCCCCGGCCCCCTGAACCAGGGGGGGCTCCCAGGGTCCCAGGCCGTCGGGGGGCCCGGGGAAGAGGCAGGGGGGCGGGGAGCCCGGCCGGAAGTCCAGGCTGTCTCCATCAAAGCAGCTGTAAGGGAGTGCCAATGGTTAGCCCTCGGGGCCTTGTGCATCCTGAGATGGCCGCAGGGTGTCCTCCAGGCCCCCCAGATCCAACTCCAGGGTGAGCCTAGACCGGCAGGTGACGGGGGGCCGAGGGAGGGGAAGGGCAAGCAGACCGGTCTGGGTTCAGCTCCCAGGTTGCATCTGTTTCCAGAGCCAGCCCTGCTGCATCATGGGAGAATGTGGCAAGCCGGTGGGGGGGGCGGGGAGGTGGTCTGGGGCTGCCTCAGGGAACATGCCCAAGCCCCATCCAGAGCTGTCAACTCTCATCTCTCTTCCGGGAGGACTCCAGGGCTGGGGTGTGCATTCCAGGCTGCTTTCTAAGTTGGTCCTTCCACGCCGGAGAGATTTAGTTCATCAACTACACCTCTCCCCCAAAATGTGGTGGAAAGCGAACTTCACAGCGGAACGGTTCACGAGAGGCATCTGCTCGCCCCCCTGCGTCCCCCTCCCCGGCCCTCCGTGGACGGGCAAAGTCAGCCCCGGACCCAGTGACTCTCACCTTCCCAAGTGGGAGGGAGGTGGAGGCCTGGGGTGAGGGGAGGAGAAGCAACTTCTCTGGGCCTCAGTTTTCTAATCGCAAAAAAAAAAAGAACTGGAAATCTCCTCGCCCCTGTACAACATCTAAGGAGTTTCACATCACCAGCAAACACTGGGCACCGGCGGCTCACACCTGTAATCTCAGCTACTCAGGAGGCTGAGATCTAAGGATCCTTGGTTCGAATCCAGCCCAGACAGGAAAGTACTTGAGACTCTTTATCTCTTCACTTAGGTTAGCCTCAGATCTAGCTCTTGGTATCAGTGAAGTCAGCTTGCCTGGGTCATGCATTTCTGGCTACCCTATTTAGCTTATTACTCGAGATGAGGGGTTCCTGCTATTTGCCCAGGCTGGCTCTAACTTGATTTCCCCCAGTGGCTGACCTTTAAGAAGCTAGGATTACAGGTATGAGCCACATGGCTGGTTCCCTTGAGGGTTGCTGTGTGTTGGGTTTTGTGGTATTGTTGGGTTTTTTTTTTGAGACAGGGTCTCATGATGTAACCCAAATTGGCCTTGAACTTGGGTCTTCCTAACTACAGGTGTGTACCACCACACCCCAAATCCCCATTTCAGGGGTACATTGTTTTCCTCATTGATTTGGTGACGACCACCCCTCCGCTTTTAAGACCTTGGTTCCGTGAGGGGTGATCAGTCACATGAGCTCCACAGAGACCATCCTCCCTCCCAGAGCAAAGACCCAGTGGGAGGGCTGGGAAGGTGGCTCAGTGGTGGAGCGCTTGCCTTGCATCCATGAGGCCCTGGGTTCGATTCCTCAGCACCACATAAGCAGAAAAAGCCAGAAGTGGCACTGTGGCTCAAGTGGTAGAGCGCTAGCCTTGAGCTAAAGAGCTGAGGGACAGCACCCAAGCCCAGAATTCAAGTCCAATGACTGACAAAAAAAAAAAAAAAAATGCTTGCTGAGAGTCCAGAGCATAGCAGTTAAGTAAACGCCAGAAGCTTCTTATTGATCATGATCAACTACAGGCTGGGTGCCTGTGGCTCATGCCCATCCATAATCCTAGCTATTTGGGAGGCTGCTAAGGATAGGAGGATCCATATTTGAGGCCAGCCTGGGCAGGGAAGTCTAAAAGACCTTATTGTCCATGGAGGGGGAAAGCTGGACAAGGCTCTGTGGGCCTGTGGGCCTGGGGGATGGTGCCTAGAATAGACAGATGGCGTGCAGCAAAGGAGCAAGCCCTTATCTCGAATGTAATCAGTGAAAACCAGGGCTGGAGGCCTGGCTTCCAGAGGCATGCAAAGTCCTGAGTTCAAGCCTGAAGAATCCCAAAAGAAGAAGAAAAGCACATGATGAGGATGGCTACCAGCGAGCGCCCGTCAGGCTGTGTGGTGAAAGGTGAAGTGTGGCCACCGGTCTGCTATGCCCCTGGCTCCTCCAAGCAAGTGAGTGTGATTGGTACCCTGTGGGCAGCTCATTCCCATTCTGCAGATGCCCAGAGAGGGCCGCCGGGCGGCAGAGGAGCCCCACAGGTCTCAGCTCCGGGCTCTTGGGCCTGGCTCCCGGCGTGGGTAATGAGAGTTGACCGTCTGTGTGGGAGGCCTCCCCCCACCCCAGCCCCGCACACACACCCAAGGGGCTGTGTTCTCTCTTCCTGCCTGACTTCCTGCTTCCCTCCTGTCCCCTGCGGGCCTGGCTCCCCGGGGCCTGCTCGTCCCCCTGCCCCCTGAGGTCAGGGCCAGCTTGGCACTCACCCACTGCTGATCCGACGGGTGGCGGAGGTGGCGTGGGGAAGGGCTTCTCTGAGGCCAGCATGAGGCCGCCCATCTGTAATAGAGAGGGGAGACCCTGAGGGGCTGCGCTCCCCCTGGACGGGGCTCTGAGCACCCCCAGCTGGGGGGGGGGCCCTCTGGGCCCTGCTAGCTCCCAAACCCTCTCCCCGAGAGGCCTCTGGCCTCTGCATCCCTGAGTCCTGACAAATGGGGTGGAGGGAGGTTCTTGGAAGGAACCCCCTTAGATTCCCTGGGGTTGGGGGGTCCTGTCTTTTTATCTGGGGACCAGGATAGATTTTTTTTTTTTCCTTTGAGTTTCTCCTCTGCTGCATTACTGGGGTTTGAACTCAGGACTTACTTCTAGTGTTCATTTGGCTTCTATGGCTGAAAGCTAGCTAGCGCTCTGCCACCTGAGCCACAGCTCCACTTCTGGCTCCGCACCCCCACTCCCCCGTGGTTCTTTGGAAATAAGAGTCTCACGAACTTTCCTGCCCTGCCTGGCTTTGAACCAAGATCCTCAGATCGCAGTCTCCTGAGGAGCTGGGCTGACAGGGCTCTAGCCTACCTCTCTCTCGCCTCAGGACCTTTCCACGTCCTGTCCTCCCAGCCCGGAACGCATGTCCCAGACCACCGACTCAAAGCAGCCCCTATGTTTTTCTCTCTCAGAAACTCTATTGTCCCCCTCCCTTAAAAAATTTTTTTTTTGTCAGTCCTGGGGCTTGAACTCTGGGCCTGGGCGCTCAGCTCTTCAGCTCAAGGCTGGCACTCTACCTCCTGAGCCACAGCACCAATTCTGGTTTTCTGGTGGTTTACTGGAGATCAGAGTCTCAGGGACTTTCTTGCCCGGGCTGGCTTTGAACCTCGATCCTCAGATCTCGGCCTCCTGAGCGGCTGGGATGCCGGGCGGGAGCCACGGTGCCCTCCTCTCCCCTCCCCCTGGGATGACGGGCGGGAGCCTCGGTGCCCTCCTCTCCCCTCCCCCCCCCCTTTTTTTTGAGACAGGGCCCTGCCATGTCACCCTAACTGACCTCAGCCTCTTGAAGGGCAGGGATTACAGGCACACACCACCACACGGGACTTCTGTTTTGTTTCTTTCTAGAAATTCCCTGGCTGTCTTTCTGGATGGCTGTGGCTCGCCAGAGTTCCCGCTTGCAGGCGCCCAAGCCTCGCGGAGTGTGAGGATTTTGTTGGTTTTTAGACTCTCGGTGCCTGGCATGGAAATGCTGGATAACTAAATGCCAGAGGAAGATGGATGGAGGGCCGGGGTCCGGCCTGAGCCCTCTCCAGGCTTAAATCCTAGACTACAATCCCTCCCCCAGGAACTCCCCCAACCACCCCCCCCAACACAGAGCCAACTCTCCATTACCCGCCTACCGAGCCAGTGTCTAGAGTGACCGCAGGAATCCTGGCTCGGGCGGCTCTGCCCGCCACGCTAGCCTGCCACGAGCAAGCGTGCCGGCTGGGGAGCAGGGCCAGCGGCCTGAGCCAAGGTTAACACACACGAGGGGAGCGCTGAGCCCCGGCCAAGGGCCTGACAGATGCAATTGCTGGCTGCGTCTCAAATTGAGGATGGCCCAGAGGGAGGGTTAGTAAAGCCTGGGCCTAATTCTTCTCTCTCTCTCTCACACTCACACACACACACACACACACACACACACACACACACACACCCCTCCACTGTCTAGCTGGAGATCTGGGGGGGGGGGGGGGGCGTGGCTGGAGGCCGTGGGAATTTCCAGATTCCAGGGGAGATTTTTTAATTTGTTGGTTTTCTTTTCTTTCTTTCTTTTTTTTTTAGTTTGCCCAGTCGTGGGCCTTGAACTCAGAACCTAGGTGCACTGGAGATCAGAGCCTCACGGACTTTCCTGCCCCGGCTGACTTTAAACCTCGATCCTCACATCTCAGCCTCCTGAGTAGTTAGGATGACCAGGCATGAGCCGCCAGCGCCTGGCTATTTGTTTTTATTTTGGTTCTTTTTGGGAGGCTTGAAGGCAGGGCCTCATGCTTGCTTGGCAGGTGCTCTATCACTTGCGCCACGCTCCTGGTGGCCCTTTTGTTTTACAGATCGGGACTTGCGCTTTCTCACTCTAGACTGGCCTGGGACTGTAATCCATCTCCCAGAGCAACTGAGATTACAGGCATGTCCCACCAGGCCTGGTTAGTTCTTTGACCTCTCGAATGGTTGGGATTACAGGTGTGGCCCAAAGCCTGGCCCCGAGTGCAGTTTTGTTGTGGTGGTTGTGGTTCAAGCTTGACATTGAGGGTAGGGTCATTCCCTAAGGACCACCACCACCGAGAAGCATCTTCAGCCTCTGCCCACAAGACACCAGCGCCTGGCGATCCCATAACCATGACAACCAAAACACATATATACCTCTATCTATGGATCTCCACATAGGACCCAAGGATCCGCTGGGAGGCCCAACTGAGAGGCACCGGGGAAGACGAGGCTGCTGGGAGGGCCAGGGGAGGGGTGGGGAGACGCAAGATGCAGACCAGCTCAAGATGACATCCCCCCCCCCATGCCCGACCACCCCTCACCCCCAAACAGCGCCTTCCTGGGACACAGGAAGTCCCAGCGGGTGGCCATGGCTCTGAGCAGGTGGAGGAGGAGGAGCTCCCAGCACCAGGGACGGGAAGTAGGACTGAGGGTCCCCAGCGTCCCGCTTCCAAGCGCCCCAGATTCGCTGATTTGTGCCGGTCGGCCGGCCGGTTGGTCGTCGCCGGAGACGCGTGGGAGCGACGGTGGCCTCTTTGTCCGCGCGGCTCCTGGTGAGGCTCCTATTTTTAGTGGCGGTGACATTGGCAGAAGGAGGCCACGCAGGGCCTGTGTCGGAGGCTTGGCAGGTGGAGGCTCCTCCCCCGCCCAGGGGGTGCAGACCTCCTGGGGGTGCCACACAGAGTGGCCCAAGGGTCGCTCCTTGGCCTCTGATCTTGGGGATCCCCCGAGGAGGCTGTATGCAGATCAGACGTATCCATAATGAACTTGACCCCCCCCCCCCCCCCCGCCCAAGCCGAGAATCTGAAGGCCTGAGAGCCCAGGAGACGTAAGTTCGAAGTTCGGTGCCGTGACTTGAAGGCCTGGCCCTCTGAGGACCAGGCGCTGGCCAGTGGTGGGTGCAGGGAGTTATAGGACATGTTCGATCCTGAGGGACGGTGGCGGTGGCGGCGGTGGGAGGAAAGAAGGTAGGACTTCCTGGGGAGGGGGAGGAGGGTGCAGGGAGCGCTGTCGGAATTGGCTCCTTGGGGTGGAGGCTGGACTCCGAGCCTCGGCTTGCTATCCTCCACTCCTTGGCCTCCAGCCCCAGCTGGGAGCCTCATGAGGGCCAAAAATGACAGGTCGTTCATCCCTCATCCCTCCCCACGAGGTCAGACACGCACCAGACCGTTCATCGAGCCGCAAGGAGTCATGTCAAAGCCCCCCGACCCTCCTCAAGGCTCTGCTCTATGAGGGGAGGGGCCGGGGCTGGACCCGGTGGGAGGGGGGACCTCAGGGGCAGTCCAAGGGAATCTCTGGGGGCCTCGGAGGGCGGAGTGGGGGCCAGCAGGACAAGAGCCCGCGACGCTGAGCGGACACAGGGTCCAGGGCCCCGGCCCACCTCTAGCCTCTGGGCTGAAACGCTGCCCTGAACACCTCCCCTCGCCCCATCCTCACCCACGCTCAGCAAACCATCAGGGGCGGGGCTTGAACCCCCCTCATCCCAGCCTGTAAGACAGGTGAAAGCCCAAGTCCCAACTGGCACCATCCTCGCTCCTCTCCCCAGACCGGGGTGTCTGATGGGTGGGGGAAAGGCCACCCAGGCCTGCAGAATCACACCTGCCAGGGACTCTGGATCCTGAGCCCATTCCGTTCAATTCCCCAAGGCCAAGCCCTACCCCGCCCTCCCTAGCTGGCTGTGTGGCCTGCACACTGGACCTTCAGGAAGGGATAGCCAAGGTTTCCTCGGGCTGACCCTCTGCCATCCCTGCTCTCCCGTTACTGCTCCTTTCCACTGCTGCCCATTACTTGAAATGCCCTCAGTCACCACAGGACCTTTGCACATGCTGTGCCACTCCTGCCTCTTCTGCTCCTTACCCCCATCCTACTTCCCAGTGCCCAGCCCACATGGTGGGGTCTATGGCATCAGGGATGGCGTGTACTGAGTCAAGAGTCTTGAAGGAGCCAGGTACCAGTGGCTCACGTCTGTAATCCCGGTACCTCAGGAGGCTGAGATCTGAGGATTACAGTTCAAAACCAGCCTGGGCAGGAAAGTCTGTGAGACTCTTATCTCTAATCAACCAGCACAAATGCCAGAAGTGGAATTGTGGCTCAAGAGGTAGAGTACCAGCCTTGAGAGAAAGGCCAGAGTGTTAAACTGAGTTCAAGCCCCAGAACTGGCGCGCGCACACACACACACACACACATACACACACACACACACACACACACGCACACACACACACACACACACCACAGAGGCACCACGGAAAGAAAGAGAGGCGGGGGGGAGGAAAAAAATAAAAATTTAAAAAAGGAAAGGGAGCCAGGCGCAGAAGGCTCCCGCCTGTCATCCTAGCTGCTCAGGAGGCTGAGATCTGAGGATTGCGGTTCAAAGCCAGCCCGGGCAGGAAAGTCTGTGAGACTTTCATCCCCAATCAACCATCAAAAAGCCAGAAGTGGTGCTGTGGCTCGAGTGGTAGAGTACCAGCCTTGAGGGGACAAACCCAGGGAGAGTTCAAGGCCCTAAGTTCAAGCACCAGTACCCACAACTGAGAGCAAATAAAGAGGTAAGGGTTGTCAACACTTTCTACTGACCAATCTGGGGCTTGGGGTCACGGTTACACACACACACACACACACACAGGACCTCATTTTCCTCATCTTTAACACAAGGTGATAATAGCCAAGGCTATCCCACAGGTTCTTCTCAGGACACGAACTGGCCACATTTGGGCCAAGGAGATGAAGGAAGAGGTTGCCACACCACAGGGCCTTTGCACTTGCTGTTCCGGCCACATGGATGCTCTTCCCACCCCCAGATGCCAACCCTCTCAGGAGCTGTCCAGCCCCCCCCCCCGCCCGGCACGGCATGACTCCTGGCACTCAGCTCTAGTCCTGGCACAGCTCCTGTCACACTGTCCGCCTTTTCAGCACTCTCTTCGAGAATGCCAGGCCTGGGGGGAGGGGCGGACACGTTCGCCTCTCTCACTTAAAGGCCGTTTTCTCAGCATCTAGAACACAGCCGGGCACACAGTAGGTGCTCAGTCTCAAATGAGCCAAGTAACCCATCTTGAGGACAGCGCGGGGTAAACTGAGACAGAACAGGGGAGCAGGTGTTCCCGGTCCCCCCCCTTGCCACTAGAGGGCACAAGCCGACTTAGCCTAGGGCTCAGGAGCTGAGGGATGAACTGCTGGGAGTGGGGTACACTTGGGGAAAAGGGGAGCCAGGGACAGAGAGGCAGAGGTGGATGATGGGACATCTAGATGCAGTCAGTGAGGAACTGAGAGGAAGCCACCATAGCACCTTGAGGTTGAGTCCCTGCTCCCCTCTGGGAGCCTTGGGTGAGGTCACTGCTCACCACGGTACACGGAGGAACGAAGCCCAGAACCCGGGGAAGGCTCCCGATGCACACAGGAATCAGAACCCCATCTACAGCCCCCGCTGGGCCCTCTGAGCCTGGGGAACAAGGCCGGGTCCCGCTCGAAGCCACCAGAGCCACGCTCTTACCAGACACGCCACCTCTGCCATCTAGAGCGTCCTGGGAACCCTCCTTGGCGACAGGTAGATAATGCGTGGAACGGAAGATGTCCCCTTCTCCCTCAGCAGCCTCGGGCCCGCCATCGATGTCCTCCCCGGGGGCCGGGCCCGGCAGCCTCTCGAGGACTCGAGGACCGTCGCAGGGGGACAGGCTGCCCGGGAGGGGAGCCTCCATGGGTGCACCTCACGGCCGGGCTGGCTCAGTGGCACATCTCGGGTCTAGGCACAGAAAGAAGAAGGGGCTTAGGGAGAAAGGAAAGGCTCTCCGCGCTTGGCACAGTGGCCCACGGCCTATACTCCCGGCTACTCAGGAGGCTGAGATCCGAGGATCGCCATTCACAGCCAGCCCGGGCAGGACAGTCTGGGAGACTCCCATCTCCAAGGAACCACCAGACAAGCCCACAGTGAGCGGAGCCGTGGCTCAAGCGGTAGGGCACCCAGCCTTGAGTGAAAAAGCTCCGGGGACGGCAGCCCAGGCCGTGAGTTCAAACACACGGACCGCTCCCAGCTCCCAGCACCACACAAAACCCAGCCCTGACCCCCGGGCGGCTCACTCCCTCAGTTTACCTTTCTGTCCAGGTGAGCTACACACCAATAGTAACAAAGGCCCTGGCCACACACCATTCCATCCTAACCGGGAGACACCACGCTTCCCTCCCAGTAACTAACTGCTCCCGTTACCCAGACCCTCTGTGCCTCAGTTTACCCCCCCGGACCCCCCTCCCTCATCCATCCCACCGTCGGTCCGCACGCTGCCTCGACCTCCCCCACGGCTCCCCCCCCCACCGGCTTCCAGCCAATCCCGGCCACACTTCCCTTCCTCTCCTACCCCGCTCTCCTACGCCCCCCCCCCCTGACCTTTGCACTTTTCCCACGCCCCCCCATCCTTCCCTCACCACCAACCCCCCAGCATGAACCCCTTCACCCCAACCACAGCCTCGGTGACCCCTCTAGGAGCCCTTTCCGCGTCTCCGCACCGGGAGCCTCCGCGCCCCGCGCGCCCCCGCCCCCAAGCCCGCCACCGAGACGGCTCCGGCGCGGGGCCCCCGGCCGCGGGGTGCGGGTGCCCCCATCAATACCTTCAAGGTAACGGCGGAAAGTGAAGGGCAGGAGCGGCGCCTCCCGGAGCCGCGGCCGCGGCGGGGCGGGGCCGCTCGGGCCTGCAGGCGGGCGCTGCCCTGGGGCCCGGCTCCCGCCCGGGCCGGCCCGCGGGGCGCACGGCCGCGGGCGCAGCCTGCGCCCCAACTTCGGAGCACTTTGGCGGCGCGGGGAAGGGGCTTCCGCCCCGGCGGGACCCCCCACCCCGGGGTCGTCGCAGTGGGGCGCCCGCCCCCCCCGCCGCCGTCCCCGTGCACCGGGAGGGGGGGGCCGGGGTCCTCGGGATGCGCCCGCCGCCCGTGCACCTCGGGGCGGGAGACCCCGCAGGACGCGCGCGCCGAGGGGGGGCGGACACCTGCCCGCGACCCCCGCCCCTCCCCCACCTGCCGGCCCCGCCCCCGGCCCCGCCCCCGCGGCCCCGCCCCCGCCCCGGGGGGTCCCGCCCGGCCCCGGCCCGGCCAGGCCTCGGTCGGCCCCCTCCGCCTCCTCCCCTCCTCCCCCCGCGCCGCCTCCCCGCGCCGGCTCCGCCCCGCCCGCGGGGCGCCCCGGGGCCCGGCCGGGCCTCACCGGGGAGGCGGCGTCCCCGGCTGGGTGCCGGGGCTCGGGGCTTCCTCTCCTGCGTGCGGCCGGCGCGCGCCGCTCCCGCCGCCGCCGCTCCCGGGGACGGTGCCGCGGCCTCCGCAGCCGCCGCCGCCGCCTCCGCCGCTCGGGGGGACATTGTCCCTTTAAATCGCTCCCCCCCCCCCGCCGCCCCGCCCCCCCGGCGCGCCGCCGTGACCTCAGCGCGACAGCCCCGCCGCGCCGCCATGATGGGGAGGTCCGCCCCCCCCCCCGGGGCCGCGCGCCGGGCGCGGCGCCATGTTGGGAGTGGCCCGGCGGGGCCCGGGGCGCGCGCGGCCCCGGGCGGGGCGGGGCCTGTCACCACGGCAACCCCGCGCTCCCGAGCACCGGCCCGGGGGCCGGCGGAGGAGCCGCCCGGGCCCGCGTGGGCCCCCCGGGGACGGCACGCGGCCGGGCCTCGGCGGGCAGTCCCCCGCCACGCCCGGCATGCGCCCGGCCGCCCATCCCGCCGCCCCGCGTGTCCCGTCCCCCGGGCGGCCGACCCTGACCCCCGCCGGGCCCATCCCCCGCGTGGCCGACCCTGACCCCCGCGTGTCCCGTCCCCCGCGTGGCCGACCCTGACCCCCGCCTCCCAAGCAGCCGGCCGTCCACTGGTGTCTTCCCGCCTGACGGTCCCAGGTCGGCTCCCACCGGGGACCCCGCACGCCAGCACGCGCCACCCCCGCTCTCCCCACGGGCTCTATCACGTCTATCACGTCCCGAGAGCCAGGCCTTTTCTAGAGAGATCCATCCATCCTGGCCTAACCCCTCCTCCACAGGGACAGACGGACACCCACCCCTGGCTTCTCCACCCACACCGCGGGAAGGTCAGGCCGGCCGACCCTGCCTTCCTCCAGCGTCCCAAACCAATGGCTTCTTCTGCCAGGACAGAGCTATTGTTTCAGGGGAGGTGACGGGAAGATCCTGTGGTTTGCACTTGGCATTGGCAGGGATGCGCCCGGGGAGTGCAGATGCAACAGAGGTGGACGGATGATTGGTGAGCGATGGCTTTTATTGAATACCTGAGTCCAAGGGTTCTCCCGTGCCTGTGTGAATATATACATAGACATACATTCTCACAGATGCCCAAATGGAGGCCCTCAGGAGATGGCCCCAAGGCCGCACAGTTGATGTGAACATCTCCGGCATGCCCCTTCTCCGGGAGCTCAGTTTTATGTTTACCGGGCAGCCCCGTGGCCCGCACCTCTCCTTCCTCACGTTCAGGCCATCTTACATGACTTGAGCAGCCCAAGATCTTTATGGATCATCGCCTCCCCCTCCCAAAGGTGGTGGCTCCCAGGCCCCGTGGGGTGGACAGACAGCTCAGGTGGAGTCCCCATTCACGCAGGGAGCCTGGAGGGGCAGAGGCTGGCCCTGGGAAGCTGCTGTCCTCCAAACAAGCTGCAGGCTCTGGATTACATCCCGCAGCTGGCCCTGAGTCCGCTCCATCTCGGCCAGGCGATCGTGCTGGGGAGGGAGGCAGGGGGGTGGGTTGAAAGGCAGAGTCTGGTCTCCTCAACCCTACTTCCCACCGCACGGACGGCCCCGGGGCTCCCCGAGGAGGCTCACCAGACTTGGCGGCCTGTGGTCTTCATTGCTTGGAAGACCATCGTCCTTCAGATCCAACTTTGAGGTCCTGTTGGAGGTCAAGGGGTAGGAAAGAAGGTCAGTGGCTTCCACTGTGGAATTAGATTCAGAAGACAAGAACTGAAGGGGGGCGAGGCCTAAGTGTACAGAGGGGTTGATCAGAGCCAGGTTTGATGGGATGGAGGGACCCATCAATCGACACTTGGAGGCGGAGCTTGACCAGTTTGGGGCGGGATCCTGCCTGGCTGAGGACGATCCCCCCCCCCCTCCACTGAGGTCTGATCTCAAGCCCACCCAGAGACGATCCCCCCCCTCCACTGAGGTCTGATCTCAAGCCCACCCAGAGACGATCCCCCCCCTCCACTGAGGTCTGATCTCAGCCCACCCAGAGACGATCCCCCCCCTCCACTGAGGTCTGATCTCAAGCCCACCCAGAGACGATCCCCCCCCTCCACTGAGGTCTGATCTCAGCCCACCCAGAGGGGGCTGATTGAGGGGTGGGGCTGGGATGAGAGGATGGTCCGGGGCCTGAGCAGGCTATGTAGGCGGCCTGCCCAAGGGGCGGGGCCACGTGGATGGCCCTCCCAGGGGCGTGGCTTCCAGTGCCTGGGCCAATGTTGTGGGGAGGGGGCGTGGCCGCCGCAGGCACTGCCTAGGGAGCGCTCATTGGTGGATGGGCCGTCCAGGGGCGGCGCTAGCGGGGAGGGCGGGGCGCACCCAGCTCGCAGCCGGGAGTCCAAGTCTTGCAGCTGGCGGCACAGCTGCTCCTGCTGCTGGGCCAGGGCCCCGAGTTCGGAGCTCAGCGACTCCACCTGGCGAGACAGCGCTTTCTGCTCCTCACGCAGCGCGGCCACCTCGCCCTGTAGTTCAGCCAGCTGCGGGAAGGGGCGGGGAACAACAGCTGTAATCCCGCCCCTTCCTCTCACCCGCAGTCTTGAGTTATGCTCGGTCTTCCTAGCCGGGAGAAACGGAGCTCAGAGAGGTTTAGGCTAGACCTGGGGTCACACAGCACACGGAGCGCAGTACCAGCGCGCAGTCTTGCCTAGCCTTCAGTCCGCTCTCAGGCCGGGTCCAGTCCCCCGCCTGCCGTCCACCCCCGGGCTCCAACCCTCGCCAGGATCTCACCTTTCCCATCGGTCGGGGCGGGCCCAGCGCCTGGTCTCGATCCCGCGGCTGGTCCAGCTGGCGCTGCCAGGGCACCGACGGCTTCCGCGGCAGCGAGGCGGAGGCCCCGGTCCAGGGCCGGCCGCGGGCCGCGGGCCCCGTGCGCGGGGAGCCCCTGGGCCGCGGCCGGGGCCCCGCCGAGGGGCGGCGGCGGGCGGGGCGGCGGGCCGGGACGCTCTGCGTGCGCTGCACCGGCCGCGGCCGCGGCGGGGGGCGGGCCCAGCTCCCCGCGCCCTGGAAGCTGCGCAGTGACTGGCTCTTGGAGATGAGCGGGGTGTGCTTGGGCAGGTCTCGGGGCGCCAGGAAGCCGGGCTTCTCCCCTGCGGAGAAGCTGGGGGCGGCCCCGGGAAGGTCAGACCCTCAACGAGTCCCTGAGGACCATCCCCCCCTCCCCATACCGACCTCTGGCCGGACATGACCCTACCCCTGACCTTTGACACCTGCGACCTCACCCATGACCCAGACTTCACCCTGTCCTTAAGTGCGCCAGCTATGGAGCCACAGTTCCACTCTTAATTAACTGGCTGATTGGAGATAAGCGTCTCTCCGATCGGTCTGCCCGGGCTGGCTTTGAACAGCTCTCCTCCGATCTCCGCCTCCTCCGCAGCTAGGGTGACAGGCTTGGCCCACTGGTGCCCGGCTTGAGGGGACCCTTGGCCTGACCCTAATTTGCTCCCTGACCTGATCCTACCCCTAACACCAGACCCCAATCTACTGAGAAAATCTCTTCCAGCTCCCGGTGGATTATCCGTCCGGAGATCCGGGTGGGGGTTAGAGTGGGAGCAGGGCTGGTCCAGGTTGGTGGGTGGGGCCTAGTTGTTTCTGAAGCCGGGTTGGGTCAGAGCCTGACACAGTTATGATGCAATGACCAATCAGTGAACACTTGGAGGCAGAGCTCAACCAGTCCTGCAAATGTCCTCCTGTCTGATGGAAGTCTAACCTTGGGCCCCCACACGCTCATTTTTTTGGGGTGGGGGGCTTGAACTCCGGGCCTGGGCGCTGTCCCTCAGCTCTTCAGCTCAAGGCAAGCACTCTACCGCTTGAGCCACAGCGCCACTTCCGCTTTTCTGGTCGTTTATTGGAGATCAGAGTCTCACAGACTTTCCTGCCTGGGCTGGCTTTGAACCGTGATCCTCAGATCTTAGTCTCCTGAGTAGCTAGGATGACAAGGGTGAGCCATTGGCGCCCAGCTCCCACACACACTTTTGATGACCACCAACTCCATTCAAACATCTAAGATCAACCCGATGCCTGTTTTGAAACCCTCTGTTTCTCTCTCTCTCTGACCCCAGAGATCTGATATGACTGGCTTCAAGTCTGCCATGACTGCCTGTCCTCTGATCACATGATATTCCAAAAGAGACCCTGTCTCCTTATACATCTCCATCCCTAGCCTCTGCGACACTGACCCTAACATGCCCTGTCCCTTCCCCTCCCATCACCCATCTTCACCCCCAACCCTGGACCCCCATCCGAGCATGACACTCCCTCTCCCGCCCCTCCTGCCATCAGAATCCGGAAGACACTTGAGGTTACCTGCACTGGGCCTGGGTATGAGGCGGTGGCAGATGCATGGGCACAGACACGGGCACGGGCCGGCCCTCCTGGATGGCTCTCAGGATGGTAGGCAGTGGCTCCAGGTTGTCACAGGTGGTCTGGGAGGCGGAAAGCAGAGGGCTGCTTGGCAACGTCTCTGGGCTCAGAGGGAGCCTCCCAGCTTGAGTCCCTCCCCCTCCCCTGCATGCAAGTTCCGGGCTCAGGCCACACCTGGTCGAGTTCCGAGAAGATGGTACAGAGCTGGGCGTGCAGGACTGCCAGCTGGAGAGCCAGATCGCCACTGGCCTGGTACCCACTGGGTGCCACGTCAACATCTACCACAGCTACTTGGTCGAGGAAGTGTTGCATGGCGGGCCCGTGGTCCTCCAGGAAGCTGTTCATGAAGTCCATGTAGGCTTCCTTCTCACCAAATCTGGGATAGGAGCCAGGCTGGGAGAGTCAGGAGAGTCACTCGCTCCCCGCTCCCCGGCACTGCCCTCCTCTCCAGCTTCCTGGCACCTACGGGGCGCGGCTGGCCAGGTTCTGCATGACTTTGGCAACCAGCGTGAGGGTTCGGGCCGGGCCAGGTGCTGGATGTTCCGCAGTCAGGCCGAAGAGGCTGGGTGCCAGGATGGCGGGACACAGGAGTCGCAGGAAGAGGGAGGCACACACCAGTCTGGGGCCCAGCGTGTCAGAACCTCGTGCTTTGCATGCCTCTCGCCAGCCTGAGAACACAGCGCTCAGCTCTGCTGGGAACCAGCTGGGGACAGAAAGGGCGGTGGTGAGAGGAGGAGGCCACGGGCCTGTGATCATGACTGAGGTGGGCACCGGTGGTTCACACCACCGGCCACTCAGGAGGCTGAGATCTGAGAAGCCCAGTGAGAAGCCAGCCTAGGCAGACACGCTCAAAAGCTTCTTATCTGCCAGGTGCTGGTGGCTCACACCTGCAACCCTAGCTACTCAGGAGGCTGAGATGTGAGGATTTACAGTTCAAGGCCAGCCTGGGCAGGAAAGTCTGTGAGATTCTTTATCACCAATAAACCACCAGACAACCAGAAGTGGCACTGTGGCTCAAGTGATAGAGCACTAGCTTTGAGCTGAAGAGCTGAGGGACAGCGCCCAGGCCCCGAGTTCAAGCCTCATGACTGACAAAAACAAGAAAAGAAAAGAAGCCAGGCGCTGGTGGCTCACACTTGTAATCCTAGCTACTCAGGAGGAGATCTGAGGATCTCGGTTCAAAGGCAGCCCGGGCAGGAAAGTCTGGGAGACTCTTATCTGCAATAAACCACTAGAAAACCAGAAGTGGCGCTGTGGCTCAAGTGGTAGAGTGCTAGCCTTGAGCTGAAGAGCTGAGGGACAGTGCCCAGGCCCAGAGTTCAGGCCCCACGACCGGACCCAAAAAAAAAAAAAAAAAGAAAAGAAGACTCTTGTCTAACCAGCATAAAAGCTAGAAGAGGAGGTATGGCTCATGGCTCAAGGGGTAGAACACCAATCAGCCTTGAGTGAACAAGCAAAGTGAGATTTCAAGGCCCTGAGTTCAAGTCCCAGGACTGGCACATGCTTGGGTACATGGATGTGCACATGTGTACGTGCATACACATGCACACACACAAATAATGAGTGGCAAAGATCATAAGGTCAGGAGTCAAACATGTAGGATGTTTTGTGCCATCTAGCATGGTTTGTGCCAGAAAATGATTCGTGAACTGTGTAGGCTCTTTTCCCATTGAACATGGGGTCTGGGTTCTAGGATTGGTGGCATCTAGAACAATATAATGCTTGGGGCTATAGGTTCCCATGGAGCCAGGGCTTATACTGTAGTAATTATGGTAACTTCTGGAGTCTCTACACTTAGAATCGGGCCCATAGGGCATGTGGAGGCAGAGGTTAGGAACTTAGGATGTAGTTCTAATTGGAATTGAGATTTTATTAAATTTTTTATTTTTATTTTTTTTTGGGGGGGGGGCCGGTCATAGGGCCTGAACTCTGGGCCTGGGCGCTGTCCCTCAGCTCTTCAGCTCAAGGCTAGCCCTCTATCACTTGAGCCACAGCACCACTTCCAGCTTTTTTCTTTTTTCTTATGTGGTGCTGAGGAATCGAACCCAGGGCCTCAAGCATGCAAGGCAAGTGCTCTACCACTGAGCCACCTTCCCAGCCCTAATTTTTTATTTTTCATCTTTGGTGAGGATCTAGGGACTTGAACTGAGGACCTTTAGCTTTTTCCCTCAGGCTGGCTCTTTTCCACTTGAGCCACAGCTCACTCATAATTCTGTTTTTTTTTTTTTGTCGGTTGTGGGGCCTGAACTCTGGGCCTGGGTACTGTCCCTCAGCGCTTCAGATCAAGGCTAGCACTCTACCACTTGAGCCACAGTGCCACTTCCGGCTTTCTCTGCTTATGTGGTGCTGAGGAATGGAACCCAGGGCCTTATGCATGCAAGGCAAGCACTCTACCACTGAGCCACCTTCCCAGCCCCTTGTTTTTGTTTTTGTTTTTACTGGTTAATTAGAGATAAGAGTCTCCTGGACTTTCCTCCCCAAGCTGGCTTCCAACCACCATCCTCAGATCTTAGCCTCCTGAGTAGCTAGGATGACAGGCATGAGCCACCAGCACTCAGCATTCTAGTTATTTTTGAGATAGGGTCTTGCTGTCTACCTGGATTGGTCTATTTTAGCCTTCTTGTCGTACCTAGAGTAAAAGACACATCACTACACCCATCTCTCAATTGAGAAGGAATCTCCCGACCTTTTCTGTCTGGATTGGCCATCCACCTTAATCCTCCAGGTGGAGTCACTGATGCTGGGCAAACGGTGAATACTTAATGATGTATAACTATGCCCCTAATAATGCCAAATAATTGGATGCCCTTCATCCTATCTGGTGACCTTCATTGGGGGAGGTTCAGGTTACCACCCTGGCTGAAAGAAGGGGTGAAGTCAGGCGCTAGGGCTCTGATTCTCACTTGTAGGAGTGGACGATGATTCCAAAGACCTCCTCGCAGCTCTTTTGGAGTCTGGCCTGGTGCTCTGGTAGCTCTGAGGCTGGGCATTTGCTGGGGTCCACTTCACAGTCCTCCGTGGAGGCACAGAGACATCGCACAACTCGTCCTGTAGCCAACACAGAGAGACCAGAGCCCTGATGACCTCCATCCACCATACCCCCATCTCCAACTTACTCCCCAGGCATATATAACAGCAGTGGTGAGCTCCCAGCTCTCCACCCCGTTGTCCCCCAGATCCAGATCCCAACACCCTACAGCACCACCCACTACCATGATCCAGGTGAGCAGGAGCCTCCTAGACCTTCTCTGGGGTGCTCAGGCCCAGCTCACCCAGGGTCTCCTGGAGGTAGTCGTGGGCCACCAGCTTCATGTACTCATCAATGGCCTTGGTGGCTAATGTGTTTTCCCGGAACAGCAGCGCCTCACGCCCTCCACAGCGTTCCAGCTCCACAGTGCCCAGGTCCTGCACCAAGGCCTGAGCAGAGGGTAGAGACGCAGACTGGGATGAGGCCCCGCCTCGCTGGTGTGGCTCAGACCCCGCCCCTCAAGGTGCCCGTCCCAATAGGTACTGCTCAGGCCCCGCCCACAGCAGCTGGAGCCCCGCCCCTCATTCGTGTGGCTCAGGCCCCGCCCCACACAGAGCCCCGCCCCTGACAGGTTCTGCTCAGGCCACGCCCCTGATAGGTCCACTTCAGGTCCCGGCCCCACCCCCGGCAGGCAAGGCTGCACACGCACCTTCCCCAGCCCAGCCCCGGGGGTTGGTCGGTCCACCCCGGCCGAGCGTCCGCGCTGCGGCCCCGGGCCTCACCTGCGCCTGGCCCGTGGCCCGCAGCACGCGCACCATGGCGGCCGCCAGCTCCTCCTTGGCCTGAGCGGGCAGCACGGGCTCGAGCGCCCCGCAGAGGCGCGCGTAGTGGAAGGTGAGGAACTCGGCCAGCTCCTTGTAGCGCTCGGACGGCCGCACGCGCAGGCGTCGCGCCCGGATCCGCGCCCGCAGCGCGGCCCCCGACGGCGCCCCGAGCAGCGGGAACCAGCGCTCCACGCCGGCGGCGGGCGCGCGGGGCGCGCTCAACTCCTCCAGCGCCAGCGACACCCGGCCCAGAGCGGCGCCCGCGGGGCCCGCGCCGCGCAGCCGCAGCGACAGGCGGCGGGCGGGCGGCAGCGACTCGAAGTGGAAGCGCTCGGCCCAGAAGAGCGGGCCCGGGCCGGGCCGGGGCGCCGTGCGCGCCAGCAGCGCGCCGTCCAGCCACAGCTCGGCGCGCGCGCCGGGGGCCCCCGCCGCCGCCCGCGGCAGCCCCTTCGCCTCGTGCACCCACACGCTCAGCCACGTCTCCTCCCGCTCGGCGTTGTCCTGGGGGCGGAATGGACAGGGATGGGGGAAGCTTTCGGAGGCGCCCCCGGGGGAAGCAGGGGTGAGTCATGGAGATCCAGAGGATCCTAACTCTCCCGGGAGATATAAAGGGGTGGGGACTGAGGGGGGGGAGGTCTTGGAGACTATTTGGTAGGCAAGACATTGGGGGCAAATAGTTCAGAGGCTTACGCCTGTCATCCCAGCTGCTCAAGAGGCTGAGTGAGAGCTGAGGATTGCAGTTGGAAGCCAAGCCCAGGCAGGAAGAGGCCCTGAGACTCTGATCTCCAAGCAACCACCAGAAAGTCAAGAGAGAAAAAAAGAATGGAACTGGCCCGGTGCCAGGGGCTCCCGCCTGTCATCCTAGCTACTCAGGAGGCCGAGACCTGAGGATCGTGGTTCAAAGCCAGCCTGGGCAGGAAGGTCCGAGAGACTCTTATCTCCACTGAACCACCAGAAAACCGGCTCACGTGGTAGAGCTCCAGTCGTGGAGCAAAAATTTAAAAAAACGAATTCAGGGAGAGCGCCCAGGCCCTGAGTTGCAAGCCCCAAGACACACACACGCGCGCGCGCGCGCGCGCGCGCGCGCACACACACGTGTCAGGTTCGGTTTGCATGACAGCAAATGGAAAGGAAGGAGGGCGCTTGAATTGGGTGGAGTGGGAGGGGCGTGGCCTCGTGTTAGGCGTGGCTCACGCTGAGCATGGCCTCTGGATGGGCGTGGTCTCGTGCTGGGCAAGGCTCACGCTGAGTGTGGCCTCCGGAGGGGCGTGGTCTCGTGCTGGGCGTGGCTCGCACTGAGCGTGGCCTCGTGCTGGGCGTGGCTCACGCTGAGCGTGGCCTCCGGAGGGGCGTGGTCTCGTGCTGGGCGTGGCTCACGCTGAGCGTGGCCTCCGGAGGGGCGTGGCTCACGCTGAGCATGGCCTCCGGAGGGGCGTGGCCTCGTGCTGGGCGTGGCTCACGCTGGGCGTGGCCTGTGGTGGGCGCGCCGTCCGGTGGGCGTGGCCCGGTTGTGGGCGGGGCTTCGCGAGGCGCCTTTTCCCCTGGCACTGACTGACCTGGCTGGGCTGGAACTGGCGGCGCAGGTCCTCTACCCATCGATCTCTCTCCGCGCGGGATCGGCAGGAGAAGCAGCGGCTCCCGCCCACCCACGTCACCTGCGCGTGGAGGCGGGAGGGGGGGTTGTGTGTGAATGATCCACGCGTGTGTGGTCGGGTGGAGCCACTCTCCGGGGGAGTGGGACCCGGGAGGACTTACCTGGAAGCAGTAGGGCTCCCCCAGGAGGCTGGGGTGCAGCGGCCGCACCCGCACATCCCGCTCGGCTCCCAGGTCCAACTCGGAGAGCATGGAAAGCGACTCCCTGGATCCCAGAGTGCTGGGAGGTCTGCGGGGCAGGGGGTGGGGTGAGCGGGGGAGAGCAAGGGGATCCAGCGACCGTCCCCCCCTCCCTCCTGCCCTCCCTCCCCGCCGCCCGAGGGGAGAGGACGAAGGACCGGAGTCCACGTTGCTGTCCTCGGTCTCATCGTTTTCTGGGGCTAGACCCAGCTCTTTCTGGTTGGTTCCAGCCCTTTCCAGCTTGGTTCTCATTCTTCCCAAACTTGACCTCATTGGTGCCTGGCTTTCTGAGCTCTAGTCACTACAACAGTCTTTCCTCGCGTCCCTCGCGGCCTCCTGGCCTCTGTAGCTCTCTGTTCCTTTTTAGTGGGCATGCTTTCTCCCCTGCCCTCCATTTCTAGCTAAGTTAAGTTTCCATTCGTCCCTCGGATCTTCGAGGAAGAACCCCTTCCCTGATGGCTGCTGAGCTCCCGGGCTTTAGGAGCGTTCCTCCTCACCGCGTCAGGAAAGTGCTGCCTCCTGACCCGGGGCAGAGCACCCAGGAGAACACAGCAGGAGGAGAAGGAGGCGAGACCAGGTTGGAACCCCTGCAGGCCCTTACCCATCCCGGAGAGCACTGGCTCCCAGTTCCAATTTGCTCTTTTTCTTCTCTTTGATTCTCTTCAGCAACCCCTAAGGGAAGGGGAGGTCAATGTGAACTAGACAGAACAGGACTCCTGTGTAGCCCCCTCTCCCGGGGGGACCCCTGGCTTGGGTTTGGTTGATAGCCCAAACCCAAACTCAGACTGTACTAACAGCAACTTAAAAAAAAAATCTGGACGCCACTGGTGGCTCACGCCTCCTCAGGAGGCTGAGATTTGAGGATTGCAGTAGGAAGCCAGCCCTAGGCAGGAAAGTCGGTGAGATTCTCATCTCCAATGAAACACCCAAAAGGTAGAATGGAGTTGTGGCTCAAGTGGGAGAGCACCAGCCCTGAGGGGGGGGAGAGAAAAAGCCCAGTGAGAGAGTAAGGCCCCGAGTTCAAGCCCAGACAGGGAAATTCTCTCCTCAGCCCGACGTGTGCCACACAGCAGAGACAGAGGCCCAGAGAGGCTCAGCAGCCGTGCCAGATCACACAGCAAAAGTTTCCTTGCGGCTCTGAGCAACTGGGAGTCCTGGGCTACCTCTGCCCGCATTCCACCCTTCCCCGGTGGCTGTCTTACCCGCACATTGTGAACGTGGTTGGAGCCAGAAGCTTCTAGACTGGGCTTCCCCAGGGTTCGATCTGTGGGTGGTGTCAGAGTTAGGAGTCAGGGCCTGGAATCCTGGTCTGTCCTCTCCTGTCCTGACCCACTTGGGACAGATCCCACACCCCCCAGCCTCCCCACCTCCCCCACTCACCTGGCTCCCTCAGTTTCCCCAGGAAAGCTTGCGTACTGCCTTCAGAGCTTCCGCTTCCAGCCCGGGGCCTCCTCCGGGGACTCTGTTCTCCCATGGGTGGGGAGGGGGAGAGACAGAGAGAGAGTCCCTCTCCCATCCCACCCCTGCCTCCGCCTCCAGCCCCTTCCCTCTCAGTCCCCCCCACTCACCTCGTCCTCTCCCCCAAGAAGCATCAGCCTTCCATCCAGCAAGGTGAACCCTCCGATGTCCCAGACGGCCACGTCAGGGCTGGGGGCCTCGGGGATCTGTGACACTGGTGGCTCTGGCTGTGGCTCCAGCTCGGCCTCTGGGAAGAGGAGGTGGGGTTGGGGGGCTGGGAGCCCCTTTCTTCCTGCTCGGGGCACCCTCTTCCCTTCAAGGCTCATGTGGGAGTCCTTACCCCGCAGGCCTACCCGTACCACATCCTGTGGCCCTCTCAACCCTTCCGACGCCACTACTAAAGAGGCTGTTATGTTTATTACCTATTAATGTTATTTAGCATTAATTACCACGAACATTAATTCCATTTATATGAACACATTCATATTTGCATTGGCATTAGCATTTATTACTGGGTATGTTAATTATTATTGTTATTGTTATTGAGCTGGTGCTGGGGCTTGAACTCAGGACTTGGGCACTGTCCTTTTTTTTTTTTTTTCCACTCAAGGCTGTCATTCATCCACTTGGACCACAGCTCCACTTCTAGCTTCATACTGGTGCATTGGAGAGAAGAGCCTCATAAACTATCCTGCCCAGGTTGGCTTCTAAACATGGTCCTCAGATGTCAGCCTCCTAAGTACCTAGGATTATAGGTGTGAGCCATCAGCTCTTGGTGATATATATATATATATATATATATATATATATACTTTTTTTGGGGGGGTGTCAGTCCTGGGCCTGAACTATGGGCCTGAGTGCTGTTCATTAGCTTTTTAGCTCAAAGCTAGCACTCTACCACTTGAGCCACAACGCCACTTCCAGATTTTTCTGCTTATGTGGTACAGAGGAATTGAACCCAGGGCTTCATGCATGCAAGACAATCACTCTACCACTGAGCCACCTTCCCAGCCCCTAAAGGATTATTATAACTGAGCCCAAAGCCAGGCACAGTGGTTCACTCCTGCCATCCAAGCTACTCTGGAGATAGAGCTAGGAGGATGGAGAGTTCAAGTTAGCCCAGACAATGGTAATGAGATTCAGTCTCCAAAACAATACTTAAAAAAAAAAATAGAAGCAAGGGGCTGGGAAGGTGGATCAGTGGTTGAGCACTTGCTTTGCACGCATGAGTCCCTGGGTTCCATTCCTCAGCACCACATATGCAGGAAAAGCTGGAAGTGGCACTGTGGCTCAAGTGGTAGAGCGCTAGCCTTGAGCTGAAGAGCTGAGGGACAGCGCCCAGGCCCTGAGTTCAGGCCCCACGACTGAGAAAAAAAAAGAAAAGAAGCAGGGGGCTGGGAAGGTGGTTTAGTGGTAGAGCACTTGCCTTGCACGCATGAAGCCCTGGGTTCAATTCCTCAGTACCACAGACACAGAAAATACTGGAAGTGACTCTGTGGCTCAAGTGGTAGAGTGCCAGCCTTAAGCAAAAGAAGCTCAGGAACAGTGACTAGGCCCTGAATTCAAGCCCCAGGACTGGCAAAAAAAAAAAAAAAAAAGAAGAAGCGGAGCTGGGTGCTGATGATTCACATCTCTAATTCTAGCTATTGAGGAGGCTGAGATCTGATGATCATGGTTTGAAGGCAGGCCAGCCAGGAAAAAAAAAATCCAATAAACGAGCAAAAAGACCAGAAGTGGAGCTGTGGCACCAGCCTTCAGAGATAAAGCTAAGGGACATTGATTGCCCAAGCTCTGAGCTCAAGCCCTAGAACCTGCACAAGAAAAGATAACAGGGGTTGGGAAGGTGGCTCAGTGGTAGAGCGCTTGCCTTGCATGCTCAAGGCCCTGGGTTCGATTCCTCAGCACCACATAAGAAAAAAGAAAAAGCCAGAAGTGGCGCTGTGGCTCAAGTGGTAGAGTGCTAGCCTTGAGCTGAAGAGCTGAGGGACAGCGCCCAGGCCCAGAGTTCAGGCCCCACGACTGGACCCAAAAAAAAAAAAGAAAAGATAACATTAAACAAACAAAAAAACAACTACAGACACAGCCCAACACAAGGCCCTAGGTTCAATCCTTGGCACTGAGAAATCAAAACTAAATGAAACTGAAAAACAAATCAACCCTGAGGCCCAGAGAGGAAGAGTGACTTGCTCAGTATCATAATACAACCTAGTTTGTTAATACTCAAACTGACCTTCAAACTCAGAATTCTAACAGAGACAGTGTACAAAACACAGGGCTGGGAAGGCGGCTCAGTGGTACAGTGCTTACCTAGCATGCACAAAACCTTGGGTTCAATTCCTCAGCACCACATACACAGACAAAGCTGGAAGTGGCGCTGTGGCTCAAGTGGTAGAGTGCTAGCCTTGAGCAAAAAACAAAACAAAAGCTCAGGGACAGTGCCCAGGCCCTGAGTTCAAGCCCCAGGACTGGCAAAACAAACAAAACCCAGAGGCTAGAGCCATTGTTTCCCTGCAGAGATGGGTAATCTACTATGGAAAGCATACTAAGTTTAAGACAAGAATACAGAATTTCTGGGTAGGGGAGGGCTCTTCCTTGGGGAAGAGGAGGTGAGGGGCAGAGGGCCAAGGAAGGCCCAAATTTACATTAATTTGCATCCATTTGCATTAATTAGATCTTGAGCCAGTTGGCTTCTGTCGTGCAGAGAAGGTGACAGGGAGAGAGTCCCATCTATAACTCTGAGATGAGCAAGGTCCCAGGAAAGAAAAGAAAGTACTAGAAGGGCTCAAGAGAGCAGAGGCTGCAATGGAAGACCCAAAAAGAGAATAGTGCAGGATTTGGGGCAAAGCGGGGGTGGAGGAATAAGGAGTTGTAGGAGGTGTGTAAGCAGCAGAGGATCGAGTCTGCTTGTTAAAAGCTCCCTCCCTCCCCCTCTCTGTGTATTCTACACAAAGGGTTAAAGAGGTGCCTCATCAGAGCTGCAGGCTGCTTGTGGTGGCTCACACCTGCCATCCCAGCTACTCAGGAGGCTGACCTCTGAGGATCTCAGGTTCGAAGCCAGCCCACGCAGGAATGTCTTAAGACTCTTATCTCCAATGAACCAGCAAAAAGCTGTTTGTGGAGCTGTGGTGGCTCAAGTGGCAGGGCACTAGCTTGAGCACAAAAGCTCAGGGACAGTGCTTGGGCCCAGAGTTCAAGCCTCAGGAAGGACTGGCCAAACACATAATAATACTAACACAGACAAGGAGGTGCCGGGTGTGGACCCCTGAATGTAGGGGGGACAGTCCCATCCTCCTGGGGGCTGTTCCCCGGTCCTTTCCTCAGGGCAGACACCCCCTGCTCACAGTCTCCCCTGCTTCCCCGCTTCACCTCACTTTAGGTGGCAAGAAGGAAGAGGGCGAGCGGGGCCCCAGCCACTTCCTGTGGGGCTGGTCTTCTCCCCACAACTTCCTGTGTCGAGAGAGCTCCATGTTCTAGGGGCAGACAAAGATGAAACTCGGGCACCCGGCTGCCCGGCTGGGCCAGCCCCGGGCAAGCGAGCCCCGTACCTGGAGGCTCCGGCTGGGCCAGCCCCGGGTAAGCGAGCCCCGTACCTGGAGGCTCCGGCTCGGCCTCAGGCCCGGGCGATGGGTTCTTAGGCCTCCCCCACAGGGTCCTGGAGAGCCGCAGGCGACTGGTTCCAGACTCCTTGGGGGGTGCGGAGAGCACCCGACGGAAGAGGGAGCGACGAGCTGGCTGGCTGTTCACCGGGGGCTCCGGGTGGCTCAGTGCCCTCCCCCAGCCGGCCAGGAGACCCCAGCGGGACCCTGCAGACCCCTTCTCCCGGGCCCCTCCTGTGTGCCAGCGGTAGGGTGCCAGCGGAGAGGGGGCCCCTGGCTGGGTGGGGGAGTCCCGGCTTGGCGGTGGTGGGTCCATGGGTGGAAGTCCTACAGGAGGAGGAAGAGAAGACAGTCCTGCTGCGTGTCTGCCCACAAGCCATCCTCACCTTACCCTCCTGTCGGTTCCCAGCGCTGCCTCCCAGTGAGCTCATGTGGAAAGGGGGTGGGGGGTCCCCTCTTACTTGCTTTTTTTGAACCTTCAATCAGCTCCAGACTCTGCAAGCGCCTCGTACCTGCTTTTGCTTCCTCCCGCTGAACCCCAACTCCACGTGACCCTGTCTGTCCGTCCCACTGACGGTCGGGGACAGGATGCCGGGCAGGGGTGGAGGGGGGTGGCAGCGCCCGATTCTAGTAACAAGGGCTGAGGCAGCAGTTTTTCTCTCCGTGTCTCTGTCTCTCTCTGAGCCCCATTGTCTTCCCTGAGAAATGGCCGTATGGTAGAGCAGGGGAATTCTCATCCTCTCTATCCGGAGTGTAGATAGATTTACCTGTGTTGAGAAACTGTTTGGGGTGTGTGTGTGTGTGTGTTGGTACTGGCGCTTGAACTCAAGGGTCTGGCAATCCTACTTGGCTTTTGCCATCAAGGCTGGTGCTCTACCACTTAAGCCATAGCTCCACTTCTGGTTTGTTTTTTTGCTGGTTAATTGGAGTCTCACGGACTTTCCTGCCCAGCCTGCCTTCTAACTGTGATGCTCAGATCTCAGCCTCCTGAGTTGCTAGGATTACAGGTGTGAGTCACGGTTAACCGGTAGTACTAGGGTGTTGTTTTTTTGGTGTTTTTTTTTTTTTGGTTGTTTGGCTGTTTCTGGGCTTGAACTCAGGGCCTGGGCTGCTTCGGTTCAAGGCTAGGGCTCTACCACTTGAGCCACAGCAGCACTTTCGGCTTTTTGTGTGTATATGGTACTGAGGAATCGAACCCAGGGCCTCCTGCATGCTAGGCAAGCACTCTACCACTAAGCACATTCCCAGCCCAGTACCTACGGGTTTTGAATTCAAGCCTCGCACTTGCAAGGGAGGTGCTCTACCCTGTGAGCCACACCCCCAGTGCTTTTTACTTTAGTTTAACATTTTGTGCCTGGGCTGACATGGATGGGATCCTCCTACTTATGCCTCCTACGTAGCTGGGGTTATATGTCAGACTCACTGTGCCTGACCAGAAGAAAGTAAATTTGTTTATTTGTGTGTGTGTGTGGTGCTAGGGATAAAGTCCAGGGCCTCCAGCATGCTGGACACACCCCCTAGCACGTAACCCCGCCCTACAGAACTAGGCCACGCCCCTCACACGGAGCCACGCCCCTTAGATCTCAGCCAAGCTCTTAGCGTCCAGCCACGCCTAGCGTGGAGCCACGCCTCTGAGCAGTGGGCCCCGCCCACCACCGCCGAGCCCCGCCCCTGAACCACACTCCTCTTGGAATGGAACCAAGCTTCCCAGGGCTGAGCCACACCCCCTAGCGTGAAGCCACGCCCCCAGCGGGGAGCCACACCTCGGAGCCCTAGGCCACGCCCCGTGTCGCTGAACCAAGCTTCCCAGCGCTGAGCCACGCCCCTAGCGTGAAGCCACGCCCCCTAGCCCTGAGCCACAGCACCAAAGCTTTGGACTGGAATTTCTGCCTCAGGTTTTGCTTCTGGGCCAAAGGAACACAAATGCTCGCAAACACAGACAAGGTGTGAACAGAAATTCTGTGGCTCCTGCTGTTTTATTGCAAGTCTGTGGCTGCGGTAGGATCACCCCGGGTAGCGCCTTCCTGGGTCTCGGACAGACTCTCCAGACTCTCCGGGTAGCTCTTAGTTTACAGTCTAGAAGAGACGAGGGGGCCGTGAGACTGGGGGAAGGGGTGTGGCTTGGGTCTGTCCTCCCTCAAGGGTGAGGGGCCAGGCCCCAAGCGAGGGAATGGGTGCAAAGCTGGCTGCAGGCCTGGGTGGGCAGAGCAGACACTTAGAATATCGGAGACGCTAGAGTTACCCGAGTGATCCCCTCACAACCCACCAGAAAGCCTTTGTGTAGGGGTCAGAGGCGAGGCCCAGGCCTGGGAGGGCGGTAAGGCATACAGGAGGGTTGTGGTTTGGATCTGGAGAGATTGTGTGACCCCTGGGAGTGACTGGTCAGGGGACCAGGGGGTCAAGGGGTCAGGGGGCGGCTGCAGCCTCACCTGGATGAAGTGCGGCCAAGTACGTAGCAAGTGGAAGAGGGCGTCGCCGGGGCAGTCGGTGCCGCGCCGGAGCTGGCGGTGCCCGAGCAGCGTGTAGTCGGGCCGCAGGAGGCCGGCACGCGAGGCGCACCTGGGGAGCCCGTCCCGCACGGTGCGCAGCGCGGCTGCGGTGGGCAGGCTCGCCGTATAATCGCCTATGAAGGCCACGCCAAAGCCCCGGAAGTTGTAGCCACGCGTGTGAGCGCCCACCCAGTGCCAGCCGCGGCCCTCGTACACGTAGCCATCGGATCCCACCACGAAACTGCAAGAGCGGACGGAAGGGAGGCACCACAGCGTGGGGGGAGGCCCCGCCCCCAAGTCCTGCCCCCTCCACCTGGGGCCACCCGCACCCCCAGGTCAGCGCTGACCCACCGCACCTGTCCCGGTTCAGCTCAGCCCCGAACGGCCCCAGATCCCGCCGGTGGGGACTGGCCCAGCCTGCCGGCATCAGCGCCGGCCACGCCCCCTTCCACCTGTCCCCAGCCTCGTCTTGAACGGATCTTCAAGTTCAACTTCATCCTCGGATGAACTTGTCCCCAGGTTCATCTCTTTTGCCAAGTTCACGGCCCTTTTCTGTTTCGGGCCACCTCCGTCCTATGCCAAACCCAGACCCCACCACAGGTCCTGCGTCTTCCCCTCCAATCCCAGAATCTCCCACTGGTTAGCTGTTTCGAGCTCAGCCCCACTCACCAGCTCTAGTCTTGCCGTTGACCCCGCCCACTCCGCCTGCTAAACCACGCCCGTGCACTCTAAGCTCGTCTTCTAGCTCCTCCTCCCACTACATTCAGCCCGGCCGACAGTCGCCCTCCGGCCTTACCCATCCAGTCTCCTCTAGTCTAGACCCGCCCTTCCACTCGACTCATCCCCGCCCACCAACCCTACTCCAGTCTTTAAGCCCTTCATTCATCCACTCCATTCAGCTCCTCCCACCCTGCATACTCTTGTCTGGTAGCCAACCCACCCAGTCTTTGTCTGGTACCTAGTGCAGGGCAGGACGGCGCAGGCTCAAACAAGTAGATCTACTCTACTCAGCCCTGCCCATGAGCCTACTCAGAACCGCCTCTGATCCCCTTCATTGGCTGCCGGCCCCACCGCCCAGTCTACTCTTGCCTGCCTGCCACGCCCACTCCACGCTAGTCTGCTGGCCCCGCCCATCCACTCTCCTCAGCCCCACCCACCTTCCTATCCAGCACCGCCCCCATTTCCCTCCTCACCGGCTGCCAGCCCCACCTGCCCAGTCTACCCTGGTCTGCTGGCCACGCCCACCACCAGTCGACCCCACCACCACTCTATTCAGCCACACCCACCGCGCGCGCGCACGCGCACACACACACACCTCAGCCGACCAGCCCCACCCACCCACTCTGCTCAGCCCCTCTCGCTTTCTTACCCACTGACCACGCCCATCACGCTACTCAGCCCCGCCCACTCAGGCCGAGCCCGCCCCGCCCCGCCGAGCCCGGCCCCGCCCACCTGTAGCCGACGTCGTCCCAGCGGCGCACGTCCTGGTGGAAGCGCTGCACGGCGCGCAGGCTGGCGGCGCAGCGCGCGAAGCTGGCGCAGGGCTGCGCGGGCTCGAACGTGTGATGCACGAAGAGGAACTCGAGCGGCAGCTGCAGCGGCGTCGGGCGGCCCCGGTACGGCGCGGCGCCCCAGCGGCAGCGGGGGTGGATGGCCGGGCACCCTGCGGATGGACAGGCACCCAAGGCTGGCATCCCGCGGCGAGCGGGGCCTTCCCCTCGGCCCCCCGCCGTCACCCCGCACGGGGACCCCCGGGCCGCGGGAGTCATCCCGTCCCACAACGTCCAGATCTGATCTCTCTCCCGGATCCCCGAACCAGGCCCACGGAAAGAAAAACAATAATAACAAACATCAGCTAGGTGTGGCGGGTCATCCGGGTCATCCCAGCGCCCAGCGGGCAAACGAGGGGAGATGGCGAGTTCGAAGCCAGCCTAAGCTTCCTGGCACCGACAGCCAAAGGGGGCTCTGACTGAACTCTCCGGTGGTGTGCAACTTCCTAACCAACCGGCCAATCCAAGAAGTTGCAGTGGCTTGTTATTTTCTTTTTCTTTTTTGCCACTCCTGGGGCTTGAACTCAGGTCTGGGTGCTGTCCCTGAGCTGCTTCTGCTCAAGGCGAGCGCTCTACCACTTGAGCCACAGCACCACTTCTGGCTTTTTCTGTGTATGTGGTGCTGAGGAATCGAACCCAGGGCCTCATGCATGTGAGGCAAGCACTCTACCACTGAGCCGCCTTCCCAGCCTGATGCAGTGGCTTTTATGCAGCTTTTCTAAGATAGGCAAGATTCAGAGAGGTGAAGCATGGAGCCTCAAGATAGATGCACAGGTGTAGCTGCTGGCCCAACTCCCGGCTGAACCTCCGTGTTTGCTGAGCCGCTGGCTGGAATGCGCTGGCACACAATTGTCTATGCATATACTCCAGCCAGTGTGGAGCTCACGGGCCCTGGATGGTAAAGGCCCAGTCTTCAGTTTGGTGTAACTGGGAGGTGCTGGGAACATGGAGGAGGCTTAGCCTAATGGGCAGAAGTTGGTCATCGGTCGTGTTTTAGGCTCAGTCCCAGGACCAAGGGACCAATGGTACAGACTGAAACCTACCACACCGTAAGCCCAGACAAACCTTTCTTCTTTCTAAGTTTCTTTGTCTCAGTATTTTGTGACAGTCATGGAAAACTGACTTAAAAAAAAAAAAAAAAAGGAGCTGGGCACTGGTGGCTCACACCTGTCAACCTAGCTACTCAGAAGGCTGAGATCTGAGGCTCACGGTTCAAAGCCAGTCTAGGCAGGGAAGTCTGTGAGACTCTGAGCTCCATCCAATAAACCACTTAGAAAAAGCCGGAAGTGGTGCTGTGGTCCAAGTCATCGAGTGCCAGCCTTGAGCACAGAGAAGATCGGGGACAGCGCCCAGGCCCTGAGCTCAAGCCCCAAGACTAGCCAAAAGAAAAAAAAATCAGATCAACTCCTGTTCATCCTTGAAGGCCCAACGTCAGCATTTTCTCATGTGTGCTGAGCCACTGTCCCCGGATCCTCCTGATGGAGTGGGGTGGGAATGTCTGATTCTGAGGGGCTGAGCCCCAGGGCGGGGGGTGGGGAGGTGGGGTGATCTTACCTAGGAAGGCCTCGGTGAACTCTTGGGAAGCATAGCTGGCCACCTGGGCCAGCTGCTCTCGGCTCTTGTTGTGTAGCTGGGGGTGTTGGGGCTCCAGGCTTTGCAGCAGAACTAGGGCCCCCCACACCTGCTGGGCCAGGTTGGGGGCTGAAATCAGAGCCGCCCCTCTCTGCCGCCGGAAGTTGCTGCGGAAGGCCGGGTCTCCGTCCACGCCAGCCCCATAGTACTGTCCCAACAGGAGGCTGAGCCGGGGCCGGGGCGGCGGGAGGCGGCTCAGGTGATCCCCGAGGAGCACCCCATCCAGAGCCCCGTTGAGGAAGGCCATGGTGAGGGGGGCCGTGGGGGGGTCGAGCAGCGTGAAGTTCTGGGGGGAGGAAAGCTGGTCCCAGCAGCCCTCAGAGCCCAGGCCGGGCGGGCTCGGGGTGGGGCTCGGGTGGAGGAAAGCCAGGCCCAGCTCCGTGGCCAGGGCGGCGGCCAGGAGGCTGTCCACGGCGGCGGGGGGCTCGGCTCGCTCCCCCAGCCAGGTGACATTGGCAGAGTCATTCCTGAATCCCGCCAGGGTGTCTCCTCCGGTGTCCCCCGGGAGCCTGAGGCCGTCCCCCAAAGGCACAGCCCTGCGCCCCTGCTGCCCGGCCTCCAGCCCCAAGAGCAGAGGCCTCAGGGCCACGGTGGAGCCGTCGGGGGCCAGCAGCACCCCGCGCTCCTGCCTGCCCCGAACCTCGTGCTGGGCCACTCGGTCCACCAGGGCGCGCAGCTCGGCCCCCAGAGGGTCCGGGTGGAGCGGGGAAGCCCCGGGGCTCACAGAGTCCTGCAGGAACGGGGGGAGGCCGCCGGGGGACCCCGCAGACAGCAGCACCCGGACAGAGGCAGCTGGGCCTCCTTCCAGCTCCTTCTGCTCCAGCTCGGCCACAGCCTGGATGATAGAGTCCATGAGCAGAGGCAGAGAATCTATGGGAAGAGACAGCACGTCCATCCGGCGGTCCGGCCACAGCGCCAGGACGGTAGGGGGGTGCAACGTGGCATCGGGTGAAAGTTGGCGGGGGGAGTAGGCCGCTTGGGGGCTCACGGCGGTGGAGGGCTGGGTTAGGAGTGAGGTGTTGGTCATTGCCAAGGTTTACTGAACATTTACTGTGTCTCAGGCCCCACCATCACAGACCCGCCTAACTGAATCCTCAGGACAACACTCAGCAATAGGTTTTCTGAGCCCTCTGAATAGAACAAGTTCCCAGAAGCTCATAGAAGTGAAGATACCAGCTGAAGGCTACACAGCTAGGAAGTAGCAGAAGCAGGATTCGAACCCATAGATTTGCTTGTTTTGGTCAGTCGTGGGGCTTGAACTCTGGGCCTGGGCGCTGTCCCTCAGCTCTTCAGCTCAAGGCGAGCGCTCTACCACTTGAGCCACAGCACCACCTCTGCTTTTCTGGTGGTTTGTTGCAGATAATCTCATGGCCTTTCCTGCCCGGGCTGGCTTTGAACCATGATCCCAGCCTCCTGAGTAGCTGGGATGACAGGCGTGAGCCACCAGTGCCCAGCCAGGAAGTTTTAATAGCCAAAGCCTGCGTTGAGAATCCTGACCCTTCTTCAGAAAGTTCATTTTATTCTTGTTTTCTAACTTTCTTCTTTTCTCCTTAAAACTCTCTAAGAAAGCCAGGCGCTGGTGGCTCACTTCTGTCATACTCACTACTCAAGAGGCTGAGATCTGAGGATCAGGTTCGAAGCCAGTTCAGGCAGGAAAGTCCATGAGCCTCTTATCTCCAGTTAACTAGAAAAAAAAAAAAAAACACCAGAAGCAGAGTCGTCGCCCAAGTGGTAGAGCGCCAGCCTTGAGTGGAAAAGGCCAAGCCAGAGCATGAGGCTCTGCGTTCGAGCCCCGGTGTTGGCTTAAACAAAACAAAATACCACCTCTTCTTCTGCCTCTTTTCCTCACTGCCACTTGCTAAGTCCTCAGCCCAGAGCTTTCTGGACAGCTGGGGCTCCTGCTGTCTCTGGTCTCGGCCCACATGGAGGCCCAACACTTCTGCTGAGCCCAGAATGCACCGCCCACCTCCGCCCTGCCTCCAACCTACCTGCGCTTCCACCTAGCCGTAGGACGAGCAGTAGGACGAGCAGGAAGCAGAGGCCGCCCCCAGCCATGCTGAGCTCCAGCCGGCCTTGGTGGACAGCGCTGGGCGGGCTGGAAAGAGACAGCCGGGAGGCACCCTGCCCGGCCTGCTGCCCTGTCAAAGTCCAGCGGTGAATGGCACAGTTGTTTCCCCCCCCCCCCCCCCCCCCCCGCCTAGGCCAAAGGTCATCTGTGCCTCAAGGTCTCCCCTTCTCCTCTCCCATCCTCCCTGCCTGTCAGGACGTCCGGAGGCTAGGCCTGGCACGGTGGCTCATGCCTGTAATCCCAGCTACTCAGGAGGCTGAGGTCTGAGGACCGCAGTTCAAAGCCAGTCCTGGCAGGAAAGTCCATGAGACTCTTTTTTTTTTTTTTTTTGATCTGGTCGTGGGGCCTGAACTCTGGGCCTGGGTGCTTTCCCTCAGCTCTTCAGCTCAAGGCTAGCGCTCTACCACTTGAGCCACAGCGCCACTTCCGGCTTTTTTCTTTTTGCTTACGTGGTGCTGAGGAATCGAACCCAGGGCTTCATGCATGCAAGGCAAGCGCTCTACCACTGAGCCACCTTCCCAGCCCTCCATGAGACTCTTATCTCCAATCAATCCCCAGAAACTGGGAAGTGGTGCTGTGGCTCAAGTGGTAGAGCGCTCGCCTTGAGCTGAAGAGCTGAGGGACAGCGCCCAGGCCCAGAGTTCAAGCCCCATGACTGACAAAATGGAGCCATTGCTTAAGTGGTAGAGCTCTAGCCTTGAGGACAAAAAGAAATTGCTCAGGGACAGCACTAGGCTCTGAGTTCAAGTTTTAGAACAAGCTAAATACATAAGAGGAAAAAGAGAAAAACAAAACGAGGAGCTAGGAGGCCAGGTATAGACTCCTACAGTTAGTCTGTCTCTGTCTCTCTGTCCCTGCCTCTGTCTCTCCCTCTCCCTCTCTCTCTTTCCTTTCTTTTTTTTGGGGGGGAGTCCGGTCGTGGGGCCTGAACTCTGGGCCTGGGCGCTGTCCCTCAGCTCTTCAGTTCAAGGCTAGCGCTCTACCACTTGAACCACAGCGCCACTTCCGGCTTTTTTCTTTTTGCTTATGTGGTGCTGAGGAATCGAACCCAGGGACTCAGGCATGCAAGGCAAGTACTCTACCACTGAGCCACCTTCCCAGCCCTCTTTCTTTTTTTGTGCCAGTCCTATGGCTTGAACTCAGGTCCTGGGGGCTGTCTCTGAGCTTTTTCACTCAAGGCTGGCACTCTACCATTTGAGCCGCAGCTCCACTTCCAGCTTTTTTTTTTTTTTTAGTAGTTACTTGGAGATGAGTCTCACCAACTTCCCTGCCCGGGCTAATTTCCAACCATGATCTTCAGATTCCGGCCTCCTGAGTAGCTGGGATTACAAGTGTGAGCCACAGTGCTCGGCTCAACCCCATATTTCTTATAGGCTCCACCTCCTCCTAGAAGTGCCATGGGCTGGGTTTGGGGGACATTCGGATTCAAACGATAGCAAGCCAGGCCGGCCAGGCCCCCTACGTCCTGTGCTGCCAGAGCTCAGACTCAGGAAAGGACTGGGGATTATTGGTCTGCTCAGCCTCAGTCCATAAAGCCCAGAAAGAGGCGGCCACTCCAGCTCTTACTCTGTTCCCGCTCCTGGATGGGGTTGAGAGCAGATGTTGGACCTGAGCCTTCAGGATCCTGGTTTTATCCCAGGAGCCAGTGTCTAGACTCACCTTGGTTGATTGTGAACAATCCCCTCCTCTGGGTGCTTGTGGCTGAGTTCTTCTCTGGGTACTTGTGGCTGAGTCCCTTCTGAGTGGAAGGCCACTCCTCTCGGGGTCTTATAGCTGAGTACTCCCAAGTGAGATCCTTCGTTTTCTCGGGTACTTGGTGGCTGAGTCCTTCTGGGTGGGATTCCTGCTCTTCTCAGGGTGCTTGTGGCTTAGTTCTACCAAGTGGGCCTCCCTCCTCCCCTTTCTCTCTCCTCTCCCCCCCCCACTTCTCTCTCTCTCTGTCTCCCCCCTCCCCTCTTTCTCTCTGGAAGCAGGGTCTTACGAGGATGTAGCCCCGGCTGGCCTGGAACCCTTGCTCCTCCTGCCTTCCCCTCCTGAGTTGCTGAGATTACAGGGGTGTGCCACAAGCCTCGGCCCAGGTTTTTTCTGCTGTGGGCCAGGCAGGCTCCGTGTAGGTGAGCTGTTCCCCTCGTGGGCCTCCTGCCCCAAACCAGAGTTTCTAGAGCTGTTCCAGGCCTGGGAAAGCCCGGACTGACGCAGGCCGAGGCCTCCCCCAGGACTCCACCCACGGGGAATGCACCCATGGGGCGTAGCTGCCAGGGCCGACTTCCTAGGGGACCAGCCACCCCCTTACACAGAGCCAGGTCACAGTGGGGCCTCAGGAAGAAAGTCATGGAATGGGGAGTGAGAGGCAATTTCCTGGGGTCTGGGAATTGGGGGGTGGGGGGAGGCCTCCACCTTCTACAGCCATGGGCAGAGAGCGGGCACCAGACTGAGGTCTAGAGGATCTCAGTTCGAAGCCAGCCCAGGCAGGAAAGTCCACGAGATTCTTATCTCCAATGAATCAGCAAAAATCCAGAAGTGGAGCTGTGGTTCAAGTGGTAGAGCACCAGCCTAGAGATGAAAAAGCCAAGTGAGCCCAAGGAAGAAAGGAAGAAAGAAATGAAAAGGAAAAGCAAGCCAGCCGGGCACCGGAGGCTCAGGCCTAGAATCCCAGCGACTCAGGAGGCTGAGATTTGAGGATGGAGCTTCAACACCAGCCCGGGCAGGTGCACCTTGTATGATGAGCAGGAAGTTGGGCCTGGAGTGGTCGGCCTTTGAGGGGGGAGTCTACCCACCCCACTGGCCCCACCCAGACCCACAGGTACAGTCCATTCAAAGATTAGAGGTTTGCCTGCCAACGCCAGACCAGAGTCTGTCAGGAATTACCTCCCTACCCTGGGCGCCTTCCAAATGCAGGACTTCCCTTGCTTCGCAGCCTCCCCCACCCCCCGACCCCCCTCCTGCCCCCCTCCTGCCCCCGGGAGCCGGCAGGGCCTTAAAGCTGGGCCTTGACCCAGCCATGCCTGCCACTGTGTCTGAAGCCAGCCCCGGCTGCCGTGGGTCGGACCCATTGGCTGCAGGGAAACACTAAAAGCCAGTGCTGAGGACTCTCACCCCGCCCAGGCCTCCTTCACCGTCTGTCTGTGGAAGACCAAAGGTGAGATTTAATCAGCTGCCGGTATTGCACACGGACCCTCCACACAGCCTTGGCAGGGAAGGGTGCGTGAGGGGAGGGAAAATGGGGGGGGCTGTGTGCCATGAATCCGCCCCCTCTTTCTTGTTTTTTTTTTTTGTTTGTTTTATGGCTTGTTACTCAAGATGCTGTACCGTGTGAGCCATGCCTCCAGCCTGGCTTTTTTGTTGGTCATGAGGCTTGAACTCAGGGCCTGGATGCTGTCCCTGAGCTTTTTTTTTTTTTTTTGCTCAAGGTCAGCTCTCTACCCTTTGAGCCACAGTGTCACTTCCAGATTTTTTTTTTTTGGTCAATTGTGGGGCTTGAACTCTGGGCCTGGGCGCTGTCCCTCAGCTCTTCAGCTCAAGGTGAGCGCTCTACTGCTTGGGCCACAGCACCACTTCCGGTCTTCTTGTGATTTTTTGGAGATAAGAGTCTCACAGACTTTCCTGCCCGGGCTGGCTTTGAACCGTGATCCTCAGATCTCAGCCTCCTGAGGAGCTAGGATGACAGGCATGAGCCTGGCCCTTTCAGGCTTTTGATATTTTGTTGTTATGGAAGACTTGCATATATATATATATATATATTCATATTTATATTTATTTAGCTGCGGTGACAGGTGTGAACCACCAGCTCCCGGCTGTCCCTGTTTATTAAGGGATATGTATTCACAAGACATGAAAGCAGTCATTCAATTCAGTGACATTTAGAACACTTGCAGCATTGTGCAATCCTGACCTCTTGTTTCTAAAACATTTTCATCACCCCGAATGGAAACCCTGCACCCAATAAAGCAATCGCACCCCTCCTCCCACCGGCCCTGGCAGCAGCTCATCTGTGCCCCGCGGCGCAGCAGCTTCCTTCACGCAGCCCGGGGCTCTCAAGGCTCAGTCGCGGTTACCCACATTGCAGCCACACCCCGTTCTCTTTTTGTGGCTGTGTAATATTCTATTGGGTGGATAGATGGCATTTTTGTATCTGTGTGATACTGGATGGCCAGTTGGGTTATTGCTCATTGTAAAAGTGCTGCCGTGAATGTTTGGGCATCTGTACTTGTTTGGCTTCTTGCTTTGTTGTCGTTCTTCTTCTTCTTATTATTATTATTAATTTTTTGTATTATTATTTTGCCAGTCCTGAGGCTTGAACCCGCGCCTGGGCACTGTTCCTGAACTCCTTTGGCTCAAGGCCAGTGCTCTACCACTCGAGCCACCACTCCACTTCTGGTCTTTTGTGTGATGAATTGGAGATAAGAGTCTCATGGATTTTTCCTGCCCAGGCTGGCTTCAAGCCGCGATCCCCAGATCTCTGCCTCTTCAATAGCTGAGATTATAGGCATGAGCCACCAGCACCTGCCCCTGCCCAGTTATTTTTGGCACACTTCATATCTCTGATGCTTCCCAAAGCCAGTGAGGAGAGGACTCGAGGCCGATACTCTCCCCGTTTGACAGACAAGGACACTCAGGTGGGAGAGGCAGCCCCGTGCCAGCCTGAGTCCAGTCACCATCAGAATGGCTCCCAACCTCTGAGTGAGCACTAGTGGCAGCCTCTTACGGGGAGGGCGCAAGGGATGGTCTTCCAGGCAGCTTTGTGGCCCCTGGACCCGACAGACCTGAGTGTGAGTCCCAGGTGGATCCACTGCATAATTGCATAATCTAATACCTATGTCACAGCCAGTGACAGCAGGAAAGGCAGGAGACGGAGCCCTAATTATGTGTTTGATGTATAGATGTATCCAGGGGCCCAGGGGGTGAAACAAACAGTTGCTAAACTGGTCTGCCTTGCAGTTATTCTTTTTTCTTTTTCCTCTTTTGCCGGTCCTGGGGCTTGAGCTCAGGGCCTGGGCACTGTCCCTGAGCTTCTTTTGCTAGCACCCTACCACTTGAGCCACAGTGCCA